TAGTTTTAAACTACAGAACAGGGGACACATTTAACAGTAATTATTTTTCATATAGCCTGTATATGTTCTATAACCGTATCTTCCAAACTACTGAACAGATCTGGGTGAATTTTGGATATGTGGTTCACCCAGATCCATATTTTTTTATGGGGTTATTGCATGTTTTGGGGTCCCTGTGATATATTTTATAATACTGTATTTTCCTTCCTGTGATAATTAAGTTAGTCTATTGTGTTGAGATAATTGTATCACAGGCAGAGGGGAGGATTTCTGATGTAATGAATGGGAGTGTTAGCTGTGTTGTAATGTGTTGATTGGTTGTTCTTCAAAACCCTGTGGGCTGTATGTGCCAGTACAGACAGATCTTGACCCTCAACATGTAGTCTTGTCTCGTGATTGGAGGGGACAGCTATACTCACACTGGGGTTTGCTATGGTCCTGGAGGACAGAAGCTGATCCAGGGTGGAAGGAAGACGGTGAGACTCCAGTTAAGCTACATTGGTTGTGGTGTCCGGTGCGGTGCTTGTGGTCCTCGGCGCAAGCTAGGAAGCGTCCATCAACGGAAGGTACTCGGTCGGAGTACGGGGAGTTCCGTTACAGGGGGAGTTTAACATATGGTGATGGTAACCAATTTGTTTTATTAGGAGATTAAGCCACTTATTTTTTATTAGATTCTTATCCATGAGCTATTGGTTTTAGTGTTTTGGGTCACTGTTTACCCCAGATTAGTGAGAGTTATAGCCAGTGGGATAGATGAATGGATGAATAGATGGAGCAAAGAAGGGATGGGATTGGATGGATAATTGAAGAAGGTTTGAAAAATTAAGATAGATTTTACTGTAACAAATACACTTCCTGAAGAAATAGAATAAGGAAGCATTTTAGTGACATCTACTGGTAAAACCTAAGAACTACTGTACTTTTTTTTTATAAATTCATTACCATTTTTAAAAATAATTTTGGAGATGAAATGATTGGGATTGCATTTGATTGGTATTCTAATTCCATCAATGGGAGTAGGTCCACCCAATTGTCCTAATGGTTAGTTATAAACCGTCTGAGATACTTTCTATTGCTCGATTAGACCTTTGTGTCACCCCATTAGTTTGTGGATGTTAGGAAGATAATTTATTATTATTATTATTATTATTATGTTATTTATATAGCTCCATCAAATTCCACAGTGCTTTACAATGGGTGGACGAACAGACATGTAGTTGTAACTAGATAAGTTGGCCACACAGGAACAGAGGGGTTGAGGCCCTGCTCAATGAGTTTACATGCTAGAGGGAGTGGGGTAAAATGACACAAAAAGGTAAGGATAGTATTATACTAGCGACAGTTGCAGAAGAGGAATCAGTCAGGAGCTATTAACAGTTTAATTGATAAGCTTTTATGAAGAAGTGGGTTTTTAATGATTTTTTTTAAAGGAGTGGAGACTGGGTGAGCATCTAACGGAGGAGGGAAGCGAGTTCCACAGGAACGGTGCAGCCCTCAAGAAATCTTGAAGACGAGCATCAGAGGTGGGAGTACGGACAGAAGATAGACGTAAGTCTTCAGTAAATCGTAAGGGCCTAGACGGGATATGCTTGTGTATAAGGAAGGATAGCTAGGTGGGAGCAACATTATGTAGAGACTTGAAAGCAAGAACCAGAATTTTAAATTGAGCTCTATATTTTATAGGAAGCCAATGTAGGGACTGACAGTAGGGTGAGGCATGGGAGGTGCTGGCGGACAGGAAGATAAGCCTCGCTGCCGCATCCATTATGGACTGTAACGGCACATGTTGGGAGCACGTAAGACCACTGAGAAGTGGATTACAGTAGTCAAGGCAAGAAAGGACAGTGAAATGGACTAACACCTTAGTCGCATATAACATTAAGTAGGGCGGATGCGCGCAATGTTTTTGAGATGGAAATGATTTGGCAATAGATTGAACATAAGGCTTGAAAGAGAGGTCAGAGTCAAAGAGAACACCTAGGTAGTGAGCCTGCATGGTGGAGCTGATCGTAGAACCATTGACTTGGAGGGAGACAGACACAGGAGTAACAACACTTGAGGGAGGAAAGACCAAAATTTCAGTTTTGGTCAAGTTGAGTTTAAGGAAGTGAGCAGCCATACAGTTAGAAATAGCAGAGAGGCAATCAGAGACACTAGTCAAGAGGGACGGGGAGAGATCAGGAGAAGACAGGTAGATTTGCGTGTCATTAATTAAGTAGAATTCAAAGTTTGGGACAAAACTCTCTGCAAAATCTGGAGATAACCGGAGTTCTCCTATCAGATACAGTGTTGACAGGAATACCATGAAGATGAAATACTTGTTTGGCAACATATTTGCTAGTTCATGATATGTGTGAAGTTTTTTCAATGATAGAAGACTAGACATTTCTGAAAAATCTATCAACAACCATTAGTATAACAGTGTAACCTTTGGAAGAAGACTGTTCTACCATTAAATCAAAAGAAAGACTGGACCAGGTTTATTTAAGTACAGGGAGTCAAACTGAAAGCCAGTACTATAACAGAGAGAATCAGGAATACTATAAACACGCTATTGGGTCAAGGAGAAATCACAACAGGGCGCTGTGTACCAGAAAACATTCACATCCATGTGTTGGTTACATTAACACAATAACCACTCTCTCAAAACATGAGGGGACATGGTATGTGACGTGAATCTGTGTTGTAAACATTATGAAGTCGGCACATGTGCACCGTGTTGTTTTACCCCACTCCCTCTAGCATGTAAGCTCATTCAGCAGGGCCCTCAACCCAATTATTTTTAAAAATGGTAATGAATTTATAAAAAAAAAAAAAGTACAGTAGTTCTTAAGTTTTACCAGTAGATGTCACTAAAATGCTTCCTTATTCTATTTCTTCAGGAAGTGTATTTGTTACAGTAAAATCTATCTTCATTTTTCAAACCTTCTTCAATTATCCATCCAATCCCATCCCTTCTTTGCTCCATCTATTCATCCATTCATCTATCCCACTGGCTATAACTCTCACTAATCTGGTGCAAACAGTGACCCAAAACACTAAAATCTATAACTCATGGATAAGAATCTAATAAAAAAATAAGTGGCTTAATCTCCTAATAAAACAAAATGGTTACCATCACCATATGTTAAACTCCCCCTGTAACGGAACTCCCTGTACTCCAACCGAGTACCTTCCATTGATGGACGCTTCCTAGCTTGCGCCGAGGACCAAAAGCACCGCACTGGACACCACAACCACCGCAGACTCCACAACCGCCACAGCTTAACTGGAGTCTCGCCGTACTCTGTCCACCCTGGATCAGCTTCTGTCCTCCAGGACTGTGTGGGGAAGACCTCTCCTCCAGGAGAGCATATCAGGAACAAGCTCTTAAAAGAGCTAAGTGATTAATGCTCAGGGGAGTATGCAGAGCATAGCAATCCCCAGTGTGAGTATAGCTGTCCCCTCCAATCACGAGACAAGACTACGTGTTGAGGGTCAGGAAGAACTGTATTACTTGGCACCAAAGGGCCTTCTTTTTATGCAGGTTTTCGAAATACAGTACCACCCACAGGGTTTTGTAAAATAACCAATAAAGCACGTAGCATACAGTAAAACCACACCCATTCACTCCCATAAAATCCTCCCCTCTGTCTGTGATATAATTACTCAACACAATATACTAACTTAATTATCACAGGCAGGAAAAATACAGTTTTTATACACGTGCTATAACTTTAAAAATATATGTCCAATCTTCATAAAAACATATTCAGAATCAGCACACTTTAAATGTAAACACTCTCAAAAAAATCAGACAAATCCATCCAGTGGATAAAAAGTTAGCCGGAAGTCCTTTATGACCGACTGCAAGCACATTTTCCTGCCCAAAACAGTTCCATAGATTTGGGCTGTGCTGTCGGTCTATTTCAGGTTGAATGGGACTTGGTCTCTGCGGCTGAAAGTTCAGTATGGGAGAAGGTACAGGTCAGCGGTGTTCGCGGAAATGTGCAACCGATTTTAGTTCCATGAATTTGGCTGCACACACCGCTGACCGTATTTGAATGAATAAAGAAGGCGCCGCCACCTGTTCATTAACGCGAATGGCGGCCACCCAGCATTCGGCAATTTACCTACAGCAGGCTCCCAACCTGGGAGGTAAATTGCCTGCACACTTCCACTTCTGGGTGGTCCGCCTGTGTGGTACTTGGCTCAGTAAGCCCCCTTTACTGAACCAAGTGGGAAATAGCCAGAAACAAAGGGTTTTAACCAGGTCTGGGGACACTGGGGACACAGGCTTAAAGGGGCAGTGTCCCAAACAAGTCTGGAGACACCGTCTTAAAGGGGCATTGTCCCAATTTTCTCTATGTCCCAAAAATGTGCTTAAAGGGCCAGCACCAGTCCCATAAAAAGTCCATAAGCCCCAATATACTCACAGACTGTTCTTAAAGGGCCATACACACCCGGTCCATGGTCATGGGGGAGTAGGCTGGCAAATAGGCTCCTCCATAATCCAGGGAAGCAGGGCAATTTGTCATTTAAAGGAACAGTTACAAAAGGCATTTTGCAACACGTGTCATGAAAAGGGGCATGGGCCCAGACTTTCTGTGGCTGTCCAATCACAGACTTCCCAATGCAGCTTTACAAGGCAGGTGCTCTGAGTAATTGCTGCCTCTTGAGTTTATCTCCACGAAGCTAACCAAACCAGGAAGTAACAGGACCGACTGACTGACAGCCAGGGGGTGTAACAAGGTTAATTAATGAAAGTGTCAATTTCTATTAAAAACTGTACTTTTTGTAAAATAAAAAAAGGGGACACATTGTTCACATATAAATAACTAAATAATAGCAATCTAAAGTACTTTAGGGATGTGGAGTGTCCCTTTAAATAATAACATAAACATAATGCCATTATTGTCAGGGTACCATGAGCGGTGGTCCGGGGAGGTCGCGTGCCACTCTCGGCAGCCTCCCTCCTACCTGCGCCGTGAGCAGTCGCTTCACAGGCTCACACACAGCTCATGGCTTCTTCACACTCTTGCTTGCGTGAGTAGAGGTTTCCAGCACCTGTGTGCCACCCGCTGCCTGTTCCTCCTGCGGTAAGTCGGACACTGCACGCTTGTGTACAGCATGTGTAAATAGGTGCCCGAGTCAGTCACCTTACACAAAAATGACATCACTAATCAAAGTGGGAGGTACAAGTATCTCTCACGTGTGATACTTAACTGTGATTGGAAGTTAACTAATCAGAGTTAACCTAAGAGCATATATACTTACCTTTCCCAAGTCTCCTTGCCCTGTTATGGTCTTTTGATAGCCCAATAGCGTGTATACTCTGTCCATTTGTCTGATTGTCTGGTTAACTAATCTTGGCTTTTCTTACCATTTATCCTGTTTTCTCTAACCCCTGACCTCGGCTTGGCTTATCGATTATTCTGTCTCACTGGTTCCCTCTGACTTTGGCTTGTATCCTGATTTCTCTAAGTGTGCACAGCCCGGCCACTCTAAGAACCGGTACTGCACTTCCTGTGTCTGTGTTCTGTCAGTGTGTCTGGTTCCAGAGTTTGTGGTATTAAAACAGGGCCATATGGAACCAGCTGACATTTCATGACAATTCGACAACACGATTCCAGGATGGATAGTCAGGACCACCGTATAGACCAATTGACTCAAGCAATGCAGACCCTTTTACTCTATACTGCCCACTTGCAACCTGACATACAGGAAGGTGCTGCTGCTCCACCAGTTTTGATTCCTGCGCCAGTTATCCCGGCTCATACAGTTCACATGGTGCCGCCATAGCGCTATAGTGGTGATCCGACACTGTGTCGTGGATTCCTTAACCAGATCGACATTAATCTGGTTATGAATCCAAGTTCGTATACCAGTGACAGATGTAAGGTTGCATTTTTAATTAACCACCTATCGGGTTGGGCCTTGTCTTGGGCTAATCCCATTTGGGAATCCGGTGTCATGCTCCCTGATACCCCATCTGCTCCCGGACTTCACTCCAGCGTTTCCCACGTTGGCCTCTGGGACTCCGCCACCTTTTATGACGCTAATGGCATCATGACGTCATGCACGTGGCGACGTCATACCGCTGATGACGTCACGACCCGCCAAAATGTCCGAAAACAAACATTTTGGGGGCATGGCTTTCAATTTAAAGAACATGCCTATAAAAGGCTAGTTCAAACATAGAGCTTTGCCTTGTTGTGGTCCCTGTTTTGTTCCCAATGGCGCTTTTGTTTCTGATTGTTCTTTTTGGCATTCTGACCTTGGCTTGTTCACTACTCTCCATTCTCTTGTTCTTGACCCAGCTTTGGTACCTCGACCATTCTGTTTTCTGGTTTCCTGACTCGGCTGGTACCTCGCTTTCGTACTCTCTATATTCCTTGAACTCGGCTTGTCTTTGACTATTCTCATTCTGTCTACGTAGAGTCCGGCCATTCTAAGGTCCAGTATACGTACTTTATTTACATCCTGTTGGGTCTCCTAGGCTTCCTGACATTACAACAAGGCCATATGGACCCTGCAGGTGTAACTGTCTGTGAGGATAGATTCACAGACATGGATCGCCACATGGACCAGATGGCCATTGCACTACAGACCTCATTGGCACGGTCAGCAGGTCAGCAGGAAGAAAACCGACCCTCTGTGGCCACACCGGTTTCCACGGGTATGGAAGTGACACCATATGGTACCACCTCTCATGTCACTCCTGCCTTACGATATAATGGGGCTCCTGAGACTTGTCGTGGGTTTCTTAATCAAATAGGTATCCATTTTGAGCTGCAACCCAGGGCATATCCCACTGATAGGGCTAAGATTTGGTTCATCATTACCCTACTAATAGAGAAAGCGCTAACCTGGGCTAATCCGTTGTGGGAGAATGACAGCCCCCTAGTTTATAATTACTTAGCTTTTATGGACACCTTTCGTAGGACTTTTGATCTCCCTGGTAGAAGGGCTAATGCTGCTAGGTCCCTTCTACGCCTTAAAGGGAATAAGTCATTAGTGGAGTATGCACTGGAATTCAGGTTCTTGGCTGCAGAGATAAAATGGAATAACCAGACCTTTGTTGACATGTTTCTTAACGATCTTTCAGATACCATTTTAGACGAGGTAGCTACTAGAGAACTACCTGATGGTCTAGAAGATTTGATATCATATATCAGCCATATAGACGAACATCTTAGGTATCAGCAGAATACTAGAGAAAGACCTAAAGGAGTGTTGATCCGATTGGCTCCTTCGTCCAACACTATAGAATCTGCAGCCCTAGCACTACCTGAACCAATGCAAGAACCCATACAATTAGGCACAACCCACTTAACAGAGGAAGAAAAACAATTCCGCAGAAGAGAGGGGTTATGCTTATATTGCGGGGAAAAGGGACACCTTAGACTGGCTTGTCTTAGCCGGCCAGAAAACATCCGCACCTAAGTTCCTTTGGAGGACAGGCCTTGGGTGTTTCCATCACGTCCTCCTTAAAAAGAAATAACAACATCAGCTTCTCATACCCATCACCTTGACCTGGGAAGGAATCGTTATACAAACAGTGGCATTGATAGACTCTGGGGTCGCTGAGAGTTTCATTGATGTATCCTTCGCTAATAAGCATTCCATTCCTATATGGTCAAGAGACACACCCTTGGCCATAGATGGTAGACCGCTATATAAGCCGGTGACTACTCATGAAACAGATTCCCTGCAGATGCAAGTCAGTTTGTTACATAAGGAATCCATCGTTCTGCTATATATTTTGTCCCCTATATTTCCCGTGGTACTAGGGTTTCCTTGGTTACGGTTACATAACCCATCCAGCAATTGGGCTAATGGGAAGATAGATTACTGGAGCGATTATTATTTACAGATTGTGTGACAACTAAAACACATTTGTTTGCTTAATGTTCCGACTACATCTCCGTTATCCACTAAGATACCTGGACCCTATCTTAGTGTCAAGGAGGTATTTGAGAAAAGTAGAGCCGAGTCACTTCCTGCTCACCAGTCGTATGACTGTCCTATAGACCTTTTACCTGGAACCATGCCTCCTAGAAGTACCGTATATCATCTTTCACCCAAAGAGAATTTGGTGTTGGAGGAATATATTAAGTAAAATTTAAAGAAAGGGTTTATTAGGAAATCTTCGTCTCCCACAGGTGCAGGATTTTTTTTTTCTCTAAAAAGGAGGGGGATTTTCGACCATTACCGGGGTTTAAACAGAATCACAGTAAGGAATGCATACCCTATACCACTGATCTCTGAATTCTTTGATAGGTTAAAACATGCCAAGATTTTTACCAAACTCAATCTTAGGAATGCGTATAACCTTCTAAGAATACGGAAAGGTGATGAATGGAAGACAGCATTCAATACTTGATACGGGCATTACGAATACACCATAATGCCCTTTGGTTTATGCAATGCCCCAGCTGTCTTCCAAGACCTGGTTAATGATGTTTTGAGAGATTACTTACATGAGTGTGTGATTGTTTATCTAGATGACATTCTCATATACTCCAACTCATTAGAAGAACACCACAGGCATGTCAAGAAAGTTTTACTCCGTTTACTACAACATGGGTTGTATTGTAAGTTGGAGAAATGCCTATTTGATCAAACCCAAATCAGTTTTAGGATTCTCTATGGATCCTGTGAAGTTAGAATCCATAATCAATTGGCCTCTTCCTTCTGGACTCACAGTTATACAACGTTTTATAGGCTTCTCCAACCACTACTTTTATCAAGAGTTTTTCTTCCATCATAGCTCATATCACAGCTATGACTAAGAAGATTAATAATCCCAAAACGTGGACCCCTGAAGCTAGGGAAGCATTTGAGTCCTTAAAATTAGCCTTCTCCTCTGCTCCTATTCTAGTCCACCCTGATCCAACCCTTCCTTATTTACTAGAGGTAGATGCGTCCGAAACAGGCATAGGTGCAGTCTTATCTCAGAGGAAGGGACCAGATAAACCATTGCATCCTTCTGGGTTTTATTTCAAGAAACTTACAGAGGAGATATGAAATTGGAGATAGGGAGCTACTCGCTATCATCCTTGCCTTAAAAGAATGGAGACATTTACTATAACCATCTTAACAGATCATAAGAATCTTGCTTATTTGGTAGAGGTTATCCGCTGGGCAGGCTTGCTGGTCGCTATTTCTAACACGGTTTAATTTTATCCTCAATTATAGACCAGGGTGTAAAAATACTAAGGCAGATGTCTTTTCTCGCCAATACGAACCTCAGATGAGTCCTTTTATGAAAATGTCTACCGTGGTACCAAGTTCTCGTATTCTTGCTAATACAATTCTTAGAATCACATCTGATCTTGTTGATAACATATCTTCAAGACAAAATCAAACACCAGAATCGACTACTGTTGATAAATTGCTTGTCCCTTCCAAATATAGAATACCCATACTTACACATCATCATGATTGTAAAACAGCGGGACATCCTGTTATCAAAAAGACATATTCCCTTATACTACAAAAGTATTGTTGGCCTTCCTTGAGGAAGTATGTCAAGGACTACGTTACTGCATGTGACATCTGCTCAAGAAATAAACAACCCCATACTCTCCCTTGTGGCCTGTTACAACCACTCGACATACCAGACAAACCATGGAAAAGTATTTCTATAGACTTTATTGTTGATCTTCCCATGTCCAAAGGGAGAACTGTCATATTAACAATAGTAGATAGGTTTTCTAAGATGGCACATTTCGTGTCTTTATCTAAGTTACCATCTTCGCCTGAATTGGCAACTATATTCTCCATAGTGGTTTTTCGCTTGCACGGTATATCAACTGAGATCGTATCTGATAGAGGCTCGCAATTCATCTCTCGGTTCTGGAGGGCCATTTGTGCTCAATTGGGCATTGAATTAAGTTTTTCATCCGCCTACCATCCGCAGTCCAATGGGGCAGCAGAACGTACAAACCAAAAGCTGGAACAATATCTACGATGTTTCATTTCTGAGCATCAAGATGACTGGGTCGATTTGCTTCCCTGGGTTGAATTTGCTCATAATAATTTGGTTAGCGAGGCTACCTATTTCAGTCCCTTTCATCTCAACTATGGTTTCAACCCTCATGTCCTTCCTTCTGCTCTCTCTTCTCAGGGTATGCCGTTAGTGGACTTTCATATTGAAAACCTGAGAAATACTTGGGAACAGGCTCAGCTCATTCTCTCTAACACTTCTCGTTCATTCAAATTCTGCTGACAAACGTAGGGAGAAATCATGATCTTCAACCCATGTGGTATTAAATAAGAGTACCTAGCCTACTATCTGGCAACAACGTTGTTTTGTTTCACCAGTGTACATTTTTGTCCTCTTACTTTTTTACCTCATTATGCTCTAAACAGGAGCACCGTTTGTTGTTTCTATTTACCCCTCCAGTTCTCCTTTCTCACCATAAGCTAGGTGGATCACTACTGTCGCTGGGGAGAGAGACCGGTTGTGTGGGAGTGTCTGAGTGTATTGTATGTATTGATTGGTTGTACTTCAAAACCCTGTGGGCGGCACTATGTTTGTAGAATGGGCATAAAAGCAGAGTGTTTGAATAAAAGTTCAGTTCTTCTTCACCCTCAATCTAGAGTCTTGTCTCTTAAGGGGAGGTAACCGGCTATATCACTATAAGGGATTGCTATGCTCTGCATGCTCCCTTGAATATTCACTTCTAGGCTCTTGTAAGAGCTTGTTCCTGGTTTGCTTTCTGAAGGAGTCTACGGTGGTTATGGTGTCTGCTGGAGTGCTTGGAGCCCTCAGGAAGCGCTAGGAGCATCCTTCAATGGAGGTACCCAGTCGGGGTGCCAGGTGATCCATTACATTGGTGGCAAGCGGTGGGATGGCATCCTAGCGCAAGGAACAGCACCCTGGAGACACTGACTGGTATCTTATGAGAGGTTATTGAGGGCAACGCTAGCCACTGCGCAGCGTCCCTAACTACAGCAGCATGGAGCGAGCAAGACCCTGGATAGAACCCCTTGAAGAGCACCTCAACCTGATACGTTGCTACGAGGGCGACGCTTACCTTGAGGAGGTAAAGAGGCGGTTAGACTTGTATGGCCCAGACACTTCGAACGAGGTGGTCTTCCAAGTAATGCACCAGTTGAGTGCTGAGAACCATGCGGCAATGGACTTTGAGCAAAAACTCTGGAGGTTGAGGATATGAACACTCAGTCTCCAGCGGCAGTGTGTGTCCCAGGGAGCCGAAGGTGCCATCCTTCTTCCCCAGCGGCAGTGTGAGTTCCAGAGAGAGGAGACAACTGGTCTCTCTCCCCATCGGCAGTGTGTGCCCCAGGGAGCCAAAGGTATCGTCCTTCCTCCCCAGCAGCAGTGTGAATCCCAGGGAGCCAAAGGTCCTTCCTCCCCAGCGGCAGTTTGAGTTCCAGGGAGAGGGGACAACCGGTTTCTCTCCCCAGCGGCAGTGTACGCCCAGGTAGCCCAAGGTGCCGTCCTTCTTCCCCAGTGACAGTGTGAGTTCCAAGGAGCCGAAGGTGTCATCCTTCCTCCCCAGCGGCAGTGTGAGTTCCAGGGAGCCAAAGGTGCCATCCTACCTCCCCATCGGCAGTGTGAGTTCCCAGGAGCCGATGGTACCGTCCTTCCTCCCCAGCGGCAGGGTGAGTTTTAGGGAAAGGAGACAGACGGTCTCTCTCCCCAGCGGCGAAGTATTGTATTGGGAGTGGAGACAATCGGTCTTCCTCCCCAGCAGCAGTATGCACCCCAGGGGACCTAACTTTTAAGCCAATGGAAGGAATTGCCAGATTTTTTAGTATGTTTGTATTTGTATTTGGAGTATGCTGATTCTGAAAATGTGAATGTGATGTATACTTTTGGAGTTATGAATATTGTGCAAAACTGTGTATTTTCCTGCCTGTGATAATTATGTTAGCTCATTGTGTTTAGTAATTATATCACAGGCAGAGGGGAGGATTTTGTGTGGGAGTGTCTGAGTGTATTATGTTTGTAGAATGGGCATAAAAGCAGAGTGTTTGAATAAATGTTCAGTTCTTCTTCACCCTCAATCTAGAGTCTTGTCTCTTATTGGGGGTAACCGGCTATACCACTATAAGGGATTGCTATGCTCTGCATGCTCCCTTGAATATTCACTTCTAAGCTCTTGTAAGAGCTTGTTCCTGGTTTGCTCTCTAAAGGAGTCTATGGTGGTTATGGTGTCTGCTGGAGTGCTTGGAGCCCTCAGGAAGCGCTAGGAGCATCCTTCAATGGAGGTACCCAGTCGGGGTGCCAGGTGATCCGTTACAATCACCCACTCCCCTCCCCTCCCCTGTCCCATAGTGTTCATTATCACCCACTCCCCTCCATTGTCCCATAGTGTTCTTCCCCCCCTCCCCTGTACTATAGTGTACCATACCACCCTCTCCCCTTCCCTGTCTCATAGTGTTACTAACCACCCACTCCCCATCCCTGTCCCATAGTTTTCTCCCCCCTCCCGTCCCATAGTGTTCCTTATCACCCACTCCCCTCCCCTGTCCCATAGTGTTCCTTACCACCCACTCCCTCCCATCCCATAGTGTTCTCCCCCTCTCCTCTGTCCCATAGTGTTCCTTATCACCCACCCCCCTGTCCCATAGTGTTCCTTATCACCCACTCCCCTCCCCTGTCCCATATTGTTCCTTATCACCCACTCCTCTCCCCTGTCCCATAGTGTTCCTTACCACCCATTCCCTCCCGTCCCATAGTGTTCTCCCCCTCTCCTCTGTCCCATAGTGTTCCTTATCACCCACCCCCCTGTCCCATAGTGTTCCTTATCACCCACTCCCCTCCCCTATCCCATAGTGTTCCTTACCACCCACTCCCTCCCGTCCCATAGTGTTCTCCCCCCTCCTCTGTCCCATAGTGTTCTTCCCTCTCCCCCTGTCCCATAGTTTTACCCCCTCCCTCCTCTGTCCCATAGTGTTCTCCCCCTCCCTCCCCTGTCCCATAGGGTTCTCCCCCTCCCCTGTCCCGTAGTGTTCTCCCCCTCACCTGTCCCATGTGCGGTATTCTTGACTTTTCATGTTATCATTACTATCTTTCATTATGATATATAATCATCTGAATTGTTAATGCAAGCATGTCTGTTAAACTACACACTACAAAAAAGAAATATCTAAAACAAAAAATATTTTGGTGCATCCCTACTTATAACAGCGATGGCTCATCTTGCAATGCCACTCACATTTCCCATGATGCTTGGCTGGCATTTATATTGGTCATCACTGCTATTAATGCAAGTGTCTTACACAATACGCAGAGCACCAGAGTAAACACCCACAGTACAGTGACCAGTAATCATACCCTCCAAACAAAGAAACGATAAAGAATGATACATTATAGAACCCAGTATTGATAGCCCCTTACAGAGATTAGTGGGAATAATACAGCATAGAGACCAGTAATGATACCCCTACAGAGATTAGTGGAATAATACAGCATAGAGACTAGTAATGATACCTTACAGAGACGCTCAGTGGGAACACACAGTATAGAGACCAGTAATGCATACCCCCTACAGATTAGTGGAATTTCACACAGTATAGAGACCAGTAATGATACCCCCACAGAGAGATTAGCAAGTGGAATACAGTATAGAGACCAGTAATGATACCCCCTTACAGAGATTAGTTGGAATAATACAGTATAGAGACCAGTAATGATACCCCCTTACAGAAAATAGTTGGAATAATACAGTATAGAGACCAGTAATGATACCCCCTTACAGAGATTAGTGGGAATAATACAGTATAGAGACCAGTAATGATACCCCTTTACAGAAAATAGTTGGAATAATACAGTATAGAGACCAGTAATGATACCTCCTTACAGAGATTAGTTGGAATAATACAGTAAGGAGATTAGTGGGAATATTACAGTATAGAGACCAGTAATGATACCCCCTTACAGAGAATAGTTGGAATAATACAGTATAGAGACCAGTAATGATACCCCCTTACAGAAAATAGTTGGAATAATACAGTATAGAGACCAGTAATGATACCTCCTTACAGAGATTAGTTGGAATAATACAGTAAGGAGATTAGTGGGAATAATACAGTATAGAGACCAGTAATGATACCCCCTTACAGAGAATAGTTGGAATAATACAGTATAGAGACCAGTAATGATACGTCCTTACAGAGATTAGTGGGAATAATACAGTATAGAGACCAGTAATGATACCCCCTTACAGAGATTAGTAGGAATAATACAGTATAGAGACCAGTAATGATACCCCCTTACAGAGAATAGTTGGAATAATACAGTATAGAGACCAGTAATGATACCTCCTTACAGAGATTAGTGGGAATAATACAGTATAGAGACCAGTAATGATACCCCCTTACAGAGATTAGTAGGAATAATACAGTATAGAGACCAGTAATGATACCCCCTTACAGAGATTAGTAGGAATAATACAGTATAGAGACCAGTAATGATACCCCCTTACAGAGATTAGTGGGAATAATACAGTATAGAGACCAGTAATAATACCCCCTTACAGAGATTAGTAGGAATAATACAGTATAGAGACCAGTAATAATACCCCCTTACAGAGATTAGTGGGAATAATACAGTATAGAGACCAGTAATGATACCCCCTTACAGAGATTAGTGGGAATAATACAGTATAGAGACCAGTAATGATACCTCCTTACAGAGATTAGTGGGAATAATACAGTATAGAGACCAGTAATGATACCCCCTTACAGAGATTAGTAGGAATAATACAGTATAGAGACCAGTAATGATGGCTCTCCTACAGAGACAGGGAATAATGCATGAGACCAGTAATAATTCTTACAGAGATTAGTAGTAGGAATAATACAGTATAGAGACCAGTAATGATACCTCCTTACAGAGATTAGTGGGAATAATACAGTATAGAGACCAGTAATGATACCCCCTTACAGAGATTAGTAGGAATAATACAGTATAGAGACCAGTAATGATACCTCCTTACAGAGATTAGTGGGAATAATACAGTATAGAGACCAGTAATGATACCCCCTTACAGAGATTAGTAGGAATAATACAGTATAGAGACCAGTAATAATACCCCCTTACAGAGATTAGTAGGAATAATACAGTATAGAGACCAGTAATGATACCCCCTTACAGAGATTAGTAGGAATAATACAGTATAGAGACCAGTAATGATACCCCCTTACAGAGATTAGTGGTAATAATACAGTATAGAGACCAGTAATGATACCCCCTTACAGAGATTAGTGGGAATAATACAGTATAGAGACCAGTAATGATACCTCCTTACAGAGATTAGTGGGAATAATACAGTATAGAGACCAGTAATGATACCTCCTTACAGAGATTAGTGGGAATAATACAGTATAGAGACCAGTAATAATACCCCCTTACAGAGATTAGTAGGAATAATACAGTATAGAGACCAGTAATGATACCCCCTTACAGAGATTAGTGGAATAATACAGTATAGAGACCAGTAATGATACCCCCTTACAGAGATTAGTGGTAATAATACAGTATAGAGACCAGTAATGATACCCCCTTACAGAGATTAGTGGGAATAATACAGTATAGAGACCAGTAATGATACCTCCTTACAGAGATTAGTGGGAATAATACAGTATAGAGACCAGTAATGATACCTCCTTACAGAGATTAGTGGGAATAATACAGTATAGAGACCCGTAATGATACCTCCTTACAGAGATTAGTGGTAATAATACAGTATAGAGACCAGTAATGATACCCCCTTACAGAGATTAGTGGGAATAATACAGTATAGAGGCCAGTAATGATACCTCCTTACAGAGATTAGTGGGAATAATACAGTATAGAGGCCAGTAATGATACCCCCTTACAGAGATTAGTTGGAATAATACAGTATAGAGACCAGTAATGATACCCCCTTACAGAGATTAGTGGGAATAATACAGTATAGAGGCCAGTAATGATACCCCCTTACAGAGATTAGTGGGAATAATACAGTATAGAGGCCAGTAATGATACCCCCTTACAGAGATTAGTGGGAATAATACAGTATAGAGACCCGTAATGATACCCCCTTACAGAGATTAGTGGGAATAATACAGTATAGAGACCAGTAATGATACCTCCTTACAGAGATTAGTGGGAATAATACAGTATAGAGGCCAGTAATGATACCCCCTTACAGAGATTAGTTGGAATAATACAGTATAGAGACCCGTAATGATACCTCCTTACAGAGATTAGTAGCTGGAGACCAGTACTAGTAACTCATTTCGTCAAAAATATATATAAAATAGTATCTTTAAAGTACATAAAAAGGGGTATTTTTATATTCTGTGATACTTAACACTCAATACTAGTAACTCGTGTATAAAGCAGTAATTCTACTGATATAATTACTTCATTTTTTGTTAATGGATAATATCAGTAAGCCATTGTTCCTTTTTTTTTTCAGGTGCGAAGAAGGTGGAGACGAAGCTTACTGCGCATTCGGAGAACAGTCAGAAACTGCTGATCCGACAAAGCTACCCCGTGAGAGTGAGGAAAAGCCAAATGTACAAAGGGACTAGGAATCAGGCAGTAAGGGAAGCTTCCCGTGTGGTCACAGCCTCGGGGATCGTGGTGAAATACATGCTGGATGGATCTACCCAGGTATGGAAACTACCCAAATTCACCAGATCCATGACTGGCCATTAAAGCTTTGAATAATTCCTTACTTTCCACCAGTCACAGATAGGAGCCGAATAACCGGGTCCTTCAATTCCTCTATCTGAGCAATCTCTAAAGCCAAGCTCTGTATTATGCGGAGAAAATAAAAATAGAACCAAAAATAAATAGAACTCTGAACAAGAAGCTGCCACCCTCTAGGTACACTCTAAAAACCTATAAAAAACATAAGTAAAAAAGGAAGAGAAGGTGGAATAAATCCCACCTAATGGGGGCGCTAAGTGCTAGAGAAAATAGAGGTCTTATAGGAGACTATAGACACTCAAGAGTAAATACTCTATGGAGACTTTAAAAATAGTATAAAAATACAATTTATTTTGCATCACAGTGCAATTAATTCATAAAAAAAAATATATATAAAAAGAAATAATAATAAAGTGCATAAACATCCAATACAAAGATAGTAACAATGTACAGTCCTATTATGAGACCTGGGAAAAAAAGCCCGGCATCAACCACTAAACAAAACAGTGATAAGTAAAAAGATGAACTGAACAGCCCTTGGTCGCGACTTCCAGGGCTGAAAGATACTTGCAAACTGGATCGGTAGTGGTGATATTACGGTCTCTGGACTTGGGTTGGATGATAGATGAGGCTCAACGCGTTTCGTCCCGCTTTGTTCAGGACTTCCTCAGGAGCTGTGGATTTACTCAAGCTCTGTATTAGTCTTTTTCATGTTACACGAGTCTCTCTCTGGCTAGCAATGCCACGTGATCTCGGGGAAGGGAATTTACTAGAACTTTAAGCCAGTCAGGGGGACCGACCCAGCTGCTAATTTAATTTCTCAACTAAGAGGTGGCCAGTACAGGAGCCAAGGTTAACGTAAGTGGGGTTTATTACTAAAAGGGAGCTCTGTCTGGGATTTATTTGATGTTAATGATATTTAATGTCTCAGGTTCTCTTTCCTGATGGAACGGTTTGCCAGAGTCCAGACTCTGGTCCCATTGTCCAGCCTTCTGGTCCCTCCTCATTACCTCCTAAAGTTCGTGATGCTCACCCAGCAACACCTCCATCAGCCCGACAAGATGATCAAAAGCCAGAACCGGTGCCTGAACAAGTGACCAAGAAAGGTAATCTTTACCGGATCAATTGAACGTGTGTCCTGTGAATGAAACTGAATATTACAGTGCAGTCACTGGTTGTCAGAATGTGTGTGAGCAGGGGCGAACTGACCACTTGGACCGTGGGCCAGAGGCAGTCAGTGGCCCGGCTGCACTCATGCTTCTGATCTCCACAGTCATAAGGAAGTTTGCTTGGGCCCATGATGAGACAGAGAGCCCCAGCAACCTGTCACCCTGCAATTCCAATCCCCCATTCAGCGTGAGACCTGGCAGCTTACCTGCTGTCACTGCCAGGTCTCCTCTCTCTCCCTGCAGACAGTACACAGCGATAGGTGTGAGGATGGGAGGGGGCAGGAAGTGACTTCATACCCCCTGCTCCCCTCTCACATGGAGCACTCACAGGATGGATGGAGGGTGAGAACAGGAGCCTGGCACAGCAGATCCCATTCAGGCTGGAGGGAGGAAGAGAAATCAGACTAGGGGTGAAAAGGGCAGATAAATATGTGGAATGAAGGGGTGAACCAGGACAGAGGCACACAGGGGTTTGTAGAGATGTGGGGATTTATTACATATTTTTGTTGGTTCTCTTATTAGCTCTTGATGCCTAATTGTCTAATTTTTGTGATGTGTGTGTTTTTATCTTTTCCACTTATAGGGGATTTTTTATTTTTATCATTAGTTTAAAGGACCACTATAGTGCCAGGAAAACAAACTTGTTGTCCTGGCTCTATAGGGTCTTTAAGTCCCCCCCACCTTCAGGGTCCCACTCCCACCGGGCTGAAGGGGGAAGAAGGGGTTAATCACTTACCTTTCTCCAGCGCTGGGTTCCCTTGGCGCTGGGGAACTCTCCTCCCTCTTCTGACGTCAAGAGCAGCGCACGCATTCAATCAGTCATTAGGAAAGCATTACTCAAGTAACACAGTGAGAAGCGCGGAAGCGCATCTAGCGGCTGTCAATGAGACAGCCACTAGAGGCTGGATTAACCCTAATGTAAACATAGCAGTTTCTCTGAAACTGCTATGTTTACTGCTGCAGGGTTAACCCTAGCTGGACCTTGCACCCAGACCACTTCATTGAGCTGAAGTGGTGTGGGTGCATATAGTGGTCCTTTAACTAAGGTGTCATTACCTGATATTGCTTGCCTGCTTACAGATTTTTTGTACGGCCCATTATATATGACTTTTGCTTTTTAGGTGAATTCCCTATGCTAAGGAATATGTAAATGTTTCATGAATGTTTTATATGGTATGAAATGTAATAAATATTACATTTTAAAAACTAATTATTAGTAGGAGGGGTTAAAAAAAATTAAAGAAAAACTATAGTGCCAGGAATAAAATGTGTATTTCTGACACTATAGTTTTAAAAGAATGGTTTAGGTGATCAGCCCCCCTATCAGAGGAGTAAAATAGTAAAAGGTGTATTTACTCCTCTTTATTCCAGTGCTGCGCTGGTCTTGTCGCAGCTGGCTCCACCCAGCTCCTCCTCCTTGACTAAGATCATCAAATTTGATGATCTAAGCCAGGGCTTGACAAATCCCAGGTCGCCACTGTGACTCGAAATTTCGCCCTGTTGTCTGGGATTTGCCATCTCTTTTTTAATGTGGTCGCCGAGGGAGCTTTGTAGGCGGCCACCGCAGGGAATATTAGAGCCGTCCATGGAGGCGGCCGGCCGGTTGAGGCAGCATGGAGCCGACCACCCTGAGGAGGATGGAGGCGACTGGCTGAGGCAGCATGGAGCTGGCCGCCCGCGGAGCATTGTAGGCGGCGCGCGAGGGAGCAGTAATCTTACTGCAACTCCTCTCTGCATCCTTGCGCTGTTATATGATGCCACTAGCCAGAATATGACATCACTCTGGCCCCAGAGAGTGCGCAAGGAGCATGGAGCAGAGAGGAACTGCAGTAAGATTACTTCTCCCTCGCATGCAGGAAGAGAGCAGCTCCACTGGACCCCAGGGTAAGATCCACTAAGCAGGGTAAAGGCTGAGTGGGTTTCAATTAAAACACAAATGTATGTGAGCCTGCCAGAGTGAGAGTGTTTGTGTGAACCTGACAATGTGTGTGTGTGTGTGTGTAAGCCTGTCAGAGTGATAGTGTGTGAGCCTGTCAGAGTGAGAGTGTGTGAGCCTGTCAGAGTGAGAGTGTGTGTAAGCCTGTCAGAGTGAGAGTGTGTGTAAGCCTGTCAGAGTGAGAGTGTGTGAGCCTGTCAGAGTGAGAGTGTGTGTAAGCCTGTCAGAGTGAGAGTGTGTGAGCCTATCAGAGTGAGAGTGTGTGTAAGCCTGTCAGAGTGAGAGTGTGTGAGCCTATCAGAGTGAGAGTGTGTGTAAGCCTGTCAGAGTGAGAGTGTGTGAGCCTATCAGAGTGAGAGTGTGTGTAAGCCTGTCAGAGTGAGAGTGTGTGAGCCTATCAGAGTGAGAGTGTGTGTAAGCCTGTCAGAGTGAGAGTGTGTGAGCCTATCAGAGTGAGAGTGTGTGTAAGCCTGTCAGAGTGAGAGTGTGTGAGCCTATCAGAGTGAGAGTGTGTGTAAGCCTGTCAGAGTGAGAGTGTGTGAGCCTATCAGAGTGAGAGTGTGTGTAAGCCTGTCAGAGTGAGAGTGTGTGAGCCTATCAGAGTGAGAGTGTGTGTAAGCCCTGTCAGAGTGAGAGTGTGTGAGTCAGAGTGAGAGTGTGTGAGCCTGTCAGAGTGAGTGTGTGTGTGCGCCTGTCAGAGTGAGAGCCTGTGTGCGTGCGCCTGTCAGAGTGAGACTGTGTGCGCCTGTCAGAGTGAGACTATGTGAGCCTGTCAGAGTGAGACTGTGTGAGCCGGTCAGAGTGAGACTGTGTGAGCCTGTCAGAGTGAGACTATGTAAGCCTGTCAGAGTGAGAGTGTGTGAGCCTGTCAGAGTGAGAGTGTGTGTACCTGTTGTGTGAGCCTGTCAGAGGGTGTGTGTTTGTGTGAACCTGACAATGTGTGTGTGTGTGTAAGCCTGTCAGAGTGAGAGTGCCTGTCAGAGTGAGAGTGTGTGAGTCTGTCAGAGTGAGAGTGTGTGCACCTGTCAGAGTGAGTGTGAGAGTGTGTGTACCTGTTGTGTGAGCCTGTCAGAAGGTGTGTGTTTGTGTGAACCTGACAATGGGTGTGTGTGTGTGTGAGCCTGTCAGAGTGAGTGTGTGTGTGTGTATGAGCAAGCCTGTTGTCAGAGTGTGTGTGAGCCTGTCAGAGTGTGTGTGTGTGTGCGTTTAGGTATTTAGGTACCTGCCCGCTCCGATCACCTTTTTTCACACACCATGCCAGTTTCACCACGGCTGGTCCCACCTCCATGGCTGAGATTATCAATCTTCATGATCTCATCTAACCCAATGCTTTCCCTTAGGATTTTGTGCATGTGCAGTCCTGTCCCAGGACTCTCTAGTGGCTGTCTGAGTGACTGACTGTCACTAGAGGTGTTACTAAGCAGCAATGTAAACACTGCCTTTTCACTGAAAAGGCAGTGTTTACCCTGAAAAGCATGCAGGGACAAGCTACAGACAACAGAACAATTAAATCAAGCTGTAGTGGTTCTGGTGGTTATAGTGTCCCTTTAAGATTTACATTTGAAAAAATTTGTTTTTTGAAAATGACTGGCTTCTAACTTTTCTAGCTGGCTCCTAGATTCCAAACAAATTTGTCAAGCCCTGATCTAAGCCAATCCAGTGCTTTCCCATAGGAAAGCATTGGGGGCTATTGCGCATGTACGGCTAAACGCCGCAATGCACTAATCAGCATCTCCTCATAGAGATGCATTGAATCACTGCCACTCAATTTTTACTTGAAATTCCTAACAACCTGCAAACTCCCCCAGGTAGACACATAATAAGGCGCTTAAGTCTTCATGCAAAGCGTGGAGACGTTGAACATCAGTGCCTCCCACTAGAGGTGTTCCTAGGCAGTAATGTAAACACAGTGCCTTTTCTCTGAAAAGGCACTGTTTACATTAAAAAGCCTGCAAGGATTAGCTGTGGACACCAGAACAACTACATTAAGCTGTAGTTGTTATGGTGACTATAACATCCCTTTTAATAATTAATATTTGGTCTTCAAAGGTCACATAATCCCTATCACAATTCCACTAACTCTTTCTGAAGAATCTGTAGATACATATAGTGAGGATGGAGACCTAGACAGAAAATAGTAACTAACCCTACCCAAAACTCAAGGAACCGTTAAATCTTCTTAACATACCTGCTGCCATCGTTTATGTGTTTGCATGGACAAAAGGAGGGCCCACAAACTGGGTACCATTGTAAGCAGTATGATGGCTCCCACACCCTCGTAGCAGAAGACATGTAGGTACCCAACCAGTTGTGTTACTCTATAGCTAAGACATATTATTTCTCCTTATTTCATTTCTCCCTCCTTTCTCTGATACATGACTCAGATTTCTCCCCTGGCCTAGACTCCATAGCTTTTTAGCAATTATTGGAGACCCCTCTGCCGCAGATAGACTATATCATGTCCCCTGCTAGAGTTGCTAAGAGAGAGCAGGCGGTTACATCACAAAGATGCCAACTGATTAGACACTGAATGGCTTTTTGAACGATCCAGTGTTAAACACGGAGAGCCTTAAATGAATGCCTGCCCATATCTAATGGTAAAATGGGAGATTGTTACAGTGAAACCCAACTAATAGCTGTACTCTGAGCCAAGCTCAATTCTCAGTAAAACACAAGGAAAAGCCTTACTGTCCTTGTGGTATTGTACCCGGTGTCCACAATCAGTCCACCTGGACCAAGACAGGAATTTTTATGCTGTGTTTTCCCAATACCACTGCATCGCACTTCAAATTCAACTTATAAAACGTCTCACCCAACTAGAATTGTAAATGCAGCTGAGCATCTAATACCAGAGTCCCTTTTATGTTGTCGCTGGGCTTGTGCAAATGTATTTCTATTTGTTTCATTGGTGGTCTCCTGTAACGTTTAGTTTGTAACAGGCTAAATGTGTGACCTTTGTGCAATATTATAAACCTAATGAAATGTATTTACAAAAGCTAAAAGAATGGGTGGATGGAAAGTCGACAAAATATCGAAGGCCAACAGAGCATATGTTAAGAAAGTATTTTATTGTGTGTTTGCAGGGAAAAGTGGTCACAAAACAATGACCACCTCAGCAAGGCAAGAAAGTGTGGAGGCACCTGGCCAAGAGCCCCCAGCCCCGGTAATAACTGTCCCCGAAATAAAGCCTGGGACCTGGATCACAACTACCCCTTCTGGCCAGAAAATAGGAACCAGAGGATCCGAGAAACTGGAACTGAGCCCTGTCTTGTACTTTAAATCCACTGACCCGGTGAACGGAACGGCAAGTCAACACAGTTACTGTTAATGTCACAGTAGATCAATTAGGATCATCAATTAGGATCATCTGGAATAGTGAATTGAAGGGTCTGTCTCTTTCTGGGATTGAGAATTGAAGTGTCTCTCTCTATCTGGGATAGGGAATTGGAGGGTCTGTCTCTATCTGGGATAGGGAATTGAAGTGTCTGTCTCTATCTGGGATAGGGAATTGGAGGGTCTGTCTCTATCTGGGATTGGGAAATAGAGGGTCTGTCTCTATCTGGGATGGGAAATTGGAGGGTCTGTCTCTATCTGTCATGGGAAATTGAAGGGTCTGTCTCTTTCTGGGATTGAGAATTGAAGTGTCTGTCTCTGTCTGGGATAGGGAATTGGAGGGTCTGTCTCTATCTGGGATGGGAAACTGGAGGGTCTGTCTCTATCTGGGATTGGGAAATAGAGGGTCTGTCTCTAACTGGGATAGGGAATTGTCTCTATCTGGGATAGATAAATAGAGGGTCTGTCTCTATCTGGGATAGGGAATTGGAGGAACTTTCTCTATCTGGAATTGGGAAATAGAGGGTCTATCTCTATCTGGGATAGGGAAATAGATGGTATGTTTCTATCTGGGATAGGGAAATAGAGTCTCTATCTGGGATAGGAATTTAAACGGTGATACTGTGTCAGGGATGGGGATTTAGGGGTCTTACGCTATCTAGTATATAGATTTGCAGGCTATTTCTCAGGAAAATAGATGTGGCAAGATTTCTTTATTGCATGGTTTTTGGTGCATGTTTGAGAAAATGTCCAGAACTTTATTCACCCAGTCAGTGCCAGGGCTAATTAATGTTGCCCCACTATGCTGACATGTCATAGAGCTTATCACTGCACATGTACATCTTTATACCTAAACCTGTAATGGGCTGCAGGTTCAGGGGACATTGCTTTTGGTGACTGTAAGTGGAGTTGATACAAGCACACCCGATCAGAGATTTTGCAGGTTCTGCAAAGCCATTGCCCAGCAGGCTGAGACCCAGGATTGGGCACTTAACTTCAGGTTATGAAACTGGCTCGGAGGGTATTTGCTCTCCATAGAGTAAGGAGACCCTACTTCACATGGCTACGTTAGGACGTGCAACGGCGCTACAGAAACATAGTAATCGTTCCATTGATCAGCAATAAATACATATGGCAGTCTCACCAACCCATTCTACACATGGGGAGATAATGCGACTGCACTGAAGATTTCTGCTATTGATATAACAGACATCTCCATGTAAATATTATTATTAGTGGCATTTATAAAGCGCCAACATATTCCGCAGAGCTGTAATATCACTGCAGAGCCAAGTGAGGGAGTGAGGAGACCACTGTTGGTATGGATCTCTTGCTACCTTACACTAGACAGCAGTGCTAAAGGGACTCTATAGGGGTAGGAATACAAATCTGTATTCCTAACACTATAAAGCCCTCTGGTCCCTGTCTCAGTCACGCCCCCTTGCAACCAAAAGTGGCCTATCCATCGGTAAGTGCCTCTAGTAGCTGTCTAATTGACTTGGAAAAACTGCAAAAGTTACATTGCAGGACTAAGGACTAATTGGGATAGGGATACTGCACCCAGACCAATGAAATGAAGTGGTCTGGTTGACTATAGTGTCTCTTTAAGTCTTTAGCAATGGCTCGAGGAAGGGGGGTTTAGTCAAAGGGATACTCCAAAATATCTTCACACATTCCTACTGGTCCTCACTACTTTATCCTGCCACCTCTGTTCACCAAACTCTGGATTTTACATACTCTGGATTTTACACAGAGGGGCTGGTGGGCTCCTTTTGAAAAAAAATTGGCAAATAGCTGGGGTAAGTTACTAATTACTGATTGGTTTCCACCCTAGTTGATAATTGTAACTGAAAACTTACAATAACAGCTACTTAAACAAATACCGTCCACTCAGATTAGCCCCTCGCTGGTAAAACACAGAAACACACGCAGTGTCACCAGAAATAGATGTTCACTGTGAACATGCATACCCTGTGATTGGCCTTGGAAGGAGATAGTGACACCATATATAGTGTATTAAACTGGGTGCTATGCCAGACACATATTTAGGGCACGCTTGGGAAGCGTTCATTTAACACATGAACTTTAAACATAGCATAATGTTTTTATATAATATGTCTGGCATTTTCATTTCCCTTGAAATGTGTTTTAGGGATTTAATGTAATACAATATAGCTAATATGCTTTTCCTATAGAAAACATGGAGATTTACAGTTGTAAGCAAAATTATTCAACCCCCATTTGCCAAAATGTACAGACTTCCAGCTGTTTGCAATGAGCAAATCAAACAAAATCAATTGAAATTGCTTAACAAAAAAGATACACAGAGGGCTGGAAGGGCAAAGACACACAGAGGGGCTGGGGTGAACAAACAGACACACAGAGGGGCTGGTGGGAGAATGAGACACTCAGAGGGGCTGGTGGGAGAATGAGACACACAGAGGGGTTGGGGTGAACAAACAGACACACAGAGGGGCTGGTGGGAAAATGAGACACACAGAGGGGCTGGTGGGTGAATGAGACACACAGAGTGGTTGGGGTGAACAAACAGACACACAGAGGGGCTGGTGGGAGAATGAGACACACATAGGGGCTGGTGGGAGAATGAGACACACAGAGGGGCTGGGGTGAACAAACAGACATACAGAGGGGCTGGTGGGAGAATGAGACACACAGAGGGGCTGGTAGGAGAGTGACACACACAGAGGGGTTGGGGTGAACAAACAGACACACAGGGGCTGGTGGGAAAATGAGACACACAGAGGGGCTGGTGGGAGAATGGCTGGGGAGAATGAGACACACAGAGGGGGGGTGAACAAACAAACACACAGAGGGGCTGGTGGGAGAATGAGACACACAGAGGGGTTGGGGTGAACAAACAGACACACAGAGGGGCTGGTGGGAGAATGAGACACACAGAGGGGTTGGGGTGAACAAACAGACACACAGAGGGGCTGGTGGAGAATGAGACACACAGAGGGGTTGGGGTGAACAAACAGACACACAGAGGGGCTGGTGGGAGAATGAGACACTATGAGGGGCTATAACAACCAGACATTTGATTGAAGGATTGCATCAGGTTTGATTGACAAGTCCAAAAATATGAGGCTCCGTTCATTTCTTTTTTTTTTAGGCATTTGATAATACTGCACATTTTTATGAAATAAAATATTGTATGACAAGAGAAACAGGCTTAACTTACATTTGCTAGAATGAGTTCTGTATTGGCAGAGCACGCATTAGTTACAGCTAACCATAGCTTATAAACGTGCCTGGTGTCTATTGCGTCTAAGAGCAAGGCATATTGAACTATTATGCAATAAGAACGTTAACAGGACCACTGTATGAGGGTTCAACAGCTTGGAAGAATAAATGGGTATCATAATAAAAGTGTTAAAACAAAATGACTTTTGTCGCTTGTGTGCCACTGGGTGTACTTTCGCACAAGTCAGGTGGCAGCCAGCTCCCAAAATCAGAGAGTCAGCCAATACCAAGAATAGGCACCCATCTGCCATGTGCGTGTTGGCCTTACTGTTTATGGGACTTTCCTTGTTTTGTAACCCCCTAACCTGCGTTCTGGAGGTACATCAGACACAATTTTGGGAAGTACCCAGCTGAAGTCCACATGTGATTTATTCAAGGCATGCAGTTTGAGCCAGCTTTTAAAGTGGCTCCATCTATGTGAGTGAGACTAATACATTTCTTTTAAGTTTACAGTTTAAACTTTATTACCCTATGTCTTCTCTATTTATGTTTATTTGCAGAGATTGACTCCAATTTGGGTAATATTAATTCCATTTATTTGAAGTACTCTCACCATCTTTCTTTTTATTGTCCATTTCTATGTGTTGGCCGCTGTAGTTTGCCTCGCTACGGTTCAGAGGTGAGGTACTCCCCATGCCCCAGGCCTGTTCCAGAGCATTCACCATGTTGCAACAAACTTGGAAATTCTTCCCGTCCGGGAGTTTGCGGAAGGCTATACTGTGCTTGTGTAGAAGTTGGCGTTTTGTTCTCCTCCACATGTGTATCTGGTGCGCTGGGGGGGTTTCCCTGGTGGCCCAAAGCCCAGGATGGCATAGAATAGAAAGGTCTGCTGCCCTTGAGGTCAGGTTACCTCTGGGGGGGGTCTCACAAGCTTTGTCCCGCCATGCGTCTGCTCTCTCACCCGTGGTGTGTTTGCAGAAGACACGAGCTTTGTCCGCTCCATTAAGGTAGCCCAAAAGTGGTTGAAAGCTACCTCCAGTCTAGCTTCTATGTGGCTGAGTGTGTCAGTTGGCTTTGTGTGGCGCTGTGCTCTGCATTATGGGCGCAGGTTTGTCCGCAATCTAATAGCTTCCACCGTTCGGCACTGTGCTTTTCGTAGGGGCAGCTCGCCATAAACTGGGGGGACCCTGATGTGAGGCCCAGCGGGGACCGGGATAACCCCCACCCGCCCAGAGAGGGGGAAAGCGGGACCGAAGCCATCGGCAGGTCGTACTGAGGATGGGAGATCTGCCACATCTCCCGCCCAGAAGCAAGTTGTAGGCCGCAGAAAGCCCTCATCTCTGAGGGTACGCTCGGGCATCGTGTTTCCAAGCCAAGGGCTTAACCAGGCACTCCCAAGTAGATATAAGCCAGTGGTAGCAGGATTTAATAGGCAGATTTTTCTTATTTTAGGCTTAAAAAGTCGGTGAGGTTGAGGAGCTCTCTCAACCCGCGTCCTACTCATTCAGCGGCCAGGTCCCGTCCCAGGTTCCGTTCATTTTAATATATAACTTTATATAAGTTAAAATACTGTATTTCTGTTGATTTTCAATATGTTAGTTTATTACAAGCTAATCTATGTCTGTTGAAATGTATTTTCTCTGTAAAATCCTTAAAGCACCAATTTACCACCACAGGTTATGACCACTAGGGAAGATCAAGTGGTCACTGTCCAGGAAAATGATGGTACTTTTATAGTGGAACATGCTGATGGAACCAGGATAACCACCTTCTACCAAGACGTGGAGATCCCACTTTCTGGAGACCACGAGGAAACTGGTATTAATTAATACTGGTTTGATTAGCAAAATAGCTCCTAAACCTCCTAAATACAGTTCTCTAGTTCTGTCAACCGTCCACTTGCTAGCTCTATCCCAAGCTCCCTCCACACACCATTCACAAAAAATCCCATCTACAGACCATTTACTAGTTCCATTTAAACACTATTCACAAACCCCATCTACAGACCATTCACTAGCTCCATCCAAACACCATTAAAAAAAACACCTAGAGACCATTCACTAGGTCCATCCAAACACTATTCACAAACCCCATCTACAGACCATTCACTAGCATCATCCTAAGCTCCATTCACACACCATTCATAAACCCCATCTACAGACCATTCACTAGCTCCATCCAAATACTATTCACAAACCTCATCTACAGACCATTCACTAGCTCTATCCTAAACTCTATTCACATACCATTCACTAATCCCATCTACAGACCATTCACTAGCTCCCTCCTAAGTTCCATTCACACACCATTCACTAATCCTATTTACAAACCATTCGCTAGTTCCAACCAAATACTATTCACTAAGTCCATTTATGACTATTCACTAGTTATATTCAGATACCATTCACTAGCTCCTTCACAAACTCCATTCAGACACCATTCATTAATCCCATCTACAGACCATTCACTAGTTCCATCCAAACACTATGGACAAAGTCCATCCCAGACACTATTCATTAGTTCCATCCAAACACCATTCACTAAGTCAATTTATGGATTATTCGCTAGTTCTATTTAGACACTATTCACAAGCTCCATCTAAAGACCATTCACTAGGTCCATCCAGACACTATACATTAGCTCCATCCTAGACACTATTCACTAATCCCATTCAGACGGCATTCAGTAGGATGATCCCAGACACAACTCATTAGTTCTATTCCAGACACCATTCACTAGCCCCATTTTTGGACTATTCAATAGTTATGTCTAGACAGATGGAACATTAGTTCCATCCCATACAGTATTTAGTAGGTTCAGTCAAAAACTATACATTAGTTCCATCCCATACAGTATTTAGTAGGTTCAGTCAGACACTATACACTAGTTCCATCCCATACAGTACTTAGTAGCATTTAGACACCGTTCTCTAACTCCATTCCAGACACTATACACCAAGGCCATTCCAGACACTATACACCAAGTCCATTCCAGACACTATACACCAAGGCCATTCCAGACACTATACACCAAGTCCATTCCAGACACAAGGCCATTCCAGACACTATACACCAAGTCCATTCCAGACACTATACACCAGGTCCATCACAGACACTATACACCAAGTCCATTCCAGACACTATACACCAAGTCCATTCCAGACACTATACACCAAGTCCATTCCAGACACAAGGTACATTCCAGACACTATACACCAAGTCCATCACAGACACTATACACCAAGTCCATTCCAGACACAAGGTACATCCCAGACACTATACACCAGGTCCATTCCAGACACTATACACCAAGTCCATTCCAGACACTATACACCAAGTCCATTCCAGACACAAGTTACATTCCAGACACTATACACCAGGTCCATCACAGACACTATACACCAAGTCCATTCCAGACACTATACACCAAGTCCATTCCAGACACAAGGTACATCCCAGACACTATACACCAGGTCCATCACAGACACTATACACCAGGTCCATCACAGACACTATACACCAGGTCCATCACAGACACTATACACCAAGTCCATTCCAGACACTATACACCAAGTCCATTCCAGACACTATACACCAAGTCCATTCCAGACACAAGGTACATCCCAGACACTATACACCAGGTCCATCACAGACACTATACACCAAGTCCATTCCAGACACTATACACCAAGTCCATTCCAGACACAAGGTACATCCCAGACACTATACAGCAGGTCCATCCCAGACACTATACACCAAGTCCATCACAGACACTATACACCAGGTCCATCACAGACACTATACACCAAGTCCATTCCAGACACTCTACACCATGTCCATCACAGACACTATACACCATGTCCATCACAGACACTATACACCATGTCCATCACAGACACTCTACACCAGGTCAATCACAGACACTATACACCAAGTCCATTCCAGACACAAGGTACATCCCAGACACTATACACCATGTCCATCACAGACACTCTACACCAGGTCCATCACAGACACTATACACCATGTCCATCACAGACACCATACACCAGGTCCATCACAGACACTATACACCAAGTCCATTCCAGACACAAGGTACATCCCAGACACTATACACCAAGTCCATCACAGACACTATACACCAAGTCCATCACAGACACTCTACACCAGGTCAATCACAGACACTATACACCAAGTCCATTCCAGACACAAGGTACATCCCAGACACTATACACCAGGTCCATCACAGACACTATACACCAGGTCCATCACAGACACTATACACCAGGTCCATCACAGACACTATACACCAGGTCCATCACAGACACTATTCAATAGTTGCATCCAGGCAGCATTTACTAGCTCTGTCTCAAATGATAATTATGATTTATTTTGTAGGTGAAATCCCTCAGACCATTCTAAAGAGAACCAAGTTTGTGCGTGTGGAAAGTGAGGACTTTGCCACCATTATTCTGAACTGCGAGTCAAACGTGTGCTATGCTGTATTCGGAGATGGCACAGAAATCTGTGCAAAACCACAGGGAACATATCAGGTGAGATGTTTCCCTATACTCCAGGTGGGATATTCTCCTATACTCCAGGTGAGATATTCCCCTATACTCCAGGTGGGATATTCCCCTATACTCCAGGTGGGATATTCTCCTATACTCCAGGTGGGATATTCCCCTATACTCCAGGTGGGATATTCCCCTATACTCCAGGTGGGATATTCTCCTATACTCCAGGTGAGATATTCCCCTATACTCCAGGTGGGATATTCCCCTATACTCCAGGTTTAATATTTCCCTATACTCCAGGTGGGATATTACCCTATACTCCAGGTTTAATATTTCCCTATACTCCAGGTGGGATATTCCCCTATACTCCAGGTGGGATATTACCCTATACTCCAGGTTTAATATTTCCCTATACTCCAGGTGGGATATTCCCCTATACTCCAGGTGGGATATTCTCCCTATACTCCAGGTGGGATATTCTCCCTATACTCCAGGTGGGATATTCCCCTATACTCCAGGTGGGATATTCTCCTATACTCCAGGTGGGATATTCCCCTATACTCCAGGTGGGATATTCCCCTATACTCCAGGTGGGATATTCTCCTATACTCCAGGTGAGATATTCCCCTATACTCCAGGTGGGATATTCCCCTATACTCCAGGTTTAATATTTCCCTATACTCCAGGTGGGATATTCCCCTATACTCCAGGTTTAATATTTCCCTATACTCCAGGTGGGATATTCCCCTATACTCCAGGTGGGATATTACCCTATACTCCAGGTTTAATATTCTCCTATACTCCAGGTGGGATATTCCCCTATACTCCAGGTGGGATATTCTCCCTATACTCCAGGTGGGATATTCCCCTATACTCCAGGTTTAATATTTCCCTATACTCCAGGTTGGATATTACCCTACACTCCAGGTGGGATATTCTCCTATACTCCAGGTTGGATATTACCCTTTACTCCAGGTTTAATATTTCCCTATACTCCAGGTGGGGTATTTCCCTATACTCCAGGTGAGATATTCCCCTATACTCCAGGTGGGATATTCCCCTACACTCCAGGTGGGATATTCTCCTATACTCCAGGTGAGATATTCCCCTAAACTCCAGGTGGGATATTACCCTACACTCCAGGTGGGATATTTCCCTATACTCCAGGTGGGATATTTCCCTATACTCCAGGTTTAATATTTCCCTATACTCCAGGTGGGATATTTTCCTATACTCCAGGTGGGATATTCCCCTATACTCCAGGTGGGATATTCCCCTATACTCCAGGTGGGATATTCTCCTATACTCCAGGTGGGATATTCCCCTATACTCCAGGTGGGATATTTCCCTATACTCCAGGTGGGATATTTCCCTATACTCCAGGTGGGATATTTCCCTATACTCCAGGTGGGATATTTTCCTATACTCCAGGTGGGATATTTCCCTATACTCCAGGTGGGATATTTCCCTATACTCCAGGTGGGATATTTCCCTATACTCCAGGTGGGATATTTCCCTATACTCCAGGTGGGATATTTCCCTATACTCCAGGTGGGATATTCCCCTATACTCCAGGTGGGATATTTCCCTATACTCCAGGTGGGATATTTCCCTATACTCCAGGTGGGATATTTCCCTATACTACTCCAGGTGGGATATTTCCCTATACTCCAGGTGGGATATTCCCCTATACTCCAGGTGGGATATTTCCCTATACTCCATGTGGGATATTCCCCTATACTCCATGTGGGATATTCCTCTATACTCCATGTGGGATATTCCTCTATACTCCATGTGGGATATTCCTCTATACTCCAGGTGGGATATTTCCCTATACTCCAGGTGAAGTATTTACCCTATACTCTAGCTGAGATATTTCCCTATGGTATTTACCCTATACTCCAGGTGAAATCTTTCCCTAAACTCCAGGTGAGACATTCCTCTATACTCCATGTGGGATATCCTCCTATACTCCATGTGGGATATTCCCCTATACTCCAGGTGGGATATTTCCCTATACTCCAGGTGGGATATTTCCCTAAACTCCAGTTGAGATATTTCCCTATACTCCAGGTGGGATATTTCCATTTACTCCAGGTGAGATATTCCCCTATACTCCAGGTGGGATATTCTCCTATACTCCAGGTGGGATATTTCCCTATACTCCAGATGAAATATTTCCCTATACTCCAGGTGGGATATTCCCCTATACTCCAGGTGGGATATTTCCCTATACTCCACGTGTGATATTTCCCTATACTCCAGGTGGGATATTTCCCTATACTCCAGGTGGGATATTCTCCTATACTCCAGGTGGGATATTCTCCTATACTCCAGGTGGGATATACTCCAGGTGGGATATTTCCCTATACTCCAGGTGGGATATTTCCCTATACTCCAGGTGGGATATTTCCCTATACTCCAGGTGGGATATTTCCCTATACTCCAGGTGGGATATTTCCCTATACTCTAGGTGGGATATTTCCATTTACTCTAGGTGAGATATTCCCCTATACTCCAGGTGAGATATTTCCCTATACTCCAGGTGAGATATTTCCCTATACCTCAGGTGGGATATTTCCATATGAGATATCCCCCAATACTGCAGGTCAGATATTTACCCTATACTCCAGATGAAATATTTCCCTATACTCCAGGTGGGATATTTCCCTATACTCCAGGTGGGATATTCTCCTATACTCCAGGTGGAATATTTCCCTATACTCCAGGTGAGATATTCCCCTATACTCCAGGTGGGATATCCCCCTATACTCCAAGTGGGATATCCCCCTATACTCCAGGTGGGATATCCCCCTATACTCCAGGTGGGATATTCTCCCTATACTCCAGGTGGGATATTTCCCTACACTCCAGGTGGGATATTTACCCTATGTTCCAGGTGAGATAGTCACACTATACTCCAGGTCAGGTATTTTATCCAAGTATATTTCCTTGTGTTCTGAGTAAGATATTTCCTTGTTTATCATTATAAATGGATACCTATTATGGATCTTTTTATATGAGCTGCAGGATGTTAATAATTGACCACAGTGTGGAGACTTAGTACAGAAGTAGCAGTAACTTGACAGCCAGACACATTATCTCCCTGAGTAAGTGATGAGCATTTTCGTTATGGACAGGTCTACCCATCAATGTCAGGTTGTCTGAGTATTAACCAGGACGGACGTGCACTGTATTCTCCAAGGACCAGTTCCTCCACACAGAACCATTCCCAGCAAGAAGATCCGATCCCTGCAAGTTCCACGAGCCACACTCAAGATCCGATCCCTGCAAGTTACACCATGAGCCACACACAAGATGTTATTTGCGAGGCTTTGGATCCGGAGGGCAATCACTACCAGGTAACAGTTCCTGGCTCTGATCTTTTAGTAGATATTTTTCCAACATGTGAGAGTTTTACTGAAGTTAAAGTTTGCAAGGTAGTGGATGTCAGAGTTGCCACCCATATTTCCCTCTTAGGTAATGGCGAATGGTAGCACATCTGTGGTTCTCTGCAGCACTGAAACAGGCGAGGGGGAGGACGAGTTGGAGAAATCAGCCCTGACCTCTTTTCCAAAGCAATCGGAGGTCCACAAAGTGGAAGTGTATGACTTACATGCCCCCAGGTACAGTATTTTAAAGATAACTTTTATCTCTACAACAGGTTTTAAAGTCTGCACCCTGGCACCCTTAATGGGGGGCTCTCTTCTGGCACCAATGATAGTCTGGATCCTCGCTTAATCTAGCCCTCTCTGCCATATTCTCCCCAGAAATATACAGTTAGGTCTGGAAATATTTGGACACTGACACAAGTTTTGTTATTTCGTCTGTTAATTAATTCAAGTTAAAGTTAAATAATGAATATGGGCCTAAATTGTAGTCTCTCAGCTTTAATTTGAGGGTATTGACATCCAAATTGGAGGAAGGGTTTAGGAATTGCATCCCTTCAATATGTAGCCCTCTCTTTTTCAAGGGACTAAAGTAATTGGACAAATAACTGAAGACTATTACATGGAAAAGTGTGGGCTGTTCCTTTGTTATTTCTTCATCAATCAAGCAGGTAAAAGGTTTGGAGTTGTTTCCAGGTGTGGCATTCCCATTTGAAAGCTGTTGCTGTGAACCTACAACACGCAGTCAAAGGAGGTCTCAATGCAAGTAAAACAGGCAATGTATAGGCTGCAAAAAAAAAAAACACCAGAGATAGCAGGAACATTAGGAGTAGGCAAATTAAGTTTGGTACATTCTGAGAAACGCACTGGTCTGCAACACAAAAAGATCTGGACATCCATGGAAAACAGTTGTGGATGAGGTAGGCATATCATTATCCAAGTCTACCACAAAGAGAAGACTTCACGGGAGCAAATACAGAGAGTTCACCACCAGGTGCCAACAATTCATAAGCCTCAAGAATAGAAAGGCCAGATTAGACTTTGCCAAAAATCATCTGGGACAGCATTCTTTGGACAGGTGAAACTAAGATCAACCTTTACCAGAATGATGGGGGGCGGGGGGGAGTGTGGAGAAGGCTTGAAACGGCTCATGATATGAAGCATACCTCATAGTCTGTAAATCGTGGTGGCATGTGTTTGCATGGCTTCCAATGGCACTGGATCACTAGTGTTTACTGATGATGTGACAGAAGCAGTCAGATTAATTCTGAAGTGTATAGGGATATATTTGTGACGGAGCTCCTGTTCTCCGACTGAGTACCTTTGTCCAATCCACTTCCTAGCCATTGGGGAGGGAGCCTGGAGCACTTCAACCCCAGTCGCTGAGGCTTGACTGGAGTCTCTCTGGAGCTTTTCCATCCGACCAGGCTGTAGTTCACCTTCCAGGCAGGTATTGTCCCCTATTCCACTGCAGCCGATCTTTCAGGCACGTGTTGCCCCCTCTGCAGCTTTGCTTAAGGTGTTTACAAAGATACTTGTGGCTCTCAGGCCTAGCAATCTTGATTTATCCCAGGGCTAGAGGGATCGAGCAGCCAGCCAACAGGTCCCAAGACTCTGTTACTGGGATCCCTACAAATCCACACAGAACACTCAGTTCAAAAAGAAACTAACATTGCTGTGCAAACTCAATAAAATACAAGTAACCAAAACATGTCAGAAAACATACAGAAAATTATAATAAGATAGTTATAAGGGGGTGGGGAAGACAATAACCTACACAATATATCTCCTGCTTGCTGAATTCACAATATGCAAATCTACCTGAATATGCAAATTAACAAGCCTTCCTATTCAGGTAGTGCATATTTCTGTTACCACGAACAGAGGGCGCTATATAGACTCCATAACCAAATCCACCTAGTTGGTAGCAATCATCAGCATGACAGGAAAGCAGACAAAATATTTTAAATAAACCCTGCACCTATAATGGGCACAGGGTGACTAAAACATTAGAATAGTCCAGGGACCTACATAAACAGTCTGTCTGAAGTTCCTGGTGATGGTGACTACGGTCACAATATTGTCTGCTCAGACTCAGCCAAATTCAGAAAAGTTTATTGGGACCAAATGACCCAAAATATACTGAAAAGCAACCCTGGAGTTTTTAGGAAAAAAAGTGTAATATTCTGCAATGGCTGAGTCAGTCATCTGATCTCAACCCGATTTACCATGCATTTCACTTGCTGAAGACAAAACTTAAGGCAGAAAGATCCACGAACAAACAACAACTGAAGACAGTTACATTAAAGGCCTGCAAAGCATCACAAAGGAGGAAACCCATGGTTTGGTGATGTCCATGCGTTCCAGACCTCAAGCAGTCATTGTCTGCAAAGGATTCTCAACATTTTATTTATGATTGTGTTAATTTGTCCAATTATATTTCAGCCCCTGAAATAAGGGGACTGTGTATGAAAAGGATTACAATTCCTAAACATTCACATTTTTCTTGAATTAAAACTGAAAGTCTGCACTTATTTTGCATCTTGGGTGTTTCATTTCAAATCGATTGTGGTTGCATACAAAGCCAAAATTCTGAAAATGTGTTAGAGTCCATACATTTCCAGACCTAATTGTAAGGCTGGGCAGCAAAGTGTTCAAGTATATCTCTGAGCTGCAGACAGGTTTTCATGTCAGTAATTATCAAAAGGGAAATATCAACTGAAAATGTATTTATAACCATAGCCTTGTTATGTGTGATCATCATCTACTGTAACTTCGGGTCTTTGAACCAAAGGAAAACCCAATGATCCCTTAGCTGATGGAGAGGCGGGGATATGGCATTAAATTTCCACTGCCCCTCCTCTCTACAAATGAACAGCATGCCGCTGGTACCCAATTAAAGGACCACTATAGTGCCAGGAAAACATACTCGTTTTCCTGGCACTATAGTGCCCTGAGGGTGCCCCCACCCACAGGGTCCCCCTCCCGCCCAGCTCTGGAAGGGGGAAAGGGGGAAAAACTTACCTTTTTCCAGCGCTGGACGGGGAGCTCTCCGCCTCCGATCCTCCTTCTCTCCTCCCCGTCGGCTGAATGCACACGCGCGTCAAGAGCTGCGCGCGCATTCAGCAGGTCGCATAGGAAAGCATTATCAATGCTTTCCTATGGACGCTGGCGTGCTCTCACTGTGAAAATCACAGTGAGAAGCACGCATAGCGCCTTGTGTAGACAGCCACTATAAGGAATAGGGAAGGCTTAACCCATTCATAAAACATAGCAGTTTCTCTGAAACTGCTATGTTTATTAAAAAATGGGTTAACCCTAGCTGGACCTGGCACCCAGACCACTTCATTAAGCTGAAGTGGTCTGGGTGCCTAGAGTGGTCCTTTAAGGCTATACTACCTAATAGGGTTTTAAGCAAAGTTCTGTTCCCACAGTACCTGCTCCCAACAGTCGCTTGTGGTTAATGTGACAGGGTGAGTGTGGCATGGTTGGGGTCTGTGTATCACAGGGTTGGGGTGAATTTGCCATGGCTGGAGGAGGGAGTTTGACAGGACGAGGGGAGGTTAGTGTGACAAGAGTAATGAGTGGTGACAGTGTATGGGGGGGGGGGAGGTTGAATGCATTTGGGGGGTGACATTGTGTGTGTGGAGGGGTGACTGTGTGTGTGTGGGGAAGGGGGGTGACAGTGTGTGGGGTGCACCACTCCCCCCTCCTCCTAAGTTGCTAGGTAAAGCAGTATACAACTGATCTTTATTTTATAATATGTGCCTGGTGAAGTGGCTGTCTGATGTAAAATTAAAAATTAAAAGACTAATATCCTGCTGCCCTTTCCACCAATTGTATAGATCCGGGGCCATAGAACCCTACACCTGGGGCTTCAGCACGCAAAGACAAACAGACACACACCCACAGACACACACAGAGCAATGTGTGATCTCCTAATTGTAACTGTGATTCCAGTATTTTATCCTTAACCAATACTTGACTCACAAATTTGATTAAAGCAGAGTCAGTATGACTCCTGCTGGATTTACCGCTACAAGTAAAAGGTGATTCATTTATATTTTAGGTTTTTCATTGTCCACCCTGATGGCTCGGGCACTGAACTTCTTCGAAAACGGGAAGTGGAAGATTATTTGGCGTCCTGCTACAGTGATTCTAAAACAGCAGTGATAGAAGAGCCTGCCCAGGAGAGACCAGGTATACAGGCCCATCGCTGTTATACTGCCCATAACTGACAAGGATGGAGGGCTAGTGTCAGGGCTACAGAGTCACCAACAGGCCTGGGACCCACTGGTACGGTTACAGAGCAACCAACAGGCCTGGGACCCACTGGCAGGGCTACAGAGCCACCATCAGGCCTGAGACCCACTGGTAGGGCTACAGAGCCATCAACAGACCTGGAACCCACTGGTAGGGCTACAGAGCCACCGACAAGCATTGGACCCACTGGTAGGGCTACAGAGCCACCGACAAGCATGGGACCCATTGGCAGGGCTACAGAGCCACCTAGGACCCACTGATAGGGCTACAGAGCCATCAACAGACCTGGAACCCACTGGCAGGTCTACAGAGCCACCAACAAGCATGGGACCCACTGGCAGGGCTACAGAGCCACCAACAGGCCTGATACTCACTGCCAGGGCTACAGAGCCTAGGATCCACTGGCTGGGCTACAGAATCACCAACAGGCCTGATACTCACTGCCAGGGCTACAGAGCCACCAACAGGCCTGGAACCAACTGGCAGGGCATTTAATTTAAGTTAGATAATATACTCTGTACTGAGGACTTGATGAAGGTATGTCCCAAATTATATCACTTATCATTAGAGAATACAAACGTTTATTATATCATTATTTATAAAGCCGCAACATCCCCCTCACTGTATTCAATGTGATATACAGCAGGTAGTATGTTCTGTGACCACCTTTATTTCTCTGTCCCAGGAGTGCAGAGCATTACCGTCCTAAAACCCTTCCCAGATACATCACAGTGGATCCTGAAGAAGCAGTTAGCGAATCTGTCTCCGACAAATCTTATCTCCCGCACATGGGAAGACTTTCCAGCCAGCGAGGTACCTATTCACATTTCTCGTGATGTTTGGTCACTAAACAGTGAGTTATAATGAGCTGAGATTTTATACATTATTTAAAACAAAATGGTATAAAATGTAATTTACTCTTTTATTCTCTTAAACAATAATAAATAACTATATTACAAACAATTATGAATGAACATGTTATTGAATTTTAAAAATGAAGAATTGTTGCAGAGCTCTAGTCCTGACATTCTCCATCGACTTTTTCACGAACTGGAACAAGGCGCTGAAAAGTGAATAACGCTGCCCCCCCCACCCCACCCCCAGTAACTGGACGACACCGTTCTGGGAGAACAACTGAAGATTTCTTTGAGGACAAGTTCTTTTATAGACAGATCCAGATTGGGGTCTCCATAAAGTAACATACAATCCCCGCCCAGGCGTCTCTATGTCTGGGAGATAATGGAGTCAAAGACCAGTAAATTAATTATTTCCCAGATACAGAGGACCAAACCAAAAAACATAAAAAGTACCCCAAAACAGTTCAATCATACAGGAACCCCACTTGTCTTTTATCCCCAAATAGCCCTGATCTGAACGCCCAAGTTGTCCAAATAGAGCTCAGATCCATGCAGTGTAGGGGAATCGCCATCGAGGTAAAGTTCTGACCGGAGGCACACATGGATGATGCCAAAAATAGTTCCATGAGAAACAGGGGTTTTGTCCGTTTAACTTTCGGGAGTTCCTGTATTTGAAGAAATGAGGGCTCCCCATGGCTTGTAGGGAGTGATTGCTCCCCCCAGTCCATAGTACCTTCCCTCCAATTAGCGCTCTCCTGGCATGTCTGTAAGGGGGCAGAACAATAGTACAATTTCCCCAGGAACCACGTGGTAGAGTTCCCGAAATTAGTTCCACAGTGTCGACGGCCAAGTACCGCTGCCAGCATTCGGGAGACAAAAAGGGCGCCATTTTACAGAGCACGTGTATTGGGTTACACGAATGGAGGCCACCCAGAGCACTAGATGTAGTTCGGGAGAGGGAAGATATAGAGCCAAGGGACCCAGAGTGTTCAAAAAATACAACGAGGAGAACACTCATTCGGGAAACAAACAAGGGGAGTACGAGTAACCGAACAGACATATGACCAGGTCTGCTACAAGAATCTTAGTAGAAAAAAATAAAAATAAATAATAATTACATTTTACTTCAAAATTTCTTTTTATTTTTAATATGCAGGAGACTATAATACAATGTATCCTTTCTTTTCCAAATTGATTTTCTAGCAGACTATTGTCCTTTCAGTGTTTTATTAACAGACAAGGTATGCCTGGCTTACAAGGATCTAATCGTTCTACTTGACTGAAATTAAACAAAATGTGGACAATCCTGAGATTTACTGAAATATTACATTCAGTTAATACATGAGTCCGTAAAATAAAATCTGTAATAACTAAATGTCTGCTTTCAGAGAAAGACTCCGGGGCCCCCACTTGGCATTGGATCTTATGAAGGGCTCTGTTTTAGTTCCAGTAAGGTGGTCACACCTCCTCCACCTGTCCAGAAATGCCCTAAAGCCCTCCAGATCCGTCAGCTCCTTCTATACCAATCAATCAGCAAGTCACTGCGAGAGAGACTGCAACTGTCACTCAAGGTAGGGTTAAAGGACTCTGTACTCAGTATGCATTGCAACCGAACAAATGACTCTTGCAATTACCTGCTCATCAGTTCAATATGGGGGAAAAGAACTATCATTGGCCTTGAGTTAATATTTTTGCATATGTTTTCAAATGATTAAATATTTTGAAAATTAGTTTAATATCTGACGAAGGTGCATGTCTTAAGCACCGAAACGCGCGTCGGGTCCTCCTGTCACTCTTTCACTATTTTTCCGCACTGTGCACTTTACACTTAGGGCAGGCAACCAACACTCTAAGTATGGTTCTGCCCTTTTACACTATTTAGTGCATCATTCACTTTGTCTATTTCCTCTCTTTTAATCTTTGATTTTGTCTCTAGATAAGTCAGTATGGGGGATATAATAGTAGCTTTTATTACTTTCCTATCGTTTGTAGTAACATCTCTTTAAATTGATACGCTTTATGGATGGTCAAATTTTGTTTCATATGACTTGACACATATAAGCAATACAGTTAACATTATAGAGTCTACACTGATAGGGAGACCCAATGGTTTTGATGTTTTCCCTTTGGGTATATTTCCCTATGATCACCTCTAAGTATCTGGGACATTTTTTGTAATTGTTTCCACTGAGCATTATATTATTTTGCAGACTGTGACACAGCTATTAGGAATAAAGTCAGAGAGTCTTGCTAGCTTATTAATCATAGTGGATTTAAGAGAGGTTTAGCTGAAAGGGTTAGTTTGTGTGTCTATTCACAATTTTGAAAATTCTTAGGGTCTGGATCTTATTGACCTTTCTTTATTCTATTTATTATTATTTTTGATTTCATTATTTTTTCCAGCTATATGCTATTGATTATCTATTTATCTATTTATCTCCAGTGAAAGAGTTTTGTCACTGAGGTTATACTTCAGTGAATAGAGTTTTTTTATTTTGATTCAATTTTAGTTTAATATCTTGATACATATTTGGTCTGTTGATATAATTTTTATATATGATGTATCTTTGATATTTTAAAATTTAGAAAAAATAATTCAAATCAAGTTGATCCAATAATATTAAGTCATTTGAATAGCGTATCCAAGAATATTATATTGGTATTAACACACACTGGATTATTCACTAAAGTGTCAGTTGTTGGAAATTCAAAATGAATTTCAAATATTATATATAATACTGCTTGATCCATGCATTTCACATTATCTGATTCCTGTACAGTAATTACACACATTGTTTACCTTACTATTTACTACGGCCCTCGGCTGGGTGTCTCTGTTACTGCTTGATCCATACATTTCACATTATCTAACTTGACCGCCTCAGACTTTGCAACTCACTTCACTGACAAGATCTCTACAATCAGAGAAGAGATCTCTCATCTTTCTTCACTCCCTCTGCTGTTCTATGTTCATTTGCACCCGCTACATTGGAAGAGGTTTCTGCTCTCCTCCAGTCCTCCCGCCCCACCACCTACTCTCTAAATCCAATTCCCTCGCATCTCATCCGTATTCTGTCTTCTTCTCTTTCTCCACCTCTCACTAAAATTCTCAATCTCTCTCTCTCCTCTGTTATATTTCCATTGCCCTTCAAACATGCAACTGTAACCCCAATTCTAAAGAAGCCTGATCTTGACCCTAACTACCCATCCAACTATCGTCCTATCTCGCTACTGCCTTTTGCATCCAAGATCCTTGAAAAAATTGTGTATGCGAGATTGACAGACTTCCTCGAGTCCAACTCTCTGCTAGACCCGCTTCAGTCTGGTTTCCGCGCTAAGCACTCTTTGGAAACGGCACTGACCAAAGTATCCAATGATCTACTCGCTGCAAAATCTCTTGGTCACTACTCTATCCTAATTCTCTGCAATATCGGTCTACAAGATATTGCACTCTCCTGGTGCTCCTCCTACCTCTCCCATCGCTCTTTCAGTGTTTCTTTCTCTGGCTCTGCTTCTTCTCCCAAGCTCCTCTCTGTTGGTATACCCCAAGGTTCAGTCCTTGGTCCCCTACTGTTCTCCATCTATACTGCCTCCCTTGGTAAACTCATTAGCTCCTTTGGCTTCCAATATCATTTCTATGCAGATGTCACGCAAATCTACCTGTCCTCCCCTGATCTCTCCCCGTCCCTCTTGACTAGTGTCTCTGACTGCCTCTCTGCTGTTTCTAACTGGATAGCTGCCCACTTCCTTAAACTAAACTTGACCAAAACTGAAATTCTGGTATTTCCTCCCTCAAGTGTTGTTACTCCTGTGTCTGTCTCCTTCCAAGTCAACGGTGCTACCATCAGCTCCACCACGCAGGCTCGCTGCCTAGGTGTTCTCTTTGACTCCGACCTCTCCTTCAAGCCTCATGTTCAATCTATCGCCAAATCCTGTCATTTCCATCTCAAAAACATTGCGCGCATCCGCCCCTACTTAACGTCAGATGCGACTAAGGTGTTGGTCCATTCCACTGTCCTTTCTCGCCTTGACTACTGTAATCCGCTTCTTAGTGGTCTTACGTGCTCCCAACTAGCGCCGTTACAGTCCATAATGAATGCGGCGGCGAGGCTCATCTTCCTGTCCGCCCGCACCCCCCATGCCTCACCCTTCTGTCAGTCCCTACATTGGCTTCCTATAAAATATAGAGCTCAATTTAAAATTCTGGTTTTCAAATCTCTACATAATGCTGCTCCCACCTATCTATCCTCCCTTATACACAAGTATGTGCCGTCTAGGCCCTTACGATCTGCTGAAGACTTACGTCTATCTTCTGTCCGTACTCCCACCTCTCATGCTCGCCTTCAAGATTTATCGAGGGCTGCACCGTTCCCGTGGAACTCGCTTCCCTCCTCCGTTAGATGCTCACCCAGTCTCCACTCCTTCAAAAAATCGTTAAAAACCCACTTCTTCATAAAAGCGTATCAATTAAACTGTTAATAGCTTCTGACTGATTACTCTTCTGCAACTGTCACTAGTCTAATACTATCCTTACCTTTTTGTCTCATTTTACCCCACTCCCTCTAGCATGTAAGCTCATTGAGCAGGACCCTCAACCCCTCTGTTCCTGTGTGTCCAACTTGTCTGGTTACAACTACATGTCTGTTCGTCCACCCATTGTAAAGCGCTGCGGAATTTGACGGCGCTCTATAAATAGCGTTTACCTTACTATTTACTATGGCCCTCGGCTGAGTCTCTCTGTTACTACTTGATCCATACATTTCACATTATCTGATTCCTGTACAGTAATTACACACAGTGTTTATCTTACTATTTACTATGGCCCTCGGCTGGGTATCTCTGTTACTGCTTGATCCATGCATTTCACATTACCTGATTCCTGTACAGTAATTACACACAGCGTTTACCTTACTATTTACTATGGCCCTCGGCTGGGTATCTCTGTTACTGCTTGATCCATGCATTTCACATTATCTGATTCCTGTACAGTAATTACACACAGTGTTCACCTTACTAGTAACTACGGCCCTCGGCTGGGTATCTCTGTTACTGCTTAATCCATACATTTCACATGATCTGATTCCTGTACAGTAATTACACACAGTGTTTACCTTACTATTTACTACGGCCCTCGGCTGGGTATCTCTGTTACTGCTTGATCCATGCATTTCCTTCTGGTTGATTGTACACACTATATACACGCTATAGTAGATTCTGGTCGTTACAGATCATTAAGGTCATTACAGTTCCACTGCGATGCTAGCTCTGAATTGTATAAAGTAATTATATTCAATAAGGCCTTATAAGGTTATTATTAGAGCTTCCAGTATGAGGATTGAACACTGGCACTAACACTTCATGGGATTATTTTTAGGGCTATGTCGACAAGATCCTGAAGAAGGAGGAATACTTGAAGGAGATCAACATAAAGGACCCCAGAACAGAAGATGAGAGAGAACATGCTGCGGATCTGCTCAAACTTGTACTGGTGAGAGCAAAATTGTATGGCGGGTGGTTGGATGTGGTCTGTAGGAGGATGTATGGCGGGTGGGAGGATGTGGTCTGTGGGAGGATGTGGTGTTTGTCCCTGTGAGAGCCATATTGTATAGTATGTGGGAGGATGTGGTGTTTATCCCGGTATAAACATATTGTATAGTCTGTGGGAGGACGTGGTGTTTGTCCCAGTGAGAGACATATTGTATAGTCTGTTGGAGGATGTGGTGTTTGCCCCCGTAGAGACGTATTGTATAGTCTGTGGGAGGACGTGGTGTTTGTCCCAGTGAGATCCATATTGTATAGTCTGTGGGAGGATGTGGTTTTTGTCTCGGTATAGACGTATTGTATAGTCTGTGGGAGGATGTGGTCTCTGTCCTGGTGAGAGCCATATTATATAGTCTGTGGGAGGATGTGGTGTTTGTCCCGGTGAGATCCATATTGTATAGTCTGTAGGAGGATGTGGTGTTTGCCCCGGTATAGACGTATTGTATAGTCTGTGGGAGGATGTGGTGTTTGTCCTGGTGAGATCCATATTGTATAGTCTGTAGGAGGATGTGGTGTTTGCCCCGGGATAGACGTATTGTATAGTCTGTGGGAGGATGTGGTGTTTGTCCCGATGAGAGCCATATTGTATAGTCTGTGGGAGGATGTGGTGTTTGTCCCGAAGAGTGCCATATTGTATTAGTCTGTGGGAGGATGTGGTGTTTGCCCCGGTATAGACGTATTGTATAGTCTGTGGGAGGATGTGGTGTTTCTCCCGATGAGAGCCATATTGTATAGTCTGTAGGAGGATGTGGTGTTTGTCCCAGTGAGATCCATATTGTATAGTCTGTGGGAGGATGTGGTGTTTCCCACATCCTGTGGGAGGATGTGGTGTTTGTCCCGGTATAGACGTATTGTATAGTCTGTGGGAGGATGTGGTGTTTGTTCTGGTAAGAGTCTTATTGTATAGTCTGTAGGAGGATGTGGTGTTTGTTCTGGTAAGAGTCTTATTGTATAGTCTGTGGGAGGATGTGGTGTTTCTCCCGATGAGAGCCATGTGATATAGTCTGTGGGAGGATGTGGTGTTTGTGCCGATGAGAGCCATATTGTATAGTCTGTGGGAGGATGTGGTGTTTGTCCCAGTGAGATCCATATTGTATAGTCTGTGGGAGGATGTGGTGTTTCCCACATCCTGTGGGAGGATGTGGTGTTTGTCCCAGTATAGACGTATTGTATAGTCTGTGGGAGGATTTGGTGTTTCTCCCAATGAGAGCCATATTGTATAGTCTGTGGGAGGATGTGGTGTTTGTCCCGGTATAGACGTATTGTATAGTCTGTGGGGGATGTGGTCTCTGTCCTGGTGAGAGCCATATTATATAGTCTGTGGGAGGATGTGGTGTTTGTCCCGGTATAGACGTATTGTATAGTCTGTAGGAGGATGTGGTGTTTGTCCCGGTGAGAGCCATATTGTATAGTCTGTGGGAGGATGTGGTGTTTGTCCTGGTGAGAGCCATATTGTATAGTCTGTGGGAGGATGTGGTTTTTGTCTCGGTATAGACGTATTGTATAGTCTGTGGGAGGATGTGGTCTCTGTCCTGGTGAGAGCCATATTGTATAGTCTGTGAGAGGATGTGGTGTTTGTCCTGGTGAGATCCATATTATATAGTCTGTAGGAGGATGTGGTGTTTGCCCCGGTATAGACGTATTGTATAGTCTGTGGGAGGATGTGGTGTTTGTCCTGGTGAGATCCATATTGTATAGTCTGTAGGAGGATGTGGTGTTTGCCCCGGTATAGACGTATTGTATAGTCTGTGGGAGGATGTGGTGTTTGTCCCGGTGAGATCCATATTGTATAGTCTGTAGGAGGATGTGGTGTTTGTCCCGATGAGAGCCATATTGTATAGTCTGTGGGAGGATGTGGTGTTTGCCCCGGTATAGACGTATTGTATAGTCTGTGGGAGGATGTGGTGTTTGTGCCGATGAGAGCCATATTGTATAGTCTGTGGGAGGATGTGGTGTTTGTCCCAGTGAGATCCATATTGGATAGTCTGTGGGAGGATGTGGTGTTTCCCACATCCTGTGGGAGGATGTGGTGTTTGTCCCGGTATAGACGTATTGTATAGTCTGTGGGAGGATGTGGTGTTTGTTCTGGTAAGAGTCTTATTGTATAGTCTGTAGGAGGATGTGGTGTTTCTTCTGGTGAGAGTCTTATTGTATAGTCTGTGGGAGGATGTAGTGTTTGTCCCGGTATAGACGTATTGTATAGTCTGTGGGGGGATGTGGTCTCTGTCCTGGTGAGAGCCATATTATATAGTCTGTGGGAGGATGTGGTGTTTGTCCGGATGAGATCCATATTGTAAAGTATGTAGGAGGATGTGGTGTTTGCCCCGGTATAGACGTATTGTATAGTCTCTGGGAGGATGTGGTGTTTCTCCCAATGAGAGCCATATTGTATAGTCTGTGGGAGGATGTGGTGTTTGTCCCGGTATAGACGTATTGTATAGTCTGTGGGGGGATGTGGTCTCTGTCCTGGTGAGAGCCATATTATATAGTCTGTGGGAGGATGTGGTGTTTGTCCGGATGAGATCCATATTGTAAAGTATGTAGGAGGATGTGGTGTTTGCCCCGGTATAGACGTATTGTATAGTCTCTGGGAGGATGTGGTGTTTCTCCCAATGAGAGCCATATTGTATAGTCTGTGGGAGGATGTGGTGTTTGTCCCGGTATAGACGTATTGTATAGTCTGTGGGGGGATGTGGTCTCTGTCCTGGTGAGAGCCATATTATATAGTCTGTGGGAGGATGTGGTGTTTGTCCCGGTATAGACGTATTGTATAGTCTGTAGGAGGATGTGGTGTTTGTCCCCATGAGAGCCATATTGTATAGTCTGTAGGAGGATGTGGTGTTTGTCCCGGTGAGAGCCATATTGTATAGTCTGTGGGAGGATGTGGTTTTTGTCTCAGTATAGACGTATTGTATAGTCTGTGGGAGGGTGTGGTCTCTGTCCTGGTGAGAGCCATATTATATAGTCTGTGGGAGGATGTGGTGTTTGTCCCGGTGAGATCCATATTGTATAGTCTGTGGGAGGATGTGGTTTTTGTCTCAGTATAGAAGTATTGTATAGTCTGTGGGGGGATGTGGTCTCTGTCCTGGTGAGAGCCATATTATATAGTCTGTGGGAGGATGTGGTGTTTGTCCCGGTATAGACGTATTGTATAGTCTGTAGGAGGATGTGGTATTTGTCCCCATGAGAGCCATATTGTATAGTCTGTAGGAGGATGTGGTGTTTGTCCTGGTGAGAGCCATATTGTATAGTCTGTAGGAGGATGTGGTGTTTGTCCTGGTGAGAGCCATATTGTATAGTCTGTGGGAGGATGTGGTTTTTGTCTCAGTATAGACGTATTGTATAGTCTGTGGGAGGGTGTGGTCTCTGTCCTGGTGAGAGCCATATTATATAGTCTGTGGGAGGATGTGGTGTTTGTCCCGGTGAGATCCATATTGTATAGTCTGTGGGAGGATGTGGTGTTTGCCCCTGTATAGACGTATTGTATAGTCTGTGGGAGGATGTGGTGTTTGTCCTGGTGAGATCCATATTGTATAGTCTGTAGGAGGATGTGGTGTTTGCCCCGGTATAGACGTATTGTATAGTCTGTGGGAGGATGTGGTGTTTGTCCCGATGAGAGCCATATTGTATAGTCTGTGAGAGTATGTGGTGTTTGTCCCGTTGAGATCCATATTGTATAGTCTGTGGGAGGATGTGGTGTTTGCCCCTGTATAGACGTATTGTATAGTCTGTGGGAGGATGTGGTGTTTGTCCAGGTGAGAGCCATATTGTATAGTCTGTGGGAGGATGTGGTGTTTGCCTCGGTATAGACGTATTGTATAGTCTGTGGGAGGATGTGGTGTTTGTTCTGGTAAGAGTCTTATTGTTTACCCTGTAGGAGAATGTGGTGTTTGTTCTGGTGAGAGTCTTATTGTATAGACTGTGGGAGGATGTGGTGTTTGTCCAGGTATAGACGTATTGTATGGTGTGTGGGAGGATGTGGTGCTTGTCCCGGTGAAAGTCATATTGCATAGGCTGTGGGAGGATGTGGTGTTTGTCCCGATGAGAGACATATTGTATAGTCTGTAAGAAGATGTGGTGTTTGTGCCGGTGAGAACCGTGTTTTATAAACTGTGGGAGGATGTGGTGTTTGTCCCGATGAAAGCCATATTGTATAGTCTGTGGGAGGATGTGGTGATTGTCCCGGTATAGACGTATTGTATAGTCTGTGGGAGGATGTGGTGTTTGTTCTGGTAAGAGTCTTATTGTATAGCCTGTAGGAGAATTTGGTGTTTGTTCTGGTGAGAGTCTTATTGTATAGACTGTGGGAGGATGTGGTGTTTGTCCCGGTATAGACGTATTGTATAGTCTGTGGGAGGATGTGGTGTTTCTCCCGGTGAGAGTCCACAGATTGTGTCTGAAACCTTTTTTTTTTTTAACATTTCTTCCAGTCATTCACAGACTTTGAGGAGTCATCACAAGTCTTTAGTCTGGAACACATTGAAGGTAATGAATCTTCATTTCTTTGACATACTCATTCTGACATTACAATGTATGGATGGACCTTAAACGCTTCTCTTGTGTTTTGGTTTCAAGCAGACATTGCCTGTCTTTACCAGAAAGCTATTTCACCAGATTCACCACCTCCTCCTCCTGTGGCCAAGTCTCAGAGGAGTGTGGAAGATTGGGAGAAACAAAGGTAGGAGTACTGTATCCCTTGATCAATCCCATTCAGTTTCGTTTTTGTATCCTATTTATGTTGCACAAGTTGCTTCAAGTTATTGATATTTCTGGACTGACTCTGATATTGATTTGGAGTAAAGCCAAGTGACCATGATCACCTCAACATCACCTTGGTTCAGTGAGTGAGAGGTATGCCAGCTTTCTGCTTCTCAAGCTTTTTAATCTACTGCCCAGGCCACTTACAGCTTCCTCCGAGTAGTCTGCCCTGTCAACCACTCTCGTTTCACAGACTATAGGGGCCCACGTGAGTATTTAGCAGCCTCTGTCATGCTTCCAGACCTGTATGTAAGTGCACTAAGTAAATTAAGATCTCAGGCAACAATGTCACATTTGTACATTCACTGCTAGAGTCCCACTTGCTGAGTTTCTGCAGTGTTTTCTCAAACAGGATTCTGGTGTAAAAAGTCCCCTCCAGAGCATGTTCCTGACTAGTCCTTTCTACTTTGCCAAGCTTGTCATGTTGATATCCAGTGTATGACATGCAAGGCTCATGACTAATCCAAGTCATAGTTTGTAATCCAGTGTAGTGAAGTTGCTTTCGACCCTTTCTTGTGGACACACTACTGAAGATAGTGGAGATACAGAACAGTAAGCCTCGAGATCGGTCTACTGGCAGAAAGAGTGAGGTCCAGGACAGACAAACACACAGACAGGACAGACAGACAGACATATAATTTTCTTGTCAGTGAGCAGGATAATTAATTATCATTAATTCTATCATCTCTTCTCTCTCCATGCAGCCAGGGTGGAGTGACCTGGGTATCTCTGTGGCCAGGCAGATTAGAGCAGGACAGGTAAAGGAAGTTTTCAGGATGGTTTATTTCAGTCTGTCTGTCTGTCAGGATTATTTCAGTCTGTCCGTAACAGCCAGCAAAGGGTTGAGCAGGGATCGTAGAACATCAGTTTGTTTCCATGGTGATTGTTCTTTACGTCTGTACCACCATAAAATGTCTCGAACATACAGATAATTTACAGAAAATTTCATCCAGACTTTCCAAAATCAGAGATTTATTTAATATAAAGGAAACATTACTTGTGAGGATACCTCATTAAATAGCAATGACAGTACTATTACCTGACAGGTGCATAGTCGCCATATAGGCAGACGGAATCATAACAAAAAAACCCACATACCGAACTCAATAAAACACACACTAGGGTATATGGGTCAAAATTGGCCACAGATTTTATTAATAATAGTATTGGTAATAAATTAACATTGAAAAAGGTCATTGCCCCACACCCTGCCATACCACATCCGTATCCCCACAGTTCGATATAAAAGGCAATGACCCTTATATAAACACATAATATATAACAGTATTTCAACATGAACATAGAAACATAGAATGTGACGGCAGTTAAGAACCATTCGGCCCATCTAGTCTGCCCAATTTTCTAAATACTTTCATTAGTCCCTGGCCTTATCTTATAGTTAGGATAGCCTTATGCCTATCCCATGCAAGCTTAAACTCCTTTACTGTGTTAACCTCTACCACTTCAGCTGGAAGGCTATTCCATGCATCCACTACCCTCTCAGTAAAGTAATACTTCCTGATATTATTTTTAAACCTTTGTCCCTCTAATTTAATACTATGTCCTCTTGTTGTGGTAGTTTTTAATTCTTTTAAATATAGTTTCCTCCTTTACTGTGTTGATTCCCTTTATATATTTAAATGTTTCTATCATATCCCCCCTGTCTCGTCTTTCCTCCAAGCTATACATGTTAAGATCCTTTAACCTTTCCTGGTAAGGTTTATCCTGCAATCCATGAACCAGTTTAGTAGCCCTTCTCTGAACCCTCTCTAAGGTATCAATATCCTTCTGAAGATACGGTCTCCAGTACTGTGTACATACTCCAAGTGAGGTCTCACCAGTGTTCTGTACAATGGCATGAGCACTTCCCTCTTTCTACTGCTAATACCTCTCCCTATACAACCAAGCATTCTGCTAGCCTTTCCTGCTGCTCTATTACATTGTCTGCCTACCTTTAAGTCATCAGAAATAATCACCCTAAATCCCTTTCCTCATATGTTGAGGTCAGGACTCTATCAAATATTCTGTACTCTGCCCTTGGGTTTTTACGTCCAAGATGCATTATCTTGCACTTATCCACATTAAATGTCAGTTGCCACAATTCTGACCATTTTTCTAGTTTTCCTAAATCATTTGCCATTTGGCTTATCCCTCCTGGAACATCAACCCTGTTACATATCTTAGTGTCATCAGCAAAAAGACATACCTTACCATCAAGACCTTCTGCAATACCACTAATAAAAATATTAAAGAGAATGGGTCCAAGTACAGATCCCTGAGGTACCCCACTGGTGACAAGTCCAAGCTTCGAATATATTCCATTAACTACAACCCTCTGTTGCCTGTCACTCAGCCACTGCCTTACCCATTCAGCAATATTGGAATCCAAACTTAAAGATTGCAGTTTATTGATAAGCCTTCTATGTGCAACAGTGTCAAAAGCCTTACTGAAATCTAGGTAAGCAATGTCTACTGCACCTCCCTGATCTATAATTTTAGTTACCCAATCAAAAAAATCAATAAGATTAGTTTGGCATGATCTCCCTGAAGTAAACCCATGTTGTCTCTGATCTTGAAATCCATGTGTTTTTAGATGTTCATCAATCCTATCCTTTTAACATGGTTTCCATCACTTTCCCCACTACTGAAGTAAGGCTTACTGGCCTATAGTTGCCCGACTCCTCCCTATTACCTTTCTTGTAAATGGGCACAACATTCGCTAACTTCCAATCTTCTGGGACTACTCCTGTTAACAATGATTGGTTAAATAAATCCGTTAATGGTTTTGCTAGTACACCACTAAGCTCTTTTAATAGCTTTGGGTGTATTCCATCAGGTCCCATTGACTTACTTGTCTTTACTTTTGACAGTTGAAATAGAACCTCTTCCTCTGTAAACTCACGTGTAATAAATGACTCATTTATCCTTTTTCTCAACTGTGGTCCCTTTCCTTCATTTTCATCTGTAAATACCGAACAAAAATATTCATTGAGGCAGTCAGCTAGACCTTTATCCTCTTCTACATACCTTCCTTCTTTTGTTTTTAATCTAACTAATCCTTGTTTTACTTTTCTTTTCTCATTTATATATCTAAAAAAATTTTTATCCCCCCTTTTTACTGACTGTGCTATTTTCTCTTCTGTGTGTGATTTGGAAGCTCTTATAACTTGCTTAGCCTCTTTCTGCCTAATCTTATAGATCATTTGTCTTCCTCACTCTGGGTTTTTTTTATAATTCCTAAATGCTTTTTGTTTTTAACTATTTTGGCCACATCTGCAGAGTACCACAGTGGTTTCTTGAATTTTTTGCTTTTACTGACAAGCCTAATGCAATTTTCTGTTGCCTTCAATAGTGCAACTTTTAAATAAACCCATTTCTCTTGGACTCCATTTAAATTGCTCCAGTCTGATAATGACTCCTCTACCCATATTCTAATTTTAGAAAAGTCTGTTTTTCTAAAGTCTAAAACTTTTGTTTTTGTGTGGTGTGACTCAGTCACTGTTCTTATATTAAACCACACTGACTGATGATCACTGGATCCTAAACTTTCACCTACAGTAACATCTGATACCAAATCTCCATTTGTTAACACTAAATCTAGTATGGCCTCTTTACGAGTTGGCTCCTCAACAACTTGTTTTAGAGACAATCCCAGTAGGGAGTTTAGAATATGTGTGCTCCTGGCACAAGTAGCTAATTTTTTTTCCAATTTACATCAGGAAGATTAAAGTCACCCATGATGATAACTTCCCCCTTCATTGTCATTTTAGCTATTTCCTCAACTAGTAGATTATCTAACTCTTCAATTTGTCCTGGTGGCCTATAAATCACACCTACACGAGTTACTGTGTGATTACCAAATTCTAACGTAGCCCAAACGGACTCTAACTTAAGTGGCAACATTTTAATTAACCATGGTAGGGGTATACCTGGGTACCCCAACCCCACCAGGTTCTTAGCCATCGACAAGCTCGAAACCTACCAAACTTACCAAGAACCATATTAACCATTTCCATAACCATCCTAATGGGGAGCCTATTTCCTATCCTTCAGCTCCCTATCCTGCCGCTGTGACAGATTATTGTTAAGATGGCTGCCTATTTATATAGCCCAGCCCCTCACCCCCTAACGACCAATCCCTACATAGCTTTCGTCTATGCCCGCCTCCTAGCTCTGTCAAGGCCCATTTCCACTAAGCTGTGCTTTTGTTACATGGGGCTACATTCTGGTGTACCGCAGTTTGGTGGAGCAGCAATCCGGTTCTGCTAAATCCTGCTTTGGCCTCTTACAGCCAATCATTTTGTGTTGTGTATATTTTTGCACAGTTATCTGTTGTCTGTCTATACACTTAAAGGAACACTACAGGGTCAGGCACACAAACGTGTATTCCTGACCCGACACTGTTAAAAACACCATCAAGCCCCCCTTCCACCTTGTCCCCCTATTTATAGTAAAATCTTACCTTTATTCCAGTCTGCTGCTACTGGCTCTTACTCTGATCTGCCTTCTTGGGTGACCTCATCAGAAGTGGTGACCTGAGCCAATCACAATGCTTCCCCATAGGATTGGCTCAGACTGTCAAGGAGGCAGATCAGGGGCAAAGCCAGCACAAGTCAAACACAGCACTGGCCAATCAGCATCTCCTCATAGAGATGTATTGAATCAATGCATCTCTATGAGGAAAGCTCAGTGTCTGCATGCAGAGGGTGGAGACACTGAATATCAATTCACACTGTGCAGCACTGCCCCAGGAAGCACCTCTAGTAGCCATCTGAGGAGGGGCCAGTGGAGGTATCCCTAGGCTGTAATGTAAACACTGCAGTTGAACTGAAACAAAGCAAAACAGTGTTTACAGAAAAAAGCCTGAAGGGAATTATTATACTCAGCAGAACAAATACAATAAGCTGTAGTTGTTCTGGTAACTATAGTGTCCCTTTAATATCCTAAACTGAGATCAGAGGATCTGGGTAATGTCAGGAACGCACTCATTATATACAATTATTTTTCATTGATGTATTGCAATAAATGTACAAATTGTGTTTTACAATAAAAGTTCTGACAAATAATACATAAAGCTGTAGTAATAATACACTGAGCTTTAATACTACAATAAGCTGTAATACAATGAGCTGTAATAATACACTGAGCTTTAATACTACAATAAGCTGTAATACAATGAGCTGTAATAATACAATGAGCTTTAATACTACAATAAGCTGTAATACAATGAGCTGTAATAATACACTGAGCTTTAATACTACAATAAGCTGTAATACAATGAGCTGTAATAATACAATGAGCTTTAATACTACAATAAGCTGTAATACAATGAGCTGTAATAATACACTGAGCTTTAATACTACAATAAGCTGTAATACAATGAGCTGTAATAATACACTGAGCTTTAATACTACAATAAGCTGTAATACAATTAGCTGTAATAATACAATGAGCTTTAATAATACAATAAGCTCTAGTTATTATTATTGCCATTTATATAGCGCCAACAGATTCCGTAGCGCTTTACAATATTATAAGAGTGGGTATTTAACTATAAATCGGACAATTACAAGTAAACTTACAGGAACGTTAGGTTGAAGAGGACCCTGCTCAAACGAGCTTACAGTCTATACGAGGTGGGGTATAAAAACACAATAGGTCAGGAAATAGCAATCAAATAGGGTGGGAGTGAAGCAGAGCTGGAGGAGAGAGTAGAGTGCTGCCCTTTAAGAGAGAGCAAGAGACGGGTATGTAAGGTAGAGGTTACTCTGGGAGGCCATAAGCTTTCCTAAAGAGGCAGCTCTGCGGCTGTGAAGCCAACTCATAGCTCCAGGGTCTCCGCTGGGGCTTGCGCCTCTCTCCAGTGGCTATCTCCACTTAGGCAGCCCCGAGGAGAGCATTTCTTGGGCAACTACGAGCCTGGCCTCACAGCTCCCAGGGAGAGGAAGTCAGTGATTATAGCTCCGTTATTTGCAGATAGGGCAATCCGAAGTGCCAGTACCCTAATAGTATCCCCACCAACCTCAGAGACCCCGCAAGGGAAGCGTCTCTTTTCGGGATACGAATGCTCCCCCTGGGTGGCGTTCACCTATACGAATGGCTGCCACCCAGGGGAGCACTCATTAATTACTTTCCTTTTGGTTTCACACTTATGATGCCGGTGCGAACGTTCTGATTGATTGGTGTGAACATTCTAATGGGGTACCGGGGTGGTCCGCGTTCGGGAGACGAACAGGTTCCATTCGCATAAGCGCTCCCGAATGGTCAACAGGGCATATTACACGAAACACATAGAAATACATGGGGAAACGTACAATTCACAGGGGAAAACACCCAAACGAGCAGTGGGCATGGTATTCAGTGACGGCAGTCTGCCACAGGCAGCATAAAGAGAAAATAAAAGGGGACCAAGGACAGAGCCTTGGGGGACTCCAACCGAGACAGGACAAAGGGAGGAGGTATCATTAGAAAAGGAGACACTGAATGAGTGTTGGGAGAGATAGGAGGAAAACCAAGATAGGACAGTGTCACAGAGACCGAGTGATTGAAGAGTTTGAAGAAGGATCAGCGGTGTCAAAGGCAGTAGAGAGGTCAAGAAGAATTAGTATGAAGTAGTGGCCTTTGGATTTAGCTGCGATTAGGTCGTTAGTAACTTTGATAAGAGCAGTCTCAGTAGAGTGGAGGGGGTGGAAGCCAGATTGAAAAGGGTCAAGGAGAGAGTTGGAATTGAGGAAGTGAGACATATGGGTAAAGACAAGTCTTTCCCAGAAGCTTTGAGGAAAAAGGGAGCAGGGATATGGGACGATGGTTAGAGGGGGAGGACGGGTCGAGAGATGTGTTACAGGGGCATGTTCAAGGTCAGCAAGGACAATGCCAGAAGAGAGAGAGAGCAGCTGAAGATGTGTATTAAGGAAAGCACAAGAGATCTGATAAGGGGAGAGGGGACAGAATCAATCAGGCAAGTGGTGGGGCAAGAGGAAAAGAGAAGCGCAGCCACCTCTTGTTCAGGAAAAAGTCTGATGCATAGGAAAGGCATGATCTACATGTGGTTGAGAAAGAGAAAGGCAGGGTGGGGAGAATTCTTTCCTTAGCTGTTCAGTCTTGTCATCAAAGTAGCATGCAAAGCTATCGGCCATAAGGTTAGTTTGAGGGTTGGCCACAGCAGGGCAAAGAAGAGAATGAAAGGTGCAAAGAGACACCTGGGATTGCAAGAGCATGAACTAAAAAAACTAAAAAGAGAGGAAAAGTATGACTGTTTGGTGAGGGCAGGGGCTGCGTTGTATGAACACAATATGAATCTATAATGGAGATTGTGACGGACCGTCTGTCAAATCGATGCTCCTAGCGCTTACCAAGGACCATCAGCACCGCACCGGACACCATAGCCACCGCAGACTCCACGAACCTCCGTAGCTTGGTCTCGCCGTCTCCTTCCCACCCTGGTCCAACCTCTGGACCCAGGAACGTGTGGGAAGGACCTCTCCTGCAGGAGGGTATAGCTGTGGGAAGGACCTCTCCTCCAACATAGTGTAGCTGTGGGAAGGACCTCTCCTCCAGGAGGGTATAGCTGTGGGAAGGACCTCTCCTCCAGGAGGTTATAGCTTTGGGAAGGACCTCTCCTCCAGGAGAGTATAGCTGTGGGAAGGACCTCTCCTCCAGGAGAGTATAGCTGTGGGAAGGACCTCTCCATCAGGAGAGTATATCTGTATAGCTGAAGAGAGCTCTTACAAGAGCTAGCAGTGATATAGCAGTTATAGCTGTTCCCTACAACACGAGACGAGGCTGGTTTATTGAGCACAAAGGCATTTCTTTTATACCTATTTTCAGGCCAGAGGCACACCCCCTGGACCTGATGAAACACAGGGACAAAAGGGACACAAACCAATAGGAACAATAATTAACAAAGTAACACTCTCACATACAGTCAGCGAGCCCTTCCCTCTGCCTGTGATATAATTAAGATAGCTAATGGAATAACTTAATTATCCACAGGCAGAAAATATAAATTTTTACACAAAGTTCAGAAACAGCCCAAAACTCAAACATATCCCCATAAATTATACATACCTGGATAGCTCTGATCTGGGCGAACAACATATCCAAAAATCACCCAGATAGTATGGTCTATATTCCATACTAAGTTCTGTTCAAATTCACGAACGGGGCCGTTCGTGCAAATAGTCAAAGTTAAAATGGCGTTTGAATTGTCGAACACTGTTCGACTCCAGACGAAGTTCTGGAGAAGGTAAAGTTCAGCAGTGTTCATGCCGTCGCGTGTCCGATTTGAGTTCCTTGACCTCAACGACCAAACACCGCTGAACGCGTTCGACTGAATTAAAATGGCCGCCTCCACGTCTTCGAATGGCGGTCACTTTGACTACTTCAGCTGTATCCGAAGTGCCACTTCGAAAGTGCAAATCTTTTCCAATAATATTTAAAGGGGCAGAAACAGTGCTTTAAAATCCAATATGCACAAATAGAGTTTTAAAAATAGCAAGACACCCCAGGGGCCATAGTCACAGGGCAAGAGGCTGGCAAGCAGGCCTCTCCAAAACCCAGTGGCGAAGTGCAATTCGTCACAGAGATAGTCTGCCTGGGTGCGAGACTTCCTCCAGCAGCATTCAGCACAACTGAAGCAACTTTGCAGGTAGCGTGTTGATTTAGTATGCCACGGTTGGGGGCGTGTTCTCTTCAAGGTGCATATTTGAAGTGGGGCTGCAGCGTTCATGGCACAGGTAAGGGTAGTGATATATGTGGAGATGGCCAGTGAGGGACAGGAGAGAGACGGGATGGATAGCAGTTGTGAATCAATATCGGCTGACAGCTGCTGGAGCTCAATAGAATTAAGGTTCCTCCTGAGTTGAGGGGGGTTAAGCTGAGGTTGTTGGGTGAGGGGGTATTCAAGAACAAATGATAAGAGGTGAAACGGAGTGTTGGAGATATTAGACACTGTACATGCATAAGAGAAAATGAGGTCGAGGGTATTGTGTCAGGATTACAGAATGATCCAGCACGTAGAATTGTATAACACAGAGGACTGATAGGTAACGTATACCGGACCTTAGAATGGCCGGACTAACGTACCAAAGAATAGTCAGGAATAGCCGAGGTCAAGGGAAACAGAAAGAGACACAACGATAAGGAAAAGCCAGGAGTCCGGGATGCCAGAAAACAGGGAAGTCAAAAACAATGCCAAAGTCAAATAACCAGAATTACCAGAATCAATAATGCGCTTTCGGACAACCACAACAGGGCACTGAGCAGGATGAGAACTGGGCCTAAATACCCCTCCCCTAGATCTGATAGGCTGTAACCGGCCTTTGACCCCAAAGGCAGTTACCAGGTTCTCATTTGCATAATTGCTGCTCAGCATTAACCCTTCTGTGGATTTGGTTGCTGCTCGGCACAACTTTTCCTGTGTGGACAGTAAATGTCATTAACCACATTTTTATAAGCGGATGAATACGTGACATATTGCCAGTTACAGGGGTTGGAGAATTAGCCCACTGTAATAGCCCGAGGGAGGAAGTAATTGAAAGTAGTTTAGAGGCTGCTGAGGTCAGGGGATGGTTAATGGGAACATTGAAGTTCTCGAGAATTAGGGATGGTATGTTAGAGGAGAGGGGAAGTAGGTTAGCCAGGCAGCAAAGTGGTCAAGGAAGAGGAGAGGGGTACCGGGGAGAGATAAATAATGGCAATGTTACAATAAGCTGTTATAATACACTGAGCTGTATTACGGAGTAATAGTACACTAAGTTGTAATAATATAGTGAGCTGTAATATTACGAGCTGTAATAATACATTCAGTTGCAATATTACAAAGAGCTGTAATAATATAATAATTTGTAATACACTAAGCTGTAATAATGTACTGAGCTGTAATATTACTGTGGTAAAACCAGCCCCTTAAGAAATGTATGTGGGTAAAATGTTTCATTTTTCGTTTATTTTCCCTTTTATTACATGTAAATGTATAGGGCATTCGTGTGCTTGCAGCATACGAATGCCGCCAGCGTTCCGCTTAAAGTTCCACGAACAGTGATTTTCAAACACTGTTCATGAAACGAACCAACTGCCGAATGGGAGACTACACAACGGGGATCGTGTGTCTCCCATTAACTACTGCATCAATGTATCTCCAGTTTATTAATGGATTTCGTGGGTGGCCGCCGTTTGTATACCGAAACGTGGCGGCGGCCATCTTTGTTCACGAAAGTACAGCAGTGTTTGGTTGTCGAGTGCCTGGAACTAAAATCGGCTACTCGACTTACCAGACACAGCTGGATTTCCAGGCCGTTCGTGTAAATAATTATTTCGGTAGATTAAAGCTTTTCGTGTATTTTCCAAGTACAATGTCTGTTCACCTAAAGTGTATTTCGCATGGCGTTGGGTTATTTCTGCAGGGATCTTAGCAGTAATTCACCAGACGGTGCGCTCAGATCCCATTCGACTAATTCCGCTCACTATTTTACAAGTTATGGATTTTAATGTATAATGGTATATTTTACTGTACATTCTTACACCATTATCTCTCCTGTACAGCATGGCCTGATGGGAAAAGACCTTGCAGGGTCAGTTTCCCACACAGTCCCCTTGATTAAAACCCCTGTAATACCAGTTGGTAAACCCCTTGCATGGGGAGCTGCATAAATACTGTAACCTGTGAATAAAAGCTCAGTTGACCTATGTGTCGTCTAGTTCTTGGGAGAAAGAGATTGTTATTACGCTACCTGTGTTTTACCTGCTTTCTCCTGACTACCAGTGGAGATACCATGAATTAACCCCTACTACTCCGCTACAATTACAATGCGCTGTAATAATGCACTGAGCTGTAATAATTCAACGAGCTGTAATAATACACTAAGCTGCAATAATACAATGAGCTGTAATATTACAATGAGCTGATAATACACTGAGCTGTAATATTACATAGAGCTGTAATAATACAATAAGCTGTAATAATACATTGAGATGATAATACACTGAGCTGTAATATTACATAGAGCTGTAATAATACAATAAGCTGTAATAATACATTGAGATGATAATACACTGAGCTGTAATATTATATAGAGCTGTAATAATACAATGAGCTGTAATAATACAATAAGCTGTAATAACACACTTAGATGTAATAATACAATGAGCTATAATAATACAAGCTGTAATAACACACTTAGCTGTAATAATACCATTATCTGTAATAATACAATAAGCTGTAATAATACAATTAGCTGCAATAATACAATGAGCTATAATAATACAAGCTGTAATAATACAATGAGCTGTAATAATATAATAAGCTGTAATAACACACTGAGCTGTAATAATACAATGAGCTATAATAATACAAGCTGTAATAACACACTTAGCTGTAATAATACAATAAGCTGTAATAATACAATGAGCTGCAATAATACAATGAGCTATAATAATACAAGCTGTAATAATACAATAAGCTGTAATAATATAATAAGCTGTAATAACACACTGAGCTGTAATAATACAATGAGCTATAATAATACAAGCTGTAATAACACACTTAGCTGTAATAATACAATGAGCTGTAATAACACACTTAGCTGTAATAATACAATAAGCTGTAATAATACAATGAGCTGTGAGAAAAACTACTTTAATTCACTAACTGTATTTGACATATTTCATTGCTTAGTTTTGTTCACTTTATCATAAAATAATTATTTTACCATGTTCACAGGCAAGAAATCCTGGGGCACAAAGAGAGTCTCATGGCTTTAAGGAACCGGGATATCCCACCCTATTTTCAGTCTGAATTGGGGGTTGCCTTTCTCCAAACACAGGTACGATATATACTCACAAATACTGGTAAAACCCTGGCCGGGAGGAGTGTGTATTAAATACACTTTCTGTAAATTCTGTTATTCCAGACTATTATTTAACCCTTTCTATTTCCTCCCACAAGCTAAAGCACAAAGTGGGATTATCTTTTACGAGATTATGATGGTAGATTCACTGTTTAGTGGATTAACCCCTGCTTTCACAGAGACTTCTTGTTTGTATAATAGTAAATCAAACCCTGCCAGCATACAGCCACGTGCCCTGAAACAGAAGGTCCTACTGGAATATGGAAAGATAAACAAATTGTTTTAACACATACAGGATTATTGACTAAAGTGAGAATTTAAAGGGAATTTCAAATCCAAGGTCAAAATAGCCGTACTGGAAAATGTAAGGTCCCTTTAAGGATTTGGTACCTAGGAGTTGAATGATTAAGCCCCGGGTTTTGTAACTTCAATCTGTCCTATTCCGGTTGATTTGTACAGGTTCCAGATACAGAACATCTCTCTAAACAGCTGCCACCATTCATAAGGGAAAAGAAAAAGACAGAAGAACCATTGGCTGAACCGGACAAGAATCCTGGAGCAGGTATCTGCTTACATTGTAACATTGTCATCGAGCTGAGACCTTCACACCCAAAAGAAAAGGGGGGAAAACCTGGCTGCATACTCCATCTGTGTCTTAAAATGGGGGGAAATTCGTCAAAAATTTATATTTCTCAGATTTCACCCAGAAACATTGAGCTATTATTAGCCATATGTTTGTTAATGAGTTATTCTGGTAAAACACATATAACCCACTTTCTATTGCATCTGGCAATAAATTCCATTGTTTGAACATTTTTTGCTTCTCTAAGTTAAATCTCCATCATTCTAGTCTAAGTGGATGAGTTGACATTTTCATTGTTCATTTTGTGTGAATGGGCTTATTAGAACATCGGTATGGTGGAGATTGGATAGTTTAGAATAGGATACTGTCCAGGGAGGGCTTATTAGAACATCGGTATGGTGGAGATTGGATAGTGTAGAATAGGATACTGTCCAGGGAGGGTTTATTAGAACATCGGTATGGTGGAGATTGGATAGTTTAGAATAGGATACTGTCCAGGGTGGGTTTATTAGAATATCGGTATGGTGGAGATTGGATAGTGTAGAATAGGATACTGTCCATGGAGGGTTTATTAGAACATCGGTATGGTGGAGATTGGATAGTGTAGAATAGGATACTGTCCAGGGTGGGTTTATTAGAACATCGGTATGGTGGAGATTGGATAGTTTAGAATAGGATACTGTCCAGGGAGGGTTTATTAGAACATCGGTATGGTGGAGATTGGATAGTGTAGAATAGGATACTGTCCAGGGAGGGCTTATTAGAACATCGGTATGGTGGAGATTGGATAGTGTAGAATAGGATACTGTCCAGGGAGGGCTTATTAGAACATCGGTATGGTGGAGATTGGATAGTGTAGAATAGGATACTGTCCAGGGAGGGTTTATTAGAACATCGGTATGGTGGAGATTGGATAGTTTAGAATAGGATACTGTCCAGGGTGGGTTTATTAGAATATCGGTATGGTGGAGATTGGATAGTGTAGAATAGGATACTGTCCATGGAGGGCTTATTAGAACATCGGTATGGTGGAGATTGGATAGTGTAGAATAGGATACTGTCAGGGAGGGCCTATTAGAACATCGGTATGGTGGAGATTGGATAGTGTAGAATAGGATACTGTTCAGGGAGGGTTTATTAGAACATCGGTATGGTGGAGATTGGATAGTGTAGAATAGGATACTGTCCAGGGAGGGTTTATTAGAACATCGGTATGGTGGAGATTGGATAGTGTAGAATAGGATACTGTCCATGGAGGGTTTATTAGAACATCGGTATGGTGAAGATTGGACAGTGTAGAATAGGATACTGTCCAGGGTGGGTTTATTAGAACATCGGTATGGTGGAGATTGGATAGTGTAGAATAGGAAACTGTCCAGGGTGGGTTTATTAGAACATCGGTATGGTGGAGATTGGATAGTGTAGAATAGGATACTGTCCATGGAGGGTTTATTAGAACATCGGTATGGTGGAGATTGGATAGTGTAGAATAGGATACTGTCCAGGGTGGGTTTATTAGAACATCGGTATGGTGGAGATTGGATAGTGTAGAATAGGATACTGTCCAGGGAGGGTTTATTAGAACATCGGTATGGTGGAGATTGGATAGTTTAGAATAGGATACTGTCCAGGGTGGGTTTATTAGAACATCGGTATGGTGGAGATTGGATAGTGTAGAATAGGATACTGTCCATGGAGGGTTTATTAGAACATCGGTATGGTGGAGATTGGATAGTGTAGAATAGGATTCTGTCCAGGGAGGGTTTATTAGAAAATCGGTATGGTGGAGATTGGATAGTGTAGAATAGGATACTGTCTAGGGTGCGTTTATTAGAACATCGATATGGTGGAGATTGGATGGTGGAGATTGGATAATGTAGAATAGGATACTGTCCAGGGAGGGTTTATTAGAACATCGGTATGGTGGAGATTGGATAGTGTAGAATAGGATACTGTCCAGGGTGCGTTTATTAGAACATCGATATGGGGAAGATTGGATGGTGGAGATTGGATAATGTAGAATAGGAAGCTGTCCAGGGAGGGTTTATTAGAACATTGGTATGGTGGAGATTGGATAGGGTAGAATAGGATACTGTCCATAGAGGGTTTATTAGAACATCGGTATGGTGGAGATTGGACAGTGTAGAATAGGATACTGTCCATGGAGGGTTTATTAGAACATCGGTATGGTGGAGATTGGATGGTGGAGATTGGATAATGTAGAATAGGATACTTTCCAGGGTGGGTTTATTAGAACATCGGTATGGTGGAGATTGGATAGTGTAGAATAGGATACTGTCCAGGGTGGGTTTATTAGAACATCGATATGGGGGAGATTGGATGGTGGAGAATGGATAATGTAGAATAGGAAGCTGTCCAGGGAGGGTTTATTAGAACATCGGTATGGTGGAGATTGGATAGTGTAGAATAGGATACTGTCCAGGGTGGGTTTATTAGAACATCGATATGGGGGAGATCGGATAATGTAGAATAGGAAGCTGTCCAGGGAGGGTTTATTAGAACATCGGTATGGTGGAGATTGGATAGTGTAGAATAGGATACTGTCCAGAGTGGGTTTATTAGAACATCGATATGGGGGAGATTGGATAATGTAGAATAGGAAGCTGTCCATGGAGGGTTTATTAGAACATTGGTATGGTGGAGATTGGATAGTGTAGAATAGGAAACTGTCCAGGGTGGGTTTATTAGAACATCGGTATGGTGGAGATTGGATAGGGTAGAATAGGATACTGTTCATAGAGGGTTTATTAGAACATCGGTATGGTGGAGATTGGACAGTGTAGAATAGGATACTGTCCAGGGAAGGAATACATGATTCCCAAGGGGGGGACAGGGTACTTACAATTCTGGGTGTGATTCTCATTGGATGTATCAGAGAAATTGGATGAAATTAGTTAATGGATTGAACTACATTTTGGTTGCATTATACACATCAAACCATTAGTTTAAGAAGCCACATTTGGCAAGCTACTGTCTGTTGCTGTTTAGTGAATAGACCTTCCCGATACCTGTTGTGTTTTTTAGGAAGTGAGGGGGATAATGATTCAAGACAAACCGAATCTAGAGACACTGTTACTCCACATCGCATGGCAGACTGCGGAATAGACATGGCACCCGATAACAAAATTACTCTATACCCAGGTGGGAGACAAAGCATTCATGTTTATATTACAATGTTAAAGGTTCCAGCTCATAATCCCTTCAATATGAGGTTTTAGTACAATTAATTAGTATTACGCAGCCTGTGTCAAGGCACACTTCAATTAGAAGTGATTTCTAATGAGAAAAAGTAAAGTTTATTTTATATATATAGCACTGAATTATCCCTAATTAATTAAAATGATACTATAGTCACTAGAACAACTACAGCTTATTGTATTCTGGAGAGGAGAATCATTCCATTCAGGCTTTTTGCAGTAAACACTGTTTGTTTCAGAGATAATGCAGCGTTTACATTACAGCCTAGAGATACCTTCACTGGCCACTCCTCAGATGGCTGCTAGGCTTCCTGGGGCAGTGCTCCACAGTGTGACTGACATTCAGTGTATCCACCATCTGCAAGCAGACACTGAACTTTCCTCATAATGATGAATTGATTCAATGCATCTCTATGAGGAGGTGCTGATTGGCCAGGGCTGTGTTTGACTTGTGCTGGCTTTGCCCCTGATCTGCCTCCTTGACAGTCTGAGCCAATCCTATGGGGAAGCATTGTGATTGGATCAGACCACTACTTCTAATGATGTCAGCCAAGCAGATCAGGGACAGGGGCAGCAGCTGCAGGCTTAAATACAAGTACTATTTTACTATATTTAGCGAGGCAAGAGGGGACCAGGGGTGCTAGATGATGGTTTTAACATTATAGGGTTAGTAATACATGTTTGTGTGTTTTATAAGGAACTCCTCTTTTCCTGTCTGCATGAATGTGAGAGGTGCCATTTTGTTAGATGTCTCAGCCTGTTGGAGGTAGTTCAGGAAGCTGGGGACATCCTGGGTGGCTGACTGACAGTGTTTATAATGATGTTTGTGTAATGTCACCCACTGCGATGGAGAAAACTCAACAGAGCTGATTAGGCTGTTTTACATCAAAGACACAAAGACTTTCAACAATCTTACGAGAGCACTGGGCATGTCCACTCTGCGTAACCCAGCAGATATCGGCCATTCCTAAATGGCAAACTCCAAAGAGAGCAATACATGAAGTGGGTTTCACCTTTACATAGCCATTGTTCAATCTATTATTATAGAACAGTGTTTTCAATATAATAATATAACCAAACAAAAATAATATCAAAAAACAAACAAAAAGGGGGAATATACTAATGAAACATAAATCATTTTAAGAAAGTGCACAATAATAAGTATAACTGTACCATTGGGAGTGCCTTATTTAGCAACCATAATGCAGTGCAAAGTGAATTAACAATAAAAGTATGTAACAATGTTTGGCGACCGGTTGGGGGAAAGAGCTAAGTATGATATGGACACCGAATGTCTTCTTCCTAAATCGTCCAAGAACATTCTTTTCTTTCTGAACTTCTGTTATAAAGACATGCTGAAATCTCACACTTTCACAAGACCATGTACAACAATTAGCCTACTAAGAAAATTTTATCATGTTCTGAATTCAAACCAATGAATTATCAATTTTTTTTTTTTTTTTATTTCTGCAGTCCAAGACGAGGCTGAAACAGAAGTCAGTTGGCCGGCGATGATTCCACCAAAATATTATCAGCCTCTGGCCCGTAGTCTGAATATAGACGTAACAGGGCAACCCAGGAGAGAGAAAGTAAGATTGCCAAAATCAATCCTTATCTCCAAACCAGCATCCGTTCCCAACAGAAAGGTAGGATGACTTCATGACCTGGCAGTACAATAGCGAGAGCTTTGTATGTAGGAATTCAGACATGGAAGGTTTTTGTATATGCATTTATATTGTTGCTACGTGCTGACAAGTCTTCATCTCGTGGTCCTATCTCTTGATAGTTTGTAGCAGCTGAAGATCCAGTACGGTGCAATACAAACATGTCTATGTCACCCCCGAGAAGCAGGGGTACGAAGCGAATCCCAAGAGGCTTTCATCTTTTTCCCTCAGCAGTCCAGTTTGGCATTGTGCGAGAGGGCTACACTTACTCCATGTCGGTCACATTAAAGAACATCGGTGTAGAATTCTGCAGGTAATTTCCCCATTGTTTTGTTGTATACATTCCTATTTTTTGCCCATTGTTTTGTTGTATACATTCCTATTTTTTGCCCATTGTTTTGTTGTATACATCCCTATTTTTAACAATTCTATGCACCACTAGGGTGCAAGCAGGTGACCTCATATAAGTGTCTCTTTTAATACAAAAACTTTATTGTTCTGTGTGAAAAAAAGCATGATAACATAAACAAGCAAAGTTTCATTAACACCCTATGGGTTTCATGCTAGGAAGCATTTAATGTCAGGGTCCATGAGGAGCTGTAATGAAAATAGCCCAACTTACATTGTATGCACATTTACAATCCACTTTGGCATTTCTTCGGCCCCAATGTAATCTTAAATGGTTCAGTTCAAACATGTTTTTATTTAATTTTATCTATCAAGGAATCTATTCTCTATATCCCGACAGTTGATCAATTTACTATTGAACATTGCACAAACTCTACTTTAAGGACAGTATCTACATGTATCAAAACATCTACACTCTACAGCAACCGCAATGCCAGAAAAAAACAACTGTCCATGGGTAGAAAAAGCATTTAGAGAGAAGGTGAAGAAAAACAGTCCTCCTGTTACCATGGGCACTGCACGAACATACAGTCCTCCTGTCTCCACAGGCACTGCACAAACATACAGCCTTCCTGTCTCCACAGGCACTGCACAAACATACAGCCCTCCTGTCTCCACAGGCAAGGCACAAACATACAGTCCTCCTGTCTCCACAGGCACTGCACAAACATACAGCATTCCTGTCTCTACAGGCACTGCACAAACATACAGCCCTCCTGTCTCCACAGGCAAGGCACGAACATACAGCCCTCCTGTCTCCACAGGCAATGCACAAACATACAGCCCACCTGTCCTCATAGGAACTGCACAAACATACAGCCCACCTGTCTCCACATGCACTGCACAAACATACAGCCCTCCTGTCTCCACAGGCACTGCACGAACATACAGCCCTCCTGTCTCCACAGGCAAGGCACGAACATACAGCCCTCCTGTCTCCACAGGCACTGCACAAACATACAGCCTTCCTGTCTCCACAGGCACTGCACGAACATACAGCCCACCTGTCCACACAGGCAAGGCATGAACATACAGCCCTCCTGTCTCCACATGCAAGGCACAAACATACAGCCCACCTGTCTCCACAGGCAAGGCAAGAACATACAGCCTCCTGTCTCCACAGGCAATGCACAAACATACACCCCACCTGTCCTCATAGGCACTGGCCGAACATACAGCCCACCTGTCTTCGTACGCACTGCCCGAACATACAGCCCACCTGTCTTCATAGGCACTGCACGAACATACAGCCCACCTGTCTTTGTAGGCACTGCCCGAACATACAGCCTTCCTGTCTCCTCAGGCACTGCACAAACATACAGCCCTCCTGTCTCCACAGGCACTGCACTAACATACAGCTACTGTCTCCACAGGCCCTGCACAAATATACAGCCCTCTTGTCTCCACAGGCACTGCACAAACATACAGGCTCCTGTCTCCACAGGCACTGCACGAACATACAGCCCTCTTGTCTTCATAGGCATTGCCGGCACACACAGCTCTATTGTCACCACAGGCTCAAATCAGATCACACCTTACACTGTCGCTTAGTGGATAGATAGGTTTTTGTACTTAATGGAAACATTGCATAAAATGATTCAGAAACGAAGATATAATAAAAGCAGTAAATCAAATGTTAAGAAGTACCAATTGGTAAAGGCATTTTAAAAGAAATCCGAAACCATTAGGGGGACACTCAACTCCGAATCCCTATGATCGATATTAGTAAATTTCAGGAAGATATTAGTAAGTTGTGAAGCCAAGTCTAGGTTCACTCATCACTTGCCTTCTCTCCAAGACTGTGAACTGACAGAGAGAAGCTTCAGATGAAAGATTGGGCGGTTTGGAAGATCAAGGAAGAAATCTGTTTTGGATTATTGAATACAGGTCCTAGGACCAAATTCTTCAGCTTCATTTTGAGGCATCAGAAACAATTTGTCTTCTGTATTGGGTTTTGGCATCAACATGGAATGTGTAACAAAGAGTTATATTCTATGACTTGCTATAGCCTGGCTCACCAGCTGATGTTTCGCCATGAACTTCTGATTTTCGAGCGTGATTATCTGACTTTTTCCTAGTCTTCAATTATTAAGGGTAAAACATTTGTGGTAGGGCCCTGTATCCTGATAGGGAGTTACAGACTCCATCACTATCCCCTTAGAGCACTCGTGGAGTTAGTGTTACAGGGTTACAATCATTTCTGTCAGTGGCTTACAAATGGAGGATTCTCTGTAAGGCCTTTCTACAGACAATATTTACTTGGAGTTTCTAGTTATCCATCTCTCCTGGGAGTTGCTGGTAGTATTTACCACAACAGAGAACATTCACATTTTGCAAAGACAAATGATTTTGGCTCATCAAAGACCCTGGGAATGCTCCTCACAAATATCTAAGAAATTCTACCATTACAGGCAGGAGTGGACGGAATGATGAGAAAGTCTGAACAGAGAAATCCTAAGAGATTAATAAATTCTGTGCGGAATGGTCAGTCTCATTCCAGTTTGCTGACTAGAGATATAATCTGAAGGCAGTTTTGCTAAAGGTTTCGAATAGTTCTGACACATTGAGGTTCACACCCAGAAATGGAATATGATGGCTATAAATTATATACATCGTGTTAAGCATTACTTTCTACCCACGATCCTTTAACACTTTCATTTTTACCAATGTGTGTCTGGGAATGGTCTGACAATGGACCACCAGAAGGGACTGAATTAGACCCAATATGCTTTTATAAATAAACCTAGATAGAATTGACGCATTATTGAGTGATTGGTTTGCAGCAATCTGTACACAGTTTTTCTCAATTGCTTTTCAGAACAAGGAAAATATAATTATCTCCCAGATAAGGAAATAAACTGCTCGGTCATATTTATTGGCCTCATATTGTTTAATAGACAATTTAAGTTTGTGATTGAAAAGGAATATCTGCTTTTTTTAGTACATGGACTCAGTAAAGATCTATTTAACCACATTCTGACAACGTCAAGACTCTGGTACAATGGTACAAGTTGAAGTTGTAGCTTAATTACTGATGTCCTTAGAAGGTCTGGAATCTAGATGGCACCACTTGAAATTATAGCTCTATACCCCCAAGGTTCTTAAAAGGCTCCAGGGTGATAGTTTCAGTTAAGGCTGGCACTCTACCAGTTAAGTCCCAAGAAGACATGAATTCTAGCACAATGGCTGATCTATTGCTAACGTCCTCAGAACCCCTGACATTTGCTTGATGGAACAAGTTGAAGATGTTTCCCTTCCACCCATGTCATTGCAAGGTTTGAACGTTGTGTAAAAGAGCAAATGTTCGTCTTACCAAGTCCTTACAAGGCCTGGTCTCTCGCATGATGGCAGCAATGGAAGTAACAGCTCTACCACACATCCCTTAGAATTGGGATCCTATGACAACCCTGAGGCACCAACTGGGGTATTATCCTTTCTGGGGCACCCTCTTAGGGCATCATCCTGGGGCACAAACCTAGGGCATCATCTAGTATATTAACTCTCTGGTTGCCCGGTACCTGCTAAAGGTTAAGAGTTGGCTCATTTTAGCATGTTAACTGATGAATGGACAGCTCTGTACATAGAAGGGTTAATTCTTGGCCTTCCTTGATGAGAGGTAAGACCGCTCTCGCTCGGGCCATCCGTAGCATTTTCCAGATGAAGGAAATCGTGACAAGTTTGATTTCTAATCGGAGATGAAAGAAATGAAACTATTATTCATACCCAGCTCATCCATATACATGTAATACTGGTAAACGATGCCAGCAGCCCCCCATCATTGCCTCCAGAACAGGGATCTGGCAATCATTAATAGCAACAGCTCTGTGTCCCAGAGACACCTCTGCAGAACAACTGCTGTCCAAGTGCACCTCCTAGTGGTCACAACTCAAAGGACATGGAGCCCTCATGCCATTCTCCATGACTACTGAAAAAAGGGTTAATGGAAAAGTACAAATCTTATTGTAACAACACAAAATGAACATAATACACCATAAACACAATACACCAAATAACACAAACACAACACACCAAATAACAAACACACACAATACACCAAACACAACACCCCATAAACACAATACACCAAATAACACAAACACAACACACCAAATAACAAACACACACAATACACCAAACACAACACACCATAAACACAATACACCAAATAACACAAACACAACACACCATAAACACAACACACCATAAACACAATACACCAAATAACACAACACACACCAAATAAAACAAAAACAACACACCATAAATACAATGCACCAAATAACACAAACACAACACACTAATTAACACAAACACACACAATACACCATCGCTTGCCAGCTGCCCCAGATTATTTACAGCAGACTATCGAGTCAATATATACCGAAAGTTGTGGAAATATGTTAAAATTATATTTACTAACTGGCAAACCGCTGCTGATTTGCTCCCCAGAAGTCCTATAATGGGGAGAAAGCCATGATGGACATTGCCAGTCCTCCCCTGCTGAGACGCATTACCGGTGACTTGGCATTCGCTCTCCATAAGGAATTCCAGCAGCATTATTAACTAAAGGGAGAATTGCTGGAATTCTAAGTGAAGTGGAAATAATCTCCCCGCCAGCTCTGCTTCCAGTTCTCCTGTAGTGACTAACTCTGCATGTCTGTCAAGGAGCCGCCGTGTCCTCTAATTTTCAGATTTAGATGAGCGGTTATTCCTTTTTATAGTATGTTTATTAATGGAGTAATACGAGTGTGGCAGCGGCAGATCACGCTTTGGCGCTTTGTGGGTTTATGTACTAAACAGCAAACTGCAGTGAACTGGAAATCTGACTTATGGGAGAGAGAGAATTTTCCAGATCCCTAGATTTCACGGTTTAATTAAGGATAATGGTCATGATGTAAGGTAAAAGAACAATAGAGGATCTTCAGGCAGCGGCAGTGTTCAAACCGCAAGCAGTTTTAATGAATCTAAAGAGGCAACAAAGACCTTGTAGAAGGTCGAAACGTGGATCTGTCACCGCTTTAATAAGTATCTGCATGTGTGAGAGTGATTGTATATGTGTATCTGTGTCAGTGCAACTGTATGTGTGTCAGTGTTTCCATATGAAAAGGAGAAGCAGGGAGAGCTTGAGGCAGAGGAAAATGCAGGAAGTGCCTTGGGCAGAGGGAAGAGCAGGGAGAGCCTGGGGCCAGAGAGGAGAGCCTTGGGCAGAGAGAAGAACAGGGAGAGCCTGGAACAGAGGAAAAAGCAGGGAGAGCCTGGGGCAGAGGGGAGAGCAGAGAGAGACTGGGGCAGAGGGGAGAGCAGAGAGAGACTGGGGCAGAGTAAAAAGCAGGGAGAGCCTGGGGCAGAGGAGAAGCAGGGAGAGCCTGGAACAGAGGAAAAAGCAGGGAGAGCCTGGAACAGAGGGGAGAGCAGGGAGAACCTAGGGCAGAATAGAAGCAGGGAGAGCCTGGGGCAGTGGGGAGAGCAGAGAGAGACTGGGGCAGTGGGGAGAGCAGAGAGAGCCTGGGGCTGAGGAGAAGCAGAGAGAGACTGGGGCAGAGGGGAGAGCAGAGAGAGACTGGGGCAGAGTAAAAAGCAGGGAGAGCCTGGGGCAGAGGAGAAGCAGGGAGAGCCTGGAACAGAGGAAAAAGCAGGGAGAGCCTGGAACAGAGGGGAGAGCAGGGAGAACCTAGGGCAGAATAGAAGCAGGGAGAGCCTGGGGCAGTGGGGAGAGCAGAGAGAGACTGGGGCAGTGGGGAGAGCAGAGAGAGCCTGGGGCTGAGGAGAAGCAGAGAGAGACTGGGGCAGAGGGGAGAGCAGAGAGAGACTGGGGCAGAGTAAAAAGCAGGGAGAGCCTGGGGCAGAGGAGAAGCAGGGAGAGCCTGGAACAGAGGAAAAAGCAGGGAGAGCCTGGGGCAGAGGGGAGAGCAGGGAGAACCTAGGGCAGAATAGAAGCAGGGAGAGCCTGGGGCAGTGGGGAGAGCAGAGAGAGACTGGGGCAGTGGGGAGAGCTTGGAGAGCCTGGGGCTGAGGAGAAGCAGAGAGATCCTGGGGCAGAGGGAAACGCAAGGAGAGCCTGGGGCAGTGGGGAGAGCAGGGAGAACCTGGGGCAGAAGAGAAGCAGGGAGAGCCTAAGGTAGAGCAACATGCAGAAAGAGCAGGGAGAACCTAGGGCAGAAGAGAAGCAGGGAGAGCCTGGGGCAGTGGGGAGAGCAGAGAGAGACTAGGGCAGTGGGGAGAGCAGGGAGAGCCTGGGGCTGAGGAGAAGCAGAGAGAACCTGGGGCAGAGGGAAACGCAAGGAGAGCCTGGGGCAGTGGGGAGAGCAGGGAGAGCCTGGGGCAGAAGAGAAGCATGGAGAGGCCAGGGCAAAGGAGAAGCAGGGAGAGCCTAAGGCAGAGCAACATGCAGGAAGAGCCTTTGGCAGAGGGAACAGCAGGGAGAGCCTGGTGCAGAATATAAGCAGAGAGAGCCTGGTGCAGAATATAAGCAGAGAGAGCCTGGTGCAGAATATAAGCAGGGAGAGCCTGGGGCAGAGGGAAATGCAGGGAGAGCCTGGGGCAGAGGGAAATGCAGGGAGAGCCTGGGGCAGAGGGAAATGCAGGGAGAGCTTGGGGCAGTGGGGAGAGCAGGGAGAGCCTGGGGCAGTGGGGAGAGCAGGGAGAGCCTGGGGCAGAGGGGAGAGCAGGAGAGCCTGGGGCAGTGGGGAGAGCCTGGGGCAGAGGGGAGAGCCTGGGCAGAGAGGGAGGAGCCTGGGGCAGAGGGGAGAGCAGGAAGAGCCTGGGGCAGTGGGGAGAAGCAGGGAGAACCTGGGGCAGTGGGGAGAGCAGGGAGAACCTGGGGCAGTGGGGGGAGAGCAGGGAGAACCCGGCAGCGGGGAGAGTAGCAGGGAGAACCTGGGGGCAGTGGGAGAGCAGAGAGCCTCAAAGTGAAGAGAAACAGGGAGAGCCTAAGGCAGAGCAACATGCAGGAAGAGCCTTGGGCAGAGGGAAGAGCAGGGAGAGCCTTGGGCAGAGGGAAGAGCAGGGAGAGCCTTGGGCAGAGGGAAGAGCAGGGAGCAGAGGGAAATGCAGGGAGAGCCTGGGGCAGAGAAAAACATATATATTGAAAATAACAGCAACTATGTTCATTACAAACATTTTGCTATTATGAGGGGTACAATTTATGGAGACGGACTGCCAAGGGGTACTCAAGTAAAAAAAGGTTGGGAACCACTGATGTAGGGTAATGACATACCTTGCTGGCTACAGAGAGAATTCCCTGTTCGTGTTTCAATTCCATGTTTTTCTTACAGGTTCCTTGTGAAGCCCCCTCCTCCAAGCAGTGGCCTGAGAGTATCATACACCCCCGGCCCGGTGAGTACCCCTAACCTGACTGCACTCCATCCCACCACAGACAGTAAAAAGATTACTGAGATTCTGATAGTGCTAACATTTTCCCCAGAGCTTTAGAATAGTAACACGGGAATAGAATAGAAAATAACCTGTAGTGGTTATGGTGCATGGAATGTCCCTTTAAAGATATCAGCTGAAAATAGCAGCGAGTAACTCCCACCGATCTCAAGCAGGCTGGGGCATGCAGATCCCTCTATTTTTCTAAGAATACATTTACTTGATCCACGGATTCTAAAAACAAATATGGTAAAGGATATTAAGGACGACTGTGGACTTACCGTTTGTAGACACTATCTACATTCTTATGTGTATTAAGATATCTCCCAAACCCCAGAATGGTATTATATTCCCATAACCCATTCCCCTCACATAGTCCTCTCTCAGCTCCATCGCACACAGCTCACACACAGCTCCATCGCAGACATGCAGCTAGCTCCCATCACACACAGCTCCATCGCAGACATGCAGCTAGCTCCCATCACACACAGCTCCATCGCAGACATGCAGCTAGCTCCCATCACACACAGCTCCATCGCAGACATGCAGCTAGCTCCCATCACACACAGCTCCATCGCAGACATGCAGCTAGCTCCCATCACACACAGCTCCATCGCAGACATGCAGCTAGCTCCCATCACACACAGCTCCATCGCAGACATGCAGCTAGCTCCCATCACACACAGCTCCATCGCAGACATGCAGCTAGCTCCCATCACACACAGCTCCATCGCAGACATGCAGCTAGCTCCCATCACACACAGCTCCATCGCAGACATGCAGCTGGCTCCCATCACACACAGCCCCCATCATAGACATACACCCCATTCTCTTAACACGTAGCCTCTGTCACAGACATATGAGGCCTTCTCTCCCTCTTTGTTAAATTGTGAGCACAGCACATGTCACCATTAGTGACCTTTCCCAGCATGGTTTTTAGAAACATAGAATGTGACGGCAGATAGGAACCATGCGGCCCATCTAGTCTGCCCAATTTTCTAAATACTTTCATTAGTCCCTGGCCTTATCTTATAGTTAGGATAGCCTTATGCCTATCCCACGCATGCTTAAACTCCTTTACTGTGTTAACCTCTACCACTTCAGCTGGAAGGCTATTCCATGCATCCACTACCCTCTCAGTAAAGTAATACTTCCTGATATTATTTTTAAACCTTTGCCCCTCTAATTTAAGACTATGTCCTCTTGTTGTGGTAGTTTTTTTAAATATAGTCTCCTCCTGTAAACTCTAGTCTCCTCTGCTGAGTGATTGTGCATTATGAGGTCATGTCATGATGTCAGCAGATTTCGCAGGATACACACTGATACATAAAACACCCCAAAACATTTTTAGAGGTTAAAGTTTCAAATGAATGAGCAGCAGGACATTGGGCAGTAGAGCAATTCCAGCAATATGCTTTATTTCCTGCAGGTGGCAGCAGGAATGGAGACCAGACTGGACATAGAGTTGTTTGCGATGGCTGTTGGCCTGGAAGGACCCGAGGGGGAGGCTGAGTGGTCTCACTGTATCGAGGTCCAAACGGAGGTGGAGACCCTGTTTCTGCCAGTTACTGCAAATATCCTTCCCTTGGAGCAGCCATTGAAACAGCAAGCTAGGTCTAGTTTAAAATTACCTGTACACAGTCAGTGCAGGGACAGCCGAAAAGGCTGCGTTTCTAGCAACTCACAGCATTGTGCATGACCCTACCCCTTTAAGGCAAAACATGGCTCCCTGGATTTAACATGTGACCTCGATTTAAGAAGCTTTCCAAATGATTACCATAGACTTTAACAAGGACGGCTGTTGATAAAGCTTTTGGTACGCTTTTCTAACATTACTAAAACATTGAAAAAGCTTATTAAATCAAGGACAGGAGAAAAAATGCACAACTCCACATATTGTCCAGAAACTGGTCGCCTTCGTGTCATCTCCTTGGCTTGCCATAAACATACCAATTACCAAATAAATATAAACATTGCAGGGTTAAGGGGACAGACACACTACACCCAGACCCCTTCATTGAGTCAGTGGCCTGGTGCCTATAGTGTCCCTTTAATTCTAGCAATCTAATGCAATGATAGCAATTTAGGGAGCTATTAATCCGCTAAAAGATCAAAATTAAGAAAAACCCTTTACTCAAATTTGTCCTGTTTAGGACATAACTCCCTAATTTGTTATCCTTATCAAAACAAATGGATCTGAAATAATTGGTTTCAATTATTTGTTTTTATTTGCATCAGTTCAGACGCTTCCGAATTGCTGAATGCAGAAATAAAAAAAATTAAAAAAAACTTTAAGTTGTAACAAAACAAAATTTCACATCTCCACTGCCCTCAGCACCTAGCAGTCTGCTTAAACTGTGAAAGAAATTAAACTGACATTTTTCCTGTATACGTCCTTTGAGCGTTTTGCCCCGCACTGTGTTTTTGTGGTTTTAGATCGCGCTGCTCTCAGTATATTCATTTAACAAACAGATACAAGAGTGCACCTTTTCTATTCTAACAAAAGTCGCCGTTAGAGTGGCAGATTTTCCGTTAATTTCCTTTAAGGAATAAAAGCTCAAGTTCCATTCCGTGAATGCAAGTGGCTGGTGATGTCAGTTACTAAATCTTTAATATACATTTTACTGATCGAAAAAAGGTTAACACAAGTTGATTTTCTAGATTACGTTTCTAAAGAAACAAAACCTTCAGCCTTCAATACAACTACTGATTCTATGTGTGCCAGCAGGACTGCACCCAAACGGGTAAATAGCAATCTGGCAGCACAGCGCACCATTCTGACACATACCGTAGTGCAGTACCAATGCAGGGAACAATCTAAAAATCAATACATCCTTAACGAATTGTCACCAGTCTTAACAGGTAACCTGTATGATAACAGAACAGGGACCGGATCAGACAATGAAAGGGGGCCAGGGATACGACTGCTTAGCACATCCCCCAGCTCCAGGCTGGAACTCCTGAGAGCCAGGAAGATGCCAGAGACAGGTACGTGACCCAGTGATTTTATGGAGGGTGTGTCCAACAGGTGTCTGGTGTGAGTGACTAGTGCAAGAAGTGAAGCTGAACTGGCACAGCCAGAGACCTCTCCTCCGGAACGGGCACGGCCTCATAATTCCCTAAAAAAAAACTACTTAGAATCTGAGGCCGGGTTTTGGTTACTGGAAATAAACTGAAGTTTAATTGTGAGCAATTCGATCATTTTCAAGTTTTGTCCGTATTGAATGTAATAAAATGTGACTTAGGAGCGTGCTGGAGGGCCGGAACGAGGATTTTCCCAGTACTGCAACGAATTGATGTACTATTTGGGGTGGGACAGGATGTGACAGACTAATGGCTCAAACTACGTCATATTTATAGTTAGGACACGATCAATTGAACCCAACAGGCTAGCCAATAAGATGTACCGAGTGGGTTTGTTTTGTGTTTTACCCAACACACACTTATAACCTCTCTTTTTTCAATTGCAGTGCGGACTGCAGACTTCTGACCAGGACCCTCTACTCTTTTCAAGGCTTTAGGAACCTGCACTACATTCCAATAAAATAATATATTCTTAATGATTGGGAACCATGCATCCTTCCATTTGTTCTAAATGAGAGAGAATACCATCTGTCAGCATTTATTATCTAAAGGAAGACTGTATTATGGATTTTCTAATAAAAGAGAATCGGTTCATGGAAAGAAAATGTAGAGAATCCATCCACAGTGATCCGTCCGCACACGCTTTGCTCAACATTTATAACAAAGTGTTAGAGCTGGCAACAGACCCTTTAAACTACAACTAATAAACTCAATTTATCCAGTTAGCTCAGGGGAGGGAGAGAAATTACCAAATATAGGTAATAAGAGCATCTCCATAAGCAGGGAGGGTAAATAAATAAATGAAATGGTAGAATGTAAGCTCTGCAGACTAGCATCTCTGCTAACAAAGAACAGAAACAACCTCCAGGCACTCCGTGTTCAAGCCACAGGCAGGTTTATTGTATCCACTGAGTGCCTGGAGACTCTTCTCGTTCTGTTATTCTGGGTTTGCTGGTCCTGTTTCAGTGCATCCGATACAAACTGCGATTGAATGCGCTTCCTTTTCTTTTGATTCAGAGCATCTCTCTGCTCACCAACTGTTCCTCTGTCTTTTATTCTTAACATAAACACTTACTTGGATCTTCACATAAAAAAATAAAAGAACGTTTATTTTAAAGGCGCGTTGGTTTCCCAATGATGGTCAAGTCATACAGGTGAAATGTGAAGTCACTAGGTCACTCCATGTGTAACACGTTAGGCATAAAATGGTGAAAGGCAGTCTGAACCAATCGCAGCTCTCCATTTCCTTTAGGGCGTGGCTTTGAGAGATTGGTTTATACTAGATCCTAGGAATGGATCGGAACAATGTCCACTTGTCCAATGTGAACTAAGCAACAGTAAGAATTAGCTTCTCATTCTTTTTCCTTTTCCGCCTTTTCTCCTCAAACCTCTCCGTGGCATCCGCAAAAAACAAGATTTCTTCTTTAGCCTCGATCTCTCTCTTCAAGAACTGCAGGCCAGCCATGTTCAGCCCCATCACATCCTGCAGAGAAATATAGATTACATCAGCAAGGAAACGTTAATTTAAATTATATTCTCCTCTACCAAGTTCAGCATGAAAGGGCACCCAGTTCCAGGACAGATGCTGGGTTTACTACATTTAATTTTCTGACTTCACAAACACATTTGTTAATTTTAAGGCAGAGGTCACTAGTAAAATCTTACCCGCTCTTCAGACACCCGCGAGATTGTGCAGTTTTTCAGATCTTCAATTACCCCAAGAAGCATGTGGTTACTGGTTATCTGTCCGAAGTGGATCCTAGGAAAACAATAGATATAGATAATGAGACAGTCCACCAGTAAACCTGCAACTAATCATACGCAATCTGCAGTGGTACGGTTACTATCCTGCCACACTACCATGCAATACCACAAAAAAAAAAACACGAGCGTGAAGGATCAAAAGCCCCCAAAAACGAGACCAGATGTCCTATTAAAGCCCACCCAACTCCCACCCTCATGCCCCCAAGAAAAGCACTGACCTCAAAAGGAAGAAAAGGCAGCGACAGATCAGCTCCACGTCCTGACCACGTCGAATGTAATCCCTGAACAAAGTGAGGACATCCGGCACATAGGAGAATGGCAGAACAAGGAGCGCTTCTTCCAGCTCGCTGTCCGACAAAACAGAAAAAGAGTATTGTTACTGCCACTGTCGGCACAGTATTACTAACAAGATATGGCACAGTATTACCAACAGTACTGTTACAAATACGGCATGGCACAGCATTACTCACACGGTACTGTTACTAATACGGTATGGCATTACTCACACGGTACTGTTACTAATACGGTATGGCATTACTCACACGGTACTGTTACCAATACGGTATGGCATTACTCACACGGTACTATTACTAATACGGTATGGCATTACTCACACAGTACTGTTACCAATACGGTATAGCATTACTCACACGGTACTGTTACCAATACGGTATGGCATTACTCACACGGTACTGTTACCAATACGGTATGGCATTACTCACACGGTACTGTTACTAATACGGTATGGCATTACTCAAACTGTACTGTTACTAATACGGTATGGCATTACTCACACGGTACTGTTACTAATACGGTATGGCATTACTCACACGGTACTGTTACTAATACGGTATGGCATTACTCACACAGTACTGTTACTAATACGGTATAGCATTACTCACACGGTACTGTTACTAATACGGTATGGCACAGCATTACTCACACGGTACTGTTACTAATACGGTATGCACAGCATTACTCACACGGTACTGTTACTAATACGGTATGCACAGCATTACTCACACGGTACTGTTACTAATACGGTATGCACAGCATTACTCACACGGTACTGTTACTAATACGGTATGCACAGCATTACTCACACGGTACTGTTACTAATACAGTATGGCACAGCATTACACACACAGTACTGTTACTAATACGGTATGGCACAGCATTACACACACAGTACTGTTACTGTAGCAGAGCTGCAATATTAAATCCCAATATCTCCGCTGGTACAGAAAGTAATCCAAGTAAAGCGCTGAAAATGAAGGCAATATCCCAAATCCCCCAGTAACCGGACGAAACACAGTTCTGGGAGTCAACTGACGATTTTATTCACAAGCTCCAGTATTTATGTGATTCCCCACGCAAGGGGTTTCCTTAGTCACTTTACAGGGGTTATACAGTAGGGAACTACATGGGGAACTGAACATGCAGGACATTTCTCCCACCATGCACTGCTGTACGAGAGGGATACTCCCACAAGGATATCCTGTTAAGTGAATTATCCCTCCATACAGCAGAACCGGCTTTTCACACAAAAATCTGTAACATACTTTATTCGTGCCATTGTACCGAATGACCGTTCGGCAGATAGCTGGGGTCTGAGCGCACACTTTGGGAAAGTACCGCTCAGATCCTAGCATAAATAACCGAACGCCGCACGAAATACATTTTACCACCAACTTTTCAGAAAGTCACGAATACATAGATTAGAAGAAAGTACCAGAAGACCGGCGCTCCTGAACGGCCTGGAAGTCCAGCGGTGTTCGCGCCGCCGAGTAGCGTGTAACGGCACCCTCAGCATAAAAGGGTTAAACCGCCGTTTAGTAGATCTTCCCTTCCAGAGACACAGGCACAGCTACTGCAGAACACCAATCCGCCGAACAGGAAACCATATGAATGCCGTAAACAGCCGAATAGGAAAAACCATACGAATAGGTTTACACTCCTAGCAGTCAAAATGGAACGCCATACAATAAATCCCCCCAAGAATGAGACAAAGCTCTGTGTTGAGGGTCAAGCAGTGAACAGACAGAGCTGTGGGTTTATTGTTCTTATATACACCTTAGTACCACCCACAGGGTTTTGGAACACAACCAATAAACACATACAATACACTCAGACACTCCCACACAAAATCCTCCCCTCTGCCTGTGATACAATTACCTTACACAATGGGTAATGTAATTATCACAAGCAGAGAAATAAAACATTTCCACATTATTCATAACTTGAAAAGTATGCATCACATTCACATCTTACATTTTTAGAATCAGCATACTCCAAATACAAACATACTTCAAAATCATACAAATTGGTCCAGTGGTTCAAAAGATAGATCGTAGTCCTTTGTGACCAAAGGAAGCATGGCTTTTCTGCCCAAAACCAGTTCCACAGAGTCTTCTATCCTGGAAATAATTGGGAAGTAATCCAATTATCTCCAAGGACAGAGGCAAAACTCCATAGAACACATGGCAGCAAAAGGCAATAAAACACATAAAAACATAACTATGCAGCCATTGCATAAATCAGGTACATTTAATATATCCCCAGATAGCTCAGATCTGAGCGCACATTATTACTGAATGGCGCTCAGAGCACACACACACAGTTCAATTGCCATGGAGGAAAAGTCTTTCCCATAGTCTTTCATTATACGAATGGGCTCCATGGCATAGCTATCTGGGGTATCACCGCTCAAACAGGGCCAGCACTGAATGACCCGGCTTTCGTGTCTCCGCAGGGGAAAATCAAGTGTTTTATCATGGGGCCATAGTCCAGAGGCAACAGGCGAGCAACCAGGCTTCTCCCATGCAATGTGGCGAGATTGCTCTCGTCACAAGCCGATTTTAGTTCCAGGCACTCAACGACCAAACACCGCTTGGCTAAAAGGAAATCCACGATGGCCGCCGCTGCGTTGTCGGTAGCCGAACGACGGCCACCTGGGAAATCAATTAGCAGCCGATTGATACAATGTTGCAGCCGGTTAATGGGAGCCACACGACCCCCTATATGTGGGCTCCCATTCGGTACTTTGTTCGTTTCAAGAACAGTATGGAAAGTCACTGTTCGTGTAACTACCATATGAATGATATCGGCTTTCTGCTGTTAGCATACGAATACTCTTTATTACAGGTATAGCCGAATACATAAACTAGCAGAATTGGACCAGCTTTTCTAGGACAACCTGTAGACATAACAGCACAATCTGAAGTGGCTAGGTTTGCTACAGTTACTAATACGGTATGGCACAGCATTACTCACAAGGTATTGTACAGTATATATTTATTTATAAAATATTTTACCAGGAAAGATACATTGAGATTTCTCTCGTTTTCAAGTATGTCCTGGGTCCACAAATCATTGCATTGTTACATTAGAGTACAATAAAATACAAAAACAATATTAATACACAATAAATATGGCACAGTACTATTAATACTGCAGTATATAACATTACAGAGTATTAGTTTTGCTATTTTGTTAGAATTACAATAAAGAAATAGATGAGCTTCCTAAACCCAGCACTGCCAACTCCAAACACCATGCATGTAAAATAAAACAGAACAAGAGTGAAACCAGACACTTGCGGATTCACAAGATTAATATGGACTAACCTACCTGGATTTTACCTTCTTGAAAACATCCAGAACATAATCTGAGGGCTGAAAATGGAGATAATTATTAGAATCAAATCTCTATATAATGTGTTTCACCTCTCCCATCTTCTGATATAACCGCACTTTATTTACAGAATACCGACATCACAAAGGAGCACTCTGTCCCACTCCATTATATATTCTGTTCTATCCCGCTGTCTTATCAAACCTATCCCACTCCGCTCCACCCCACATTCGGTCCCCCAACACGTGTCTCCCCCCTCTTGACCCCCACCAATAATTTCACACTCTTTACACTTCTCACCCTCAAACTAATTCTGTGAACTTAACTTTCACTTACTGAGATATTTCCAAATGCTTGTAGGATGGGATGAATTCTGCGGGGAAACTATAAAAATAACCAACAATATTAATAAAACAGCCAACAAGTCACAGCATTCAATGAGACTGAACAGACTTGCCACAGCTCGACAATACATCCTACCCCTTCTTTTGCGAACTCATGCCTTCGCAAAGTACCCTTTCTCTCAGTCACACAGCTCAAGCCAGCTAGCCCCGCCCCTGAGCACACGGCGCGAGCCAGCTAGCTCCGCCCCTGAGCAGTCACACAAATTCATAGAAATTTGTGGGGTTTCTACATTTATAGTTTTTACCTCTTTCCCAGCACTTTTGCAGAAGGCTTGATGCTCCTCTATTTTAGCACTCTCCTCTCTGTGCAGGTCAATAGCCTCCATAACGCGCTCCGTCTTAAAGAGAAATAGAATTCAAACATGTCAATACAACAAAGATCACTTCAAGCAAATGGACTAGTGGCACTCTCCCAGCTTTGAAAACCTTGATCAAGCAATAGTGTTTTACCATAAAATAAGTCTTTGGATGACGTTGTAGAAAAAACTAACTCTCACATTCATTGTCCCCAACTTGTCCAATGTCTGCTTACCATGCAGCATATTGCAGGGTTTGGAATTATTTGGACGAAGAGTGAAACCGTTTCTCTTGTACTCACCGATTTAATAGTCTCAATGGTTTTCTTCCCTGCGAGGCTAACCTCACCTTCACGCTCTCCTGCAACCTGTAAGTGATAATTAAATATTAACCGTAAGGAGATCCCGGGGTACATTCCCTAATATCAGGCACCATCTTGTGGAAGAAGACTTCCTGCTAAGGGTGACCGATGATTACTGCTCACTCTGGATCAGAACGGAAGCAGGGACCCCAATAATGCTGGGGAACAATGTAGGATCATACAGGGGCCCCAGAACTACTGAGGTTGGATGGCCTGTAAATAAGCCAGGTTAAATTAACTAAGCGCTTTAACTCGGGGCCTGCGCAGGGTAGATCACTATGGGTGCAGAAATACTCACCACCGGCTGTTCGCCTTTGGCCACACTCTCCTCAAATTCAGCTTCTCTTTGCTGAAAAAAAATACAAGCAATAACAATTAAAGACATACAGGACAGTGATTGGGTTAAAAATCCACAATCCCAGGGTGAAACCGGTTGGGAGATATTTACAGAGGAAGGTACTGGATCAAAACTCCTTCCCGGATGTTAATTGGGGCAGTTATTGGGCTAAAACGGATTTCATGATGCCAACTGAATTAATGGCTTGACACAGGTCCCTGGATGTTGCAGAGCATTTTGTTTATTGTTAGATGGGATTCCAGACCATAAAAGCACCAACTATATTAAAAGAAACATGGCTCAGATTTACCTTCATGGTTTTACGGTGCTAGCCCCATTGTCGTTCCCACATAAGCAATTATTTGATCGACCCTCAGACTCACCATCTCTTTCTCCTCCTCCAGAATCAGGGGTTCCCTTGTTCTCTCCCAGAGTCGCAGAGATTTATCATGCGATGACGACACAATGTGATCCCCGTTTGGACTGACAGCCAGACACCAGATCTCTCCATGGTGGCCCTGTGCAACGCAAACATTGCCATGAGCATAGCACTGCATCACGCCAACAAGTGCAAATTGCTTGCAAAGACAGAGGCTACAAGCATTTTATTTGGTACAGCTATTAGACCCAGATATCATAGGATCATATACCAAGACATTCCAAGCAGCAGTCAATTTATTCAAAATATATCTTGCACTAGCCACAATGGGCCAATGCGCCGCACAACAGAGTTCGTGGACACAGGCAGAGAGGGGGTGTAAAACGGGTTAAATAGAACAATACAGAGAGCAGGAGTGTCTGCAATAGGACTAAAGAGCAGATGTAGAAATGCCATCCTACTAGGAAACCAGCATAATGACCACAGCATGGAGTCAATGAAAAACCATTTACTGATTCTACTCCTCAACTGACAGGTCAAGGTTTTTTTATTTTATTATTTAAGAAAAAAGTATATAGAAATGCAACTAAATAAACCCTACTTGGCGTTTTGGTCTTACCTCGAGCACCTGCACCTGCTGGAAGTGGTCAGCATCCCACTGCTTGACCTTCCGGTCCTTCCCGACACTAAAGAACAGGTGAGTCTTTGGAACAAACTGGAGGAACATAACACTGACGAAAGGAGAGAGAAAAAGGTGGTGGATAAATGAACGCAAAGAGAGTTGTATCTCAATATCCGTCCGAGATTGCAGTGTCTGAATTCAGCCATGGATTGCTAGAACCTGCCGGTTTTACACTTCAGCACAGATACAGTTCTTACATTGAAGGAACATACAGAATGACACAGGCGGCAGGGAATTGGTTGCCAGGATGATGTACAATGTAATTACTTTGTTCCCTGGACTCAGACAGCAATTACTAGGGTTTATATCAAGGTCCACGGGATTAATTTATGGTTTTCACCAGCTGACTTTCTGATTGGTTATATTTGTTGGTTCTGGGATTGATCTTACAGCCGTTTTCCGACAGAAGGTGAACATGGATGGTTTCCTGTCCACCAGACAGAACATAAAACCCTAACTCTGCCCATTCGCTTGCCCTGAACAGTAAAGGATGATGGGAAGGGGTTTAAACGGCAATTCCACTTCTTTCAATTTACACCTTCTGACACACAGCGAGAGGACAATTTACACCTTCTGATCACCAGCCGACTTCCCGAGACCAGAAACACTAACCTGTCATCGTGGGCAAAGAGGGAGCGATGACAGTCTCCGAAATCCAAACCCCAAATCTTGATATTCCGATCGGCGGAGCCAGTGACTATAATGGAGCTGTCCTGTAAATGGTGAAGATCACATATCACTATAGAATGAAGATTACTGCCATATATCAGATACACAGTTATAATGTTAGACAAACCCAGCCTGGAATGTCTGGGGGCAAAGACAGTAAGAAATAAACAGGGCTTTTAGCACAAGATCGAAGAGTATCCGAGTTACACGAAATACAGAGTATTACACAACTTACATGGGAGATGTCCAGGCAGAGCACAGGAAGCTTGTGTCCGTACAGTGACAGGAAGAACTGCAAGAAAAGGCAAAACTGGGGTTAGAGAACGAGACAGAATAACGTACAGACCTGCACCACCCACATCACAAAACGCTGAAACAGAATGGAAGCTAAAAACAGTAAATCCTGAACAATTCTCCAACTTGGCTGTAAACACGTCTTAGCTAGTTTAGCCTAATTAATTGGAAACTTAATTGCAAATTGCAAAGTTTATTAAATAAACCCACAGGAAGAAGAAAAAAATTAAATAAAAGTACAGATCGGCATGATCGTTTGAAGACAATTTAAACAATATACAACTGCGTTAATGTAACAGAGCAATATGTATCACTGGGGCTGCGACGTGGAGCAGGAATGGTAATCGCCCCATCAGTCACATACCTTCAGAGTGTCAACAAAAAAGATCTTGACTGTGCAGTCCAGCAGGGACACTGCCAGGAAGCGGCTGTCTGGGCTTTGACGTATGAACAAGACGTCCTCATCCAACTGCAATACTCGTGTCTGCTTTACCGATAGACGCCGACTGGAGGAGAGACAGACCACTATGAGCAAGCAGGAATGGGAACTGAACCAACTGTCTACATACCCCCGCCCCCCCTGCAACTGCCAACAAACAAAATCTAACTGGACTGTGTACGGACAACGGCCACCACAGGGCTGTATATAAATGGATAGCAGCTGTATGGCAGACACTGTGTATAAACAGACAGCACTCGCAGTCTGATTAATTGAAAGCGGCTGCTGATTGGTGGAGCCTCTTCCTGATCTGGGATTAGGTCCGTAATAGCAAAGGCAGCTGGAATTATAAACCAAAGTATTTCCTCTTTCTATATTCTAATACTAGCTATGACCCCCCTGAGCCTCCAGAACAACCTGAATGGTTTGCAGCAGAGACATTGCTCAGATTCTGGTCAAAAAGGTCACCCTCAGGATCAGACATTGTGGGGCTAAAATTGGGTCTGCAGGGAGATAACAGGAGCTTTACGGATCCTATAGAAGCTGGAAAAGGATATAAAATGAATCAATGCATGGTTTAATCTATGGTGGATGGCAATATCACACAAAGCTTAATGGATTATACTTTACTCCGAACACTCAGCGGCACCATGTCACCATTAACAAAAACATGGAAACCAAAGACACGTCATTAAAACATCTCTAACAGGGAACGAGGATTGGAGGCTAATGGGATTCATTTATAAAAGAGGGTCGGTTGCTCACACTGTAGTAGATTATTTACTGCAAACCAATTAGTTTGAATGACTATCTGTTCCTGTCCAAATTAAAGATAATAAAGTTGCGTGCACGCAGAAGTAAATTCACACTGAGACACAAAGTTCAGGTTAATGAAAGAACTCCGGAGAAGTTTAATGGCTTCTGCCAGAAAATGGGTGCGCAGACCCTTTTAAAGGCATTATTACATCATTGAAGAAAATCAAGATAACAGCAAATAGACACTATTGATTGGTCCAGGTGTTAAGTGGTTAGTTAGATACCCTCCTATCAAGAGGTGATGTCATCCTTGACACGGGAGTGGACACAAGATGTAGGCGCCATCTTGTTAGCACGAGGTGTTCACTCGATGGGAGGGGTGCTTTGGCAGCCATTTTGAGTAGTTAGTATTGTTAGCTTTAAGGTTCTTTTAGTAAATACACATTTTATTATTCAGCTGACACAATTTATTGAGATCAACATGTCGCTCAGCGGCCACAATGTTTCATTCTTGATGAACACATTGTTCTGCTGACGCACATTTCTTCCTGACAAAGCATTCTCTTATAAATTCTATAATTCTACAACAACACCATAAACATGTAGACTAGATTATGGAAAGGTCCTCCTGCAGGTAGGTATGTGTGATTAACAGCACTCCATGTCAGTTACCTGCTCTGCGCATCAGCCTCACCATTCACCAACTGAAACTCCCAAAACTTCACACATTTATCTGCACCTCCTGTGGCGAAGCCTCTCTACAATGAAAGAAATGTAGACATGTTACAAAATAACGCGGTAACCAATCTGTTACAACTAAAGCAAAAGACAAGCAAGTCTAAGTAAGTTACCTGATCTACCGTGTAATTAGTGACCGGGCGATCGCTCAGCAAGTTACCTGATCTACCCTGTAATTAGTGACCGGGCGATCGCTCAGCAAGTTACCTGATCTACCGTGTAATTAGTGACCGGACGATCGCTCAGTAAGTTACCTGATCTACCCTGTAATTAGTGACCGGACGATCGCTCAGCAAGTTACCTGATCTACCCTGTAATTAGTGACCGGACGATCGCTCAGCAAGTTACCTGATCTACCCTGTAATTAGTGACCGGGCGATCGCTCAGCAAGTTACGTGATCTACCGTGTTATTAGTGACCGGGCGATCGCTCAGCAAGTTACCTGATCTACCGTGTTATTAGTGACCGGGCGATCGCTCAACAAGTTACCTGATCTACCCTGTAATTAGTGACCGGGTGATCGCTCAGCAAGTTACCTGATCTACCCTGTAATTAGTGACCGGACGATCGCTCAGCAAGTTACCTGATCTACCCTGTAATTAGTGACCGGGCGATCGCTCAGCAAGATACCTGATCTACCCTGTAATTAGTGACCGGGCGATCGCTCAGCAAGTTACCTGATCTACCCTGTAATTAGTGACCGGACGATCGCTCAGCAAGTTACGTGATCTACCCTGTAATTAGTGACCGGACGATCGCTCAGCAAGTTACCTGATCTACCCTGTAATTAGTGACCGGGCGATCGCTCAGCAAGATACCTGATCTACCCTGTAATTAGTAACCGGACGATCGCTCAGCAAGTTACCGGATCTACCCTGTAATTAGTGACCGGACAGTCGCTCAGCAAGTTACCGGATCTACCCTGTAATTAGTGACCGGGCGATCGCTCAGCAAGTTACCGGATCTACCCTGTAATTAGTGACCGGGCGATCGCTCAGCAAGTTACCTGATCTACCCTGTAATTAGTGACCGGACGATCGCTCAGCAAGTTACCTGATCTACCCTGTAATTAGTGACCGGGCGATCGCTCAGCAAGTTATGTGATATACCGTGTTATTAGTGACCGGACGATCGCTCAGCAAGTTACCGGATCTACCCTGTAATTAGTGACCGGACGATCGCTCAGCAAGTTACCGGATCTACCCTGTAATTAGTGACCGGACGATCGCTCAGCAAGTTACCGGATCTACCCTGTAATTAGTGACCGGGCGATCGCTCAGCAAGTTACGTGATCTACCCTGTAATTAGTGACCGGGCGATCGCTCAGCAAGTTACCTGATCTACCCTGTAATTAGTGACCGGACGATCGCTCAGCAAGTTATGTGATATACCGTGTAATTAGTGACCGGACGATCGCTCAGCAAGTTACCTGATCTACCCTGTAATTAGTGACCGGACGATCGCTCAGCAAGTTACCTGATCTACCGTGTTATTAGGGACCGGACGATCGCTCAGCAAGTTACCGGATCTACCCTGTAATTAGTGACCGGACGATCGCTCAGCAAGTTACCTGATCTACCGTGTTATTAGTGGCCGGGCGATCGCTCAGCAAGTTACCTGATCTACCCTGTAATTAGTGACCGGACGATCGCTCAGCAAGTTACCTGATCTACCCTGTAATTAGTGACCGGACGATCGCTCAGCAAGTTACCTGATCTACCCTGTAATTAGTGACCAGGCGATGGCGCAGTATGTTACCTGATCTACCCTGTAATTAGTGACCGGACGATCGCTCAGCAAGTTACCTGATCTACCGTGTTATTAGTGACCGGGCGATCGCTCAGCAAGTTACCGGATCTACCCTGTAATTAGTGACCGGACGATCGCTCAGCAAGTTACCTGATCTACCCTGTAATTAGTAACCGGACGATCGCTCAGCAAGTTACCTGATCTACCCTGTAATTAGTAACCGGACGATCGCTCAGCAAGTTACCGGATCTACCCTGTAATTAGTGACCGGACGATCGCTAAGCAAGTTACCGGATCTACCCTGTAATTAGTGACCGGGCGATCGCTCAGAAAGTTACCTGATCTACCCTGTAATTAGTGACCAGGCGATGGCGCAGTATGTTACCTGATCGATCGTATAATTAGTGACCAGGCTAGTAAGTTACCTGATCAGGTGACAAAGAAATAGACCATAATGCCCCATTATGAGCTTCCACCGAATCCAGGAGATTTCCTGAGGCCAGGTCAAAAATCTGCAGCTTTCCAGACTGAAACAAACAGGAAGTTACTAAACAGAGTGATAAGGGGGAGTGGGTACTATAATATCTGCACACCAAGCGCGACAGCCAGTCTTGGCCCAGGACTATTACCTTCGTTCCCACAATAACATGTCGATCGCCAGGGACAAAGAGGGAGCACAGGGCATATTCACATGGCATAGTCCGGATACACTGCAGGGTGGACCTGGAAGGATAGAAACAGACAATGTGACATGATTATCTCCTATGACACCATCGTTTTAAAACAGGAACAGGTAATTCAAATAAAGTACCTGTTCCAGATTTTGACAGCTTCGGCTGACGCGGATAGCACGGCAATGTTGTCAGAGCTGAATGCTAGCGTGCGCACATCACTCCGGTGCCCCCCAATGGTGAGCTGCGAACTCTTAGTGACCTCAGTGAGACCAGCTGGCGTGGGCTCTGCAGGCAGCGAGAAGCACTCTAAACTGTTGTTCTGGAGGAGAATGACCACTTTCACCATCCCCTTTGGAAACACAAGTAAATCGAATGATCTGGGGAGAGACACACACTCACTTTAAAACAGACTTCTCAGAAAAGTTATCTAGCCAATCTACGGTCAGCAACAGATATATACAGGCACTAAAATCACTACACTTTAATGCAGAGGTTATGGCCTGTACCTGCAATTTGACAAATGTAAACAGACATTTGTGAGAAGTAGCAATGTTCCTTTTTGTCACCAAGACATACTAGTAAAGACTTTAAATAATTAAGTCGGCCACATTTGGATTATATATTTGTCTATTAGACGCATGCTTTATCGTGGCAATTGGCATACAAGTCTCTCTAATAGAAGTATTGGTATGACCTTTGATCAATCTTAAGGATTACATTGTACAGCGCTACATAAATAATAATTAAAAAATATCAGAAAAGGAGGAGAGGGTGATGCGGAGAGACCAGAGTAGCGCAGGATAAAAAGAGTTTAACAACTTTATGGGGGGACATGCAGGGCATGAGAAGAGGAACATAGTGTGGATGCGGGCGAGGGCTACAGGGGAACGGGGATGCGGGCAAGGGCTACAGGGGAACGGGGATGCGGGCAAGGGCTACAGGGGAACGGGGATGCGGGCAAGGGCTACAGGGGAACGGGGATGCGGGCGAGGGCTACAGGGGAACGGGGATTAAGAAAGTCATCATACTTTATTTTAGAAGAAGCTTTGATGTTGCCGATTTTCTGGATTTCATCTTGAAGAGTTCTCTCGATCACAGGCTCCTCTGGAGTTTCTCCTTTCTGGGCTTTCTTACTGGATAAGAAATTGACAAGTCACAGCGGGTATTTACCTGTGATAAGCTCTTGATATACAGAAGGTTTTAACATTTGTCCTGAATTTCCATTTTAACCAACTCGCACAACGTAAAAACATTTACCCTTCACATTGGAGCAATTACTCCTAACTGCCCCACAGAAGGCTGCCAGTTACCCCGTAAGCTGAGGGCAATTAATCTCTTACCCACCACTGACCTACACCCCAGGTCACTGTACTAACTTTGCTTTCTTCCTGGCAATTTTCAGCTTTCTCTCAAGTTTCTTGTGTATTTCCTCTTCATTAAGGACACAAAATATTTCCAGGACAGAGTCCGTGCCCTGCAAAAAAAAAAAGCACATATGGGTGGGTGAGTGTGGGGCGGGAGACATAGCTGATGGGGCAGAATGGTAGCGCGCTACATCACCCAAAAGCTACATTGTGTCCGAGTGCCAAAATGTAGAATGGAGTAATCTCTAATCAGAAAGAACGGATACTCACGTGACAGGCCAGGAACCGCTTTGTTTGGTCTGTCCGCAGCGTCACCACCCGGTCCCTTCCTTCTCGCATTATGGAACCATAGCGGCCACAGGTCAAGATGCGCTGAGATCAAAAATGTGGAATTAGAGCAAAAACAAACCCAGCAGGTACCAAACAGGTTACTAAAGCATAAACACAGACACACATGGGGGAGTACCAAAGCAGGTGCCATTCAGGTTACTAAAGCATAAACACAGACACACATGGGGGAGTACCAAAGCAGGTGCCATTCAGGTTACTAAAGCATAAACACAGACACACATGGGGGAGTACCAAAGCAGGTACCATTCAGGTTACTAAAGCATAAACACAGACACAAACTTTAGGGAGTACCAAAGCAGGTACCATTCAGGTTACTAAAGCATAAACACAGACACAAACATTAGGGAGTACCAAAGCAGGTACCATTCAGGTTACTAAAGCATCAACACAGACACAAACATTAGGGAGTACCAAAGCAGGTACCATTCAGGTTACTAAAGCATAAACACAGACACACATGGGGGAGTACCAAAGCAGGTGCCATTCAGGTTACTAAAGCATGAACACAGACACACATGGGGGAGTACCAAAGCAGGTGCCATTCTGGTTACTAAAGCATAAACACAGACACAAACTTTAGGGAGTACCAAAGCAGGTACCATTCAGGTTACTAAAGCATAAACACAGACACAAACATTAGGGAGTACCAAAGCAGGTACCATTCAGGTTACTAAAGACACAGACACAAACATTAGGGAGTACCAAAGCAGGTACAAACATTCAGGTTACTAAAGCATAAACACAGACACACATGGGGGAGTACCAAAGCAGGTGCCATTCAGGTTACTAAAGCATAAACACAGACACACATGGGGGAGTACCAAAGCAGGTACCATTCAGGTTACTAAAGCATAAACACAGACACACATGGGGGAGTACCAAAGCAGGTGCCATTCAGGTTACTAAAGCATAAACACAGACACACATGGGGGAGTACCAAAGCAGGTACCATTCAGGTTACTAAAGCATAAACACAGACACACATGGGGGAGTACCAAAGCAGGTGCCATTCAGGTTACTAAAGCATAAACACAGACACACATGGGGGAGTACCAAAGCAGGTACCATTCAGGTTACTAAAGCATAAACACAGACACACATGGGGGAGTACCAAAGCAGGTACCATTCAGGTTACTAAAGCATAAACACAGACACAAACATTAGGGAGTACCAAAGCAGGTACCATTCAGGTTACTAAAGCATAAACACAGACACACATGGGGGAGTATCAAAGCAGGTACCATTCAGGTTACTAAAGCATAAACACAGACACACATGGGGGAGTACCAAAGCAGGTACCATTCAGGTTACTAAAGCATAAACACAGACACACATGGGGGAGTACCAAAGCAGGTGCCATTCAGGTTACTAAAGGATAAACACAGACACAAACATTAGGGAGTACCAAAGCAGGTACCATTCAGGTTACTAAAGCATAAACACAGACACAAACATTAGGGAGTACCAAAGCAGGTGCCATTCAGGTTACTAAAGCATAAACACAGACACACATGGGGGAGTACCAAAGCAGGTGCCATTCAGGTTACTAAAGCATAAACAAAGACACACATGGGGGAGTACCAAAGCAGGTACCATTCAGGTTACTAAAGCATAAACAAAGACACACATGGGGGAGTACCAAAGCAGGTGCCATTCAGGTTACTAAAGCATAAACACAGACACACATGGGGGAGTACCAAAGCAGGTACCATTCAGGTTACTAAAGCATAAACACAGACACACATGGGGGAGTACCAAAGCAGGTGCCATTCAGGTTACTAAAGCATAAACACAGACACACAAACGTGCAGGGAGTACCAAAGCAGGTGCCATTCAGGTTACTAAAGCATAAACACAGACACACATGGGGGAGTACCAAAGCAGGTACCATTCAGGTTACTAAAGGATAAACACAGACACAAACATTAGGGAGTACCAAAGCAGGTACCATTCAGGTTACTAAAGCATAAACACAGACACACATGGGGGAGTATCAAAGCAGGTGCCATTCAGGTTACTAAAGCATAAACACAGACACACATGGGGGAGTACCAAACGCAGGTGCCATTCAGGTTACTAAAGCATAAACACAGACACACATGGGGGAGTACCAAAGCAGGTACCATTCAGGTTACTAAAGTATAAACACAGACACAAACATTAGGGAGTACCAAAGCAGGTACCATTCAGGTTACTAAAGCATAAACACAGACACACATGGGGGAGTATCAAAGCAGGTGCCATTCAGGTTACTAAAGGATAAACACAGACACACATGGGGGAGTACCAACGCAGGTACCATTCAGGTTACTAAAGGATAAACACAGACACAAACATTAGGGAGTACCAAAGCAGGTGCCATTCAGGTTACTATAGCATAAACACAGACACAAACATTAGGGAGTACCAAAGCAGGTGCCATTGAGGTTACTAAAGGATAAACACAGACACAAACATGGGGGAGTACCAAAGCAGGTGCCATTCAGGTTACTAAAGCATAAACACAGACACAAACATTAGGGAGTACAAAGCAGGTACCATTCAGGTTACTAGAAGCATAAACACAGACACAAACATTAGGGAGTACCAAAGCAGGTGCCATTCAGGTTACTAAAGCATAAACACAGACACACACATGGGGGAGTACTAAAGCGAGGTGCCATTCAGGTTACTAAAGAAAAGCATAAACAAAAGACACACATGGGGAGTACCAAAGCAGAGTACCATTCAGTTACTAAAAGAAACATAAACAAAAGACACACATGGGGGTACAAAGCAGGTGCCATTCAGGTTACACAAAGCATAAACAAAGACACACATGGGGAGTACCAAAGCAGGTACCATTGGGTTACTAAAAGCATAAACACAGACACACACACATGGGGAGTACCAAAGCAGGTGCCATTCAGGTTACTAAAGCATAAACACAGACACACATGGGGGAGTACCAAAGCAGGTGCCATTCAGGTTACTAAAGCATAAACACAGACACACATGGGGGAGTACCAAAGCAAGTGCCATTCAGGTTACTAAAGCATAAACACAGACACACATGGGGGAGTACCAAAGCAGGTACCATTCAGGTTACTAAAGCATAAACAAAGACACACATGGGGGAGTACCAAAGCAGGTACCATTCAGGTTACTAAAGCATAAACAAAGACACACATGGGGGAGTACCAAAGCAGGTACCATTCAGGTTACTAAAGGATAAACACAGACACAAACATTAGGGAGTACCAAAGCAGGTACCATTCAGGTTACTAAAAGCATAAACACAGACACAAACATGGGGGAGTACCAAAGCAGGTGCCATTCAGGTTACTAAAGCATAAACACAGACGCTTACACAGCAGAGTACCAAAGCGAAAGGTGCCATTCAGGTTACTAAAAGCATAAGCACAGACACACATGGGGAGTACCAAAGCAGGTGCCATTCAGGTTACTAAAGCATAAACACAGACACACATGGGGAGTACCAAAGCAGGTACCATTCAGGTTACTAAAGCATAAACACAGACACACATGGGGAATACGAAAGCAGGTGCCATTCAGGTTACTAAAGCATAAACACAAGACACAAACATTAGGGAGTACCAAAGCAGGTACCATTCAGGTTACTAAAGCATAAACACGAAGACACACGGGAATTACCAAAGCAGGGTGCCATTCCAGGTTACTAAAGCATAAACACGAACACACATGGGGAGTACCAAAGCAGGTACCATTCAGGTTACCTAAAGCATAAACACAGACACACATGGGGGAGTACCAAAGCAGGTACCATTCAGGTTACTAAAGCATAAACACAGACACACATGGGGGAGTACCAAAGCAGGTGCCATTCAGGTTACTAAAGCATAAACACAGACACACATGGGGGAGTACCAAAGCAGGTGCCATTCAGGTTACTAAAGCATAAACACAGACACACATGGGGGAGTACCAAAGCAGGTACCATTCAGGTTACTAAAGTATAAACACAGACACAAACATTAGGGAGTACCAAAGCAGGTACCATTCAGGTTACTAAAGCATAAACACAGACACACATGGGGGAGTATCAAAGCAGGTACCATTCAGGTTACTAAAGCATAAACACAGACACACATGGGGGAGTACCAACGCAGGTACCATTCAGGTTACTAAAGGATAAACACAGACACAAACATGGGGGAGTACCAAAGCAGGTGCCATTCAGGTTACTAAAGGATAAACACAGACACAAACATTAGGGAGTACCAAAGCAGGTACCATTCAGGTTACTAAAGCATAAACACAGACACAAACATTAGGGAGTAGGTGCCATTCAGGTTACTAAAGCATAAACACAGACACACATGGGGGAGTACCAAAGCAGGTGCCATTCAGGTTACTAAAGCATAAACACAGACACACATGGGGGAGTACCAAAGCAGGTACCATTCAGGTTACTAAAGCATAAACACAGACACACATGGGGGAGTACGAAAGCAGGTGCCATTCAGGTTACTAAAGCATAAACACAGACACAAACATTAGGGAGTACCAAAGCAGGTACCATTCAGGTTACTAAAGCATAAACACAGACACACATGGGGGAGTACCAAAGCAGGTGCCATTCAGGTTACTAAAGCATAAACACAGACACACATGGGGGAGTACCAAAGCAGGTACCATTCAGGTAAGTAAAACAAAAATAGGGCAAAGTAAAGGCAGGTATAATTCAGACAAGTATAATCCGATCAGTTCAATACTTCAGATTCAGAGCATGTTCTTCTAAGACACAGGTTAGCATAAGCACATCTCCCTCCCCCTCCCCCAATTTACAAACATAAAAAAAAAATTAAAAAAAAAATATACATTTGTATTATTGGTACAACAGACGACATAATAGAAGAAAACAGCGGAGTGCAGTTAGCATAGCCAATATATTGAGATCAGATTACCCGATCTATTGTGTAATTAGTGACAGGGTGAGCAATGGCTCAGTATGTTCGAATCTCTGTCTCCTGTACCCCTGCTGCATCCCGTATGTCTGGCTTTCTGTGGTTCTCCCTCCAATACCCCCTTGACCTTCCACACATACCTAGTTTTCGTGTAACACCCAGTACCCCCACACCACTTGACGTTTATGAATTTTCCTTATTCTATTTGACATTTCTTCGTACATACATGATTGGGTTAACTTTGCCTTCACTTGATGTAAGGGAGGGAGGGGACGTCGACCACTAGGATTGTGCAATACTTACCCTAACAGGGTATGTAGGATGAAGTTTTAATTGTGGTGTGGGAATCTGGAAGAGGAACATACTAAGCATGCTTAGTATGTTCCAAAACTCAGAAGATACCAATCCCAAAAACTGTTTATCTTTATCCTGTAGGCACTGCCAATATCTCGATGGAAAGTTACCTATGTGGTGTGAGATACCACCTCATGGTTGACTTGGAATGCATTTCCCATTGGGTAGTGTTGGCCTGATCATAGTTCTTGAGAGTCTGATATTTCTTGTAAAGTGGGGAATGGTTTTATCCCTGGATAGATACTAAGTGGGGTACCTTAGTCGCTCCAGGCTTTACCCTGTTTATTAGCTTAATATCTGTAGTGTAGCACTCCAATACTTTAATGGATTTGGTTATAGAAGCCTGGGAGTGTGATCTCCATTGCTTTTATAGGAAGACACACACCGTACCGTTCTATTGTGGATATTACTACTGGCAGAGAAGTCGTAAGGTCGCTAAGGAATAGTAGTAGTACATAATCTGCGAACAACGCTATCTTATGGTCATACGTGCGTTTGAAATCCCTTTATCTCTGGTTGCCTTTTGACCATAGGGCCCAGCAGTTCGAGTGTTGTGACAGGGGACACACTTCTTGTACCATTTGTGATATAAAAAGCTTCCGATAAAAATCCTGAATTCAAAAAGTGAGCCAATGGGATGGAATAGCGCACTGATAAGGCTTTTAAAACCATCATGTATCCCTCAGCATCAAAGGCGAGGAGCAGTTCAGTCAGGCCTCAAAAATGTATTTTAAAAATCGCTTCGCATATAATTTTAGATCAACATTTAGTAAGGATATCGGCCTAAAGTTGGCACTGTGCTTTAGGGATTTCTCTGGTCTGGGTAGTGTTAAGAATGCCTTCAATATTTCCCTTGGTCCTGAATCACGTCAGAGAATTGAAGAAATAAGTGACATGTGGTGTCCGCGTTTGTGTTAATTTAACTAAATATGAATCGGGAATTCCATCTGGTCCCAAAGATGTGTGACTACCAGCCAGTACTAGTGAATGGCATTTCAAATAACTAGACTTCAGGCAATGAGGGGAAACTGAGTAGCTATATGAGCTCTCAAGGGAATTTTCAGCGACAACCCATCCACCCAACACAGATCGAGCCTGGAATACACACGATGGACATTGGAATATTATTGCGATTCCTATTTATTGAAATGTATTCATACCATCCTCTGGGGAAGTGATAGCATTGAGTGTACCACCCCTCCACACCAGAATCTTCGTTGGGAATCCTCATCGATACGAAACGCCATGCACTCAGTTTAGTGAACACAGCAAATTATTTTCTTTTTGCCATTGTTGCAGCCGACAAATCTGGGAACAAGGTAATATCGCCAAAGGGGTCAGGGAGACATTTTAACTTATGCGTGGCTTTCATGAGCCTCCTTAACCCCTTAAGGACCAAACTTCTGGAATAAAAGGGAATCATGACATGTCACACATGTCATGTGTCCTTAAGGGGTTAAGGTGGTAGAAGTGGTTTCTGACTGTAGTGTCCCTAGGCAAGTTTGTTGGCAAGTGATTGGGGCTTTGGCAGGTGGTGGGTCCTGGGGTTAGGGTTTAGAAGATCCAGACCAGAAATTTAGTTAGATCCGGCATCCGTACTGACACTGGGATCCAATGGATCCTGATGTTATTCCTGCATGTCCAGTCCAGGATATCGGCCAGCTTCTGAGCTAGCGCCAAGTTGAGCTCCTCCAGTTGCTGTACCCTATCTGCAATATTTCACAAAGCTCAGATTCTGACAGCGTCTGATGCTGTCGTATCCGTCATCTTGATGAAGATGGGACCTTTACTTCTTGGCTGAAGTCGGGATTTTTGAGGGTTCCCTCAAATTGTTTTGTTTCAGTGGTGATTGCCACAGTCTAACACTTCAGGTCTAGTATCATCGAGGAGCTACTCCACCATTCGACTGCTCTCCTTGTAGCTCAAACCACGCCCCACAGATAATTTTTTCAATAATTACAATACTCTAAATTACATCATACGGACACAAACTGCCCACATATATTCTGTAGAATGGATAAATCATATTAAATAGTGGAAGCCAAGGGCGAAAGCTGTGCTCAAGAGATTCACATTAGAACTCTTTTAGCCTTATCGTACCTGTTCTGGGACCTCCTCCACGTCCTCCGCTTCCTCTTCCTCCCCTGCGGACACACCTTTGGTTCTTTTAGTCTGCGGACCCTCAGTGACGTCACTCTGCAGACACAGCAAGCAGTATTAATATAATTTCATAAAATCCAGAGACCGCCCTCCAGTAGATAACGAGCTATAACGTGCACCTACCAGGAGCCTTCTAAATCCATCACTAAACCATGCGATTGTTCTGATAACCACACATCCTAGTGATTGCAGCATTTAACTTAGCGGGCTCAGGTTGATTGGTTTCCTATCATACTGTGGTGTATGGAATATCCAATGGAAGTGGAGTAACAAGTATTAGAACAGTGACTACAAATCACTTACCTCTTTTATGTATGAAACACGCCAGGATCTCAGCTCGCTGTCGGCAGACCCAGTCAGAACACGGCTTTCTTCTGAGAGGACCGCGAGCCCCCAGACCTAGAGACAAGAGGCTCGTTTAGTTGGTAAATTCACATCTTATTAAATACAAGTTCTGTTCCTTTTTAAAGTACTCTCGTTTAGCAGTCGTGGATTTATAAAGTATTATTTGAATGATGGATGCTGAAGACAAGGTCACCGAGGGGTTAATCTGATCGCAACTTGGAGACTTGGCAGGAAACTCAATGAATAACCTTTAAAGGGACACTATGTTCACCAGAACAAGTACAGCTTAATGTGCGTCAGGCAGCGTATTGTATTTGTTTTGGTACGTTGAATCATTACCTTCAGGCTTTTTGCTGTAAATACAGTCTTTTTAATTAAAATGCAGTGTTTACATTACAGCCTAGTGATAACGTCACTGGCCACTCCTCAGGGCAGTGTTTGGCTCTGCTCCCAGCCCACCTCCTCGGCTGTGATCACCACTTCTGAGGTCAGCCAAGGAAGCAAATCAGGGGTGGAGCCAGCACCAGCAGGAAGGAATAAAGGCAAGATATTACTATATTTAGGGGGGTAAGGGCGGCTAGATAGTCTTCTTAACACTATAGCATTAGGAATACAGGGATAAAAGACACTAAGGATTATAGCCCTAACATTTAACAAATATTCAACGTCCTGCAAAGGGTCGATATCCTGCTATAACTTACTGTATGGCGTGATGGCAGAGGGCCGATATCCTGCTACAACTTACTGTATGGCGTGATGGCAGAGGGCCGATATCCTGCTACAACTTACTGTATGGCGTGATGGCAGAGGGCCGATATCCTGCTACAACTTACTGTATGGCATGACGGCAGAGGGCCGATATCCTGCTACAACTTACTGTATGGCATGACGGCAGAGGGCCGATATCCTGCTACAACTTACTGTATGGCGTGATGGCAGAGGGCCAATATCCTGCTATAACTTACTGTATGGCATGACGGCAGAGGGCCGATATCCTGCTATAACTTACTGTATGGCGTGACGGCAGAGGGCCGATATCCTGCTATAACTTACTGTATGGCGTGACGGCAGAGGGCCAATATCCAGCTATAACTTACTGTATGGCGTGACGGCAGAGGGCCGATATCCAGCTATAACTTACTGTATGGCGTGACGGCAGAGGGCCGATATCCAGCTATAACTTACTGTATGGCGTGACGGCAGAGGGCCGATATCCAGCTATAACTTACTGTATGGCGTGACGGCGATATCCAGCTATAACTTACTGTATGGCGTGACGGCAGAGGGCCGATATCCAGCTATAACTTACTGTATGGCGTGACGGCAGAGGGCCGATATCCAGCTATAACTTACTGCATGGCGTGACGGCAGAGGGCCGATATCCAGCTATAACTTACTGCATGGCGTGACGGCAGAGGGCCGATATCCAGCTATAACTTACTGTATGGCGTGACGGCAGAGGGCCGATATCCAGCTATAACTTACTGTATGGCGTGACGGCAGAGGGCCGATATCCAGCTATAACTTACTGTATGGCGTGACGGCAGAGGGCCGATATCCAGCTATAACTTACTGTATGGCGTGATGGCAGAGGGCCGATATCCAGCTATAACTTACTTATGGCGTAACGGCAATATCATGATTTGAAACAGTAACAAAAATCCGAGACATACCGCACCCATAAGGCAGCAGCATTACAATAAACTGATACAGACTGAGTCATTGGGGGCAAAATGAAAAAATCTCTTCAAATTGAGGTTTTGACCATTTGAGATCGAGCAAATCGTGGAAATCTAATGTTTAGATCTGGATTTTAGAATTAAGATTAAATCTGGGAAAACAGGAGTTTATGATTTGAAGAATCTGTCCATGACTCCTGGCTTTTCATACAGAAATGACATTTAAATGGAGCTACTTTTGTGGTAGTTTTTTAGCTTTACATATACAAGCCCAGCATAGCAGAGTGTGCCTAAAGACGCAGAACTGACAATCTAATGGGCTACATACCTCCGTGCGGTGTCCCACCATGGTCTGGAAGCAATGCTGTGTGTCCAGATCCCACCACTTCACCAACGTGTCTTTACCACTGACCGGGAGAGAAATTGGTTACTGATGGTTGCCAACCCAGGACAGGACCAATGAGTAAAAGACCCCAACAACAAAGAGACCTTTCAAAATAACCTCGGGAGGCAGAGTGAAACCAGAGACTGTCAGGGTCTTCAAAAAGGAACCTTACAGTAGAGGGCATTCTAGTTCACTCAAGACCTTGACAATGACCTTGAGGGGCATAATTTGAGAGGCAAGGCATTTCACCAATGACCCTAGATGGGTCTTCACAACTAAACCTGCATCCAGAACGGACCCATCTCCCACCAAAAACTTTAATAAAGAGACTGTCTCCAAAGTACATGCCTTACTGCCTCTAGTAAAGGAAACAGTCACAGTAACCGATAACGGGCAAATCAAATTTACAACTCAAAGCCGTGAGCTCTAACATGCAGGTTCATAATCCCCAAATTCCAGAGTGTGATGGATTTAACTAGTGAGAATTAGACTGAATAATCTCCTGAAGGAATGTGGGAAGGTCAAGTTAAAATAAAAGCAACCAAAGAATTTTCATTTTTCTCTGTTTGATAACATAACTCGGAGTAAACTAAAACAGGCCCAGCTATGCCCCTCCAGAAAAACTATAAAATATATTGCATGCCGTAGCTCAGCGAGAGTGAAATAATAAACTGCGCAGGTCTCAGAGCTGGGGGATGGTGATACTTCCTGAACCCATCCCTCGTTACCATGGTCTTCCTGCCATAAATCTGACAGGAGACCACCTCTATAATGAGCTCTCGTGCATGCGAATGTATAAAGAGGAGGTCTATGGAGGACCTGCGAGACCGCGGCATCCTACTTACACATCGTCTCTCTCGCCATCGACAAAACTTGATTGCGTTAGCTCCACATTTTGTCAGGCATAGGAAATATACCAAGACAAAACAGTCCCTACTCTGTCTCTGAATATCTTTTGCCTGCGTTGGAGTTTTAGTGTGATGTTAGATTTATGAAATACTCATCTTGGGGGGTCATAGAGGTGACGAGACACGTTAACCATTTTCTGATTGCATTCAGAACACAGTTGTGACATCATACAATTATTTTCTCTAGTCTGTCATTTTTATTTGTTGCTTTTTGTAAAACGTGGGATTTATTTGCAGATGTAAACTCAGAATTGGGGAGTCCTGTAATTTGTAGACATAAAACTAAAGAGCCTAGTGAGACAGAGGACAAATTGACATTCTCAAACCTCATGCAAATCAGATCAAGAACAACATTAAAATTGCTAGCTCAGAGGACAAGCAGACATGGGTAGAGTGTCTGACAGCTGGTGACTTACCTGGTGACGATGAGGTTCCTCTTTTTGAGGAATACAGCCTGTGTGATAGCATCCTTGTGTCCCTTCAGTCTATACAAACCACTCTCATTAATCACATCCCACACAATCACATGCGTGTCCTGCGAGAAAAGAATGTCTAATTAATACAGTATCTGCACAGAGCAACGTCCTGTCTGCTGGAAAACAAACCGTGAACATTCAGCTTCACAGTAACAGACAAAGAAACAATTATGGTGTATTCACTAAACAGCGAATTGGAAAACCAGGATTTACACCCAATTGAAACCAATCCAGCCACACTGGGGGTGTAACAGGGCTCGACAAATCCCAGGCGCCAGGGATTAGTCCGCCCAATCAGCGGAGACAGTCGGCTGTGCAGAATGGAGGTGGAGAGGGAGCAGTAATCTTCCTGCAGTGATGCCAGGAGGCGGAATATAAAGTCACTCCACCCCGGCATCACTAAATAGCGTGTGAGCAAGGAGATTACAGCACACGATCCACTCCAGCTATCTGAAAGGTAGGTAGGCTGGGTGGATTTAAATTAATAAAAAAAATATTTCTGAGTGTGTCTGAGGTGACCAGCCCCCCTCCGATCCCATGGGAAAGGTGACTTTATTTCCCCATGCCAGTCTCGCCTCCATGGCCGAGATAATCTAGCTTGATGAGCTAAGCCAAGCCAATGCTTTCCCATAGAAAAGCATTGGGAGGCAATTGCTGCACTGTGCCAATCTTCATCTCACAGGGAAGCATTGAATTAACGCATCTCTATGGGGAACATTCAGCTGCTCCGTACAGAGCGTGGATACACTGAACGTAGGACGCACCTCTAGTGGCCCAGGAGCAGACTGTTCCTATGGAATACCCTGTCTGTTTAACCCCTGCAGGGCAGACTGTTCCTATGGAATACCCTGTCTGTTTAACCCTTGCAGGGCAGACCGGGGGCAGACTGTTCCTATGGAATACCCTGTCTGTTTAACCCTTGCAGGGCAGACCGGGGGCAGACTGTTCCTATGGAATACCCTGTCTGTTTAACCCTTGCAGGGCAGACCGGGGGCAGACTGTTCCTACGGAATACCCTGTCTGTTTAACCCTTGCAGGGCAGACCGGGGGCAGACTGTTCCTATGGAATACCCTGTCTGTTTAACCCTTGCAGGGCAGACCGGGGGCAGACTGTTCCTATGGAATACCCTGTCTGTTTAACCCTTGCAGGGCAGACCGGGGGCAGACTGTTCCTATGGAATACCCTGTCTGTTTAACCCTTGCAGGGCAGACCGGGGGCAGACTGTTCCTATGCAATACCCTGTCTGTTTAACCCTTGCAGGGCAGACCGGGGGCAGACTGTTCCTACGGAATACCCTGTCTGTTTAACCCTTGCAGGGCAGACCGGGGGCAGACTGTTCCCACGGAATACCCTGTCTGTTTAACCCTTGCAGGGCAGACCGGGGGCAGACTGTTCCTATGGAATACCCTGTCTGTTTAACCCTTGCAGGGCAGACCGGGGGCAGACTGTTCCTATGCAATACCCTGTTTGTTTAACCCTTGCAGGGCAGACCGGGGGCAGACTGTTCCTATGGAATACCCTGTCTGTTTAACCCTTGCAGGGCAGACCGGGGGCAGACTGTTCCTACGGAATACCCTGTCTGTTTAACCCTTGCAGGGCAGACCGGGGGCAGACTGTTCCTATGGAATACCCTGTCTGTTTAACCCTTGCAGGGCAGACCGGGGGCAGACTGTTCCTATGGAATACCCTGTCTGTTTAACCCTTGCAGGGCAGACCAGTTGCACCTACGCACCTTGGACCCTGATACCAGCCGGCCCCCCAGGTGATCATAGCTCATAGTGGTCACTGCCTCCTTGTGTCCGTTAAATGTAATTCCACTCTCTCCACTCAGCAAGCTGAAAATCCGAATGGATCCATCCTCGTAGCCCACAGCCAGCGAAAGTCCGTCAGGGGACGCACACAGATAGGTGACCTCGTGTTTCACACACCGAAGGATGAGAACCTGGAAGGGAAGGAACAGACCAGGAGATTGGGCAAAATTTCATTCATACGAACAGACAAGGGATAATATGATTGGCTGACACTCACCTTCTCACTTTTGCGGGTGTCCCAAATAAAGACATGCTCGCAAGCCCCAACAGCCACATAACGCCCCTTCTCCCCTCGCAAGGTTACAAAGGCGACATTCGCTTTCTGACTGGCAATCACTCCAAACACTGCGCTTGGGGCATAGCGCAGGTACTGCTTGGTAAGACCCATCGTTTTCACAAACACTGAGAATACAAAGCAGATACTGTCAGACAATGAAGCACTATATCGGCCATACTGCGTCTCACGCCAAGACGTTCCTCGATTAGTTATCCTAATAAATTACTGCGGCAAACAGGCTGTCACTGACCCGGAAGGCATACCTCCCAAGTGTCCCTATTGGGGAAGGACGGTCTCTA